ACTATATATATATATATATATATATATATATATATATAGAGAGAGAGAGAGAGAGAGAAACGAGTGCTGCCCGTTTGTTCTGTGAAGAGCGGCGTTGTCGCTTTGAGTTTCGGTGTGTGAATGCGCGTGCACGTCGATGTTCTGTGGCACATTGTTTTACCGGTGACGTTGACAAGAAGATAGAGCAGGAATCGTGCCCTTGTGCGTATTTCCGCCGTGCTCAGCACAGAAGAAAGGCAAGGCTTAAAAAAATGGACTTTGAGGGACTCCTCCCCATCCTCCGATTAGCTGATGTAGTGGCTGCTTCCTATTTGCTAATAACTATACCTTCGGCCTTTCTTCTTCCTCTCGTGTCATCACCCTTCTCCATCGTTTGCGCTTCGTCAGTCACGCGTTTTTTTTTTCTTTGTTATACAACTAAACCTAACGCTGCTAGCACCAGACTTTTCTTTTCCCTTCTGTCGTGTGAACCGCAACATACACGCTGCTCGCGCTCTCCCATCTGGATCGCTGCGTATTTTCTTGCTTCCTCCTTTCCAGCTACCTCTGCGTTGTTGGTCGCATCTTTTGTCGTTGCTGCTTCGCCTTTCCGATTACAACACCTTGTGCATCACGCAAAGATGTCTGGCGACCGCGAGCTCAGTGAGTCGGAGAAGACGATTGAGCGCTACAAGGTAAAGAAGCTCATCCAGAAGTTGGAGTCGGCGCGCGGTATGGGCACGAGTGTGATCAGCGTATATATGACACCGAAGGAGTCCATCTCCGGTATGGTGGCCAAGCTGAACACGGAGTACGGCACCGCGTCGAACATTAAGTCCCACACAAACAAACTGAGTGTGCAGAGCGCGATTACGGCAGCGCTGGGTCGTCTCAAGATTATTCCGCGGGTCCCGGCAAATGGTCTGCTGCTCTACTCCGGTACGGTGCTCACCGAGGACAACAAAGAGAAGAAGGTGACGATGGACTTCGAGCCCTTCAAGGCGGTCAGCCGCTCCCTCTACCTGTGCGACAACAAATTTCACACAGAGGAGCTGCACCGCATGCTAGAGTCGGATGACAAGTTCGGCTTCATCATCATGGACGGTAGCGGCTCGACCTTCGCGACGGTCTGCGGTGACGTGAAGGAGAAGCTCGGCTCCTTCACGGTGGAGCTGCCGAAGAAGCACGGCCGTGGTGGTCAGAGTAAGAACCGTTTCGGCCGTATCCGCATGGAGCGGCGTCACAACTACGTGCGCAAGGTGGCGGAGGCCGCCGTGAGCTACTTCATCACCAATGACCGCCCGAACGTGCGTGGTCTGGTGCTGGCCGGGTCCGCCGACTTTAAGGAGGTGCTCTTTCTGTCCGACCTCTTCGACCCTCGCCTGAAGGAGGTGGTAGTGAAGATTGTGGACGTGGCACACCCCGGCGATGTTGGGCTGAACCAGGCCATCGACCTCTCCGCGGACGCCCTCTCCGGCGTGAAGCTGGTGCAAGAGAAGAAGCTGCTGCAGACCTTCTTCGACCAGATCGCCATGGACACCCAGCAGTACTGCTTCGGCGTGAACGACTCGATGCGCTGCCTCGAGGCGGGTGCGGTCGAGACGCTCATCTGCTTCGAGGACTTAGCCGTGAACCGCTACGTCGTTACAAAGAGCAAGGGCAACGAGGATGAGACGCAGGAGGTGCACCTGCTCACGGAGGCGGAGGCGGAGAAGAAGAACATTCACGTCCACGAAGCTGGCAAGACGCAGAACGAGATCGAATCGGAGAACTTCGTGGAGTGGCTGACGCTGAACTACCAAAAGTTCGGCTGCACGCTGGAGCTAATCAGCGACCGCAGTCAGGAAGGCACGCAGCTCGTCCGCGGCTTCGGTGGCATAGGTGGCATTCTACGCTACAAGATGGACGTGATGGCGCTGCGCGATCACGACAAGCACGTGGACGAGGCGGAGAAGGTCAAGGAGAACAACGAAGACTTTGACTTCGATGACGACTTTATGTAACAGAAGAAAAAACACGCACACCGAGTGTGCCGTTTGTGTTATAGTCGCGCGCATTGGAACACGGAGGGCGACATTACTAAAATGAACTTTTCCATACTTAAGCGTCGCGTTGCAGCCGTCAGACGTCCCCGCTTTTTCTTTTCTGTCCTTCGATTGTCTCCTTCGTAGGCCTTTGAGTTTTGCTTTGGTTTGTGTTTGCGTGTGATTATTATTGATTATTCTACTTGGTTTGTTTCGCGTTCTTTTCCTTTGTAACTCAGCGCCCTGGGCGTTGTGCGAGGGGTCCGGAGAAAAGATGCTTCATTTTGACGTGCACACGCGAACAGCGAGTCGGCATGGCAAGTGGTGAGAAGGATGCGAAGGAGTCGGAAGGGAGTCTGGCGGTTCTCGTCACCGCCTGCCTTTGGCATCACCTTGATCGTGGTGAATGCGCGCGGCACGCTGCACCTTGCGACATCGCTAGACTCTCTGTTATCGTGTCTTCTCGACGCTCCCACTTGCTGACTCCCGCCGTCTGCTTTTTCCCCCTTATGCGTTTCGTCGACGCCGCAAACTGTGAGTTCCTGTTGTTGTGGATGTTTCTCTTCTTCGTCTACCTCGCTACTAAGTATGTTAAATAAGATGTTTTTTGTTTTTCCTTTCCGTTTTGAGTTTTGTGCTAATTACCGTAATAAAAAGATAAACGGGCTGAAGTGTGTTGTCAACTTCTGTGTTTCACACACGCTAATCGCGAAGAGTGTGTGGCAAAAAAAAAAGGATGAGGAGAGAAAGACGACTGCTCTGGTGGTTTGGGAAGCCAACTGAGTTGCCCACTCAAAGATGAAAGAGGCGGCGCACGGGGATGACGCTAGCTGGATTCTGGTGTACAGCCTTCCCCCCCCCCCACACACACACACACCCTTTTTTTTAGCGCTCTTTCTTGCGTACGCAAATTGTTGGGCAATAATCGTTTATTTTCTCTCTTGTTTTCACCTCGCCCCCTGTGAAAGGCAATCGTTCTCCGCCCCTTCAACGCACGACGCTTGTCTATCATTACGTTTACTTCTTGAAAACATCCATGTATCGTTGTCTTCTCCCGTTTACCTCCATTTCTTTCCTCCACTTCTCTTTCGTTATTCAATCTCCATTCACTCGCTAAACATACTGTTTTTTGCGTGCATAAACGTTTTCCAAAAGCACCCGTGTCATCCACGAAAAGAGAACAGCTGCGAACAGTCGACTGTTAGCTTTGGACAACTGGCTTACTGCTTTCAATAGGTACAACTTGTTTTTCTTTTCCTGTTTGTTTCTTGTTGTTGTTTGCTGCGGTGGTGGTGGCGTCTCCACGATATACTGATCTTCTTTGGTTGTTGTGTTTGCTCCCCCTTTTCTTTTGTCGGTCGCGGTCCCTTCGCTGCTCACCGCCACGCAGGGCTGCTCGCAAACGAATATCATCATTATTGATGAGTTGATATTGTTCTGTTTTTGCTTTGTTTTCTTGTTCACTCAAAACAAACAGAAGAAAAGCCTTCTGTGTTTCTTCAGGCATTCAAGTAATCGCTTGAGGCTCTCTCCGTACATCGCAAACGGCTATCGTTCTTACTTTCTTAGGCACATAGGAAATAGACGACTGCTCTCCGCAGCTGCGTACTTCGATTTCTATTCTTGATTGTTTCTAATCCGATACATACATACTTTTCCTACCCCTAACTTTGACTCGTGCGCTGTGGTGATTGGCTGAGGCCGAAAACAACTCCCGCTGCTGTCGTTGTTCTTTGTTTTTAAGGCTTCTTCTCCTTCGTGAGGCGCAACTCAAAAAAAAAACCCCGATCTTTTTTCTTTCTTCTCTCTGTTCGCCGCTGCGTGCCGATACATTAACGCCCTCGCCTTCTATTATTATTCTTTTTTTTTTTTGTAGAGAAGCGCGAACGACGCTCTTCAAAGGAGTTTTGTTTCTCCCGTTCGCAACCGTTTGTCGTCGCTTCCCGTCCACCATTGAGGGTAATCGTCTTCCTTTTCTTCTTGTTGAACGCACAGCTCGGTGGTGTATAAACACGTTTCGAGCAGAGTTTTAAAAAACAACAACCAAAAACTACTAGGAGTACAGTAGGACTTCGTTGTCACAAAAGAGCATTAAGAAATTGTAGCAACCACCAAAGCTAGGAGAAGCAGAATTCTGAGCTTCACGATTTGTCACATATAATACTCTTCTCTATTGTTTTGTGTTTTGTGTAGCACCTTAGTTACTCACTACCATCAATTATTTATTTACTCGTCTCCCGTCGTTCTTGTAGTCGTTGTTGTTCATCCGCCTGCTCTTTTGGTACCGCGAAGATGCCGCTTGGCTACTTGGGCTCGAAACACACGGTGTACGACATCTACCCGATCCGCAACAAACGTGCGTTGCTCCTGGTAGACCCACAGAACATTCTCCATGACTCCGCCGACCTCCACGCCACCATCGGCACCATCTCCTACCTGCTGAAGAAGCACGCCATCGTCGTCGTTGCGGCGTCTTTCGGGCCACTCCCCGGCATCACGCTGAACCTGTCGCGCAAGGAGCGGGAAGCCGCCTTGGAGGCGTTCCGCAGGGAAGATGGTCTCGGCTACACGAACTTCTTCTCCTCGCTCACACCGGCGGAAAAGGTGAAGCTGCTTTCTCGTGTTCCCGGACTGGACTTTACCCCGTCCCCGGCGAGTGCCCCCGGCTACCATCAGGCCCCCAACACGGGTAAGACATCGCTCTTTGGCACCTTAAGCAACGAACAGAAGTCTGCCGTGCTCCGCGCCGCGTACCCGAATCAGGACTTCGTCTCCTGCACAACGTTTCCGTTTGTGGCGGCGCTGCAGCAGCACTTCCCAGGCGTGCAGGTCACCTTCGCCCCGGACTGCATGCGTCCACCGACGATTCAGATGCAGCCGGGCACCATCGTCGTTCTCGAGAACTACCGGTTTTACCGCAACGAAATCGCGACCGTCGCGGAGGAGCGCATTGCGATGGCCGAGGTGCTAGCCGCCGAGATCGACGTCTTCATCAACGATTCCTTCGGCACCTCGCACCGCACGCTGGCGAGCAATGTGGAGCTGCCAAAGCTGCAGCTGCATGGCGCCGCCGGGCTGTCGATGGAGCGGGAGCTGGCGTTCTACTCGAAGTTTCTGAGTCACCCGTCGCACCCGCTGGCGGTGATGGTCGGTGGCAGCGATATCGTGCGCAAGATGCGGCTCATCCGCAATTTGGCCGAGCGGGTCGACCGCATTCTCATTGCGGGTGCGGTGGCGTTTCCTTTTCTGGTGGCGCGTGGCGCGCAGGCCGGACGGGGATACGAAACAGGTGAGAAGGAGCTGCGCATCAGCGTGGTCACGACTCCGCTAAATAACTCGTTAGCGGGCCGGGAGTGTCTCCCCACGACGCGGACCTGCTCGCAGTACGCGGCGGAGATTCTCCAAATCTGCGAGGAGAACAACGTCGATGTGGTGCTGCCCATCGACCACCTCGCTGTAGCGGATCCAGACATCCGGCCCTACGACGACACGGAGGGGAAAGAGAAGGCGAAGATTGTCGAGGTGCCGTCGCCGTCGGTGCCGCCGGACATGTACAGCGTGGATTGCGGCGTGGAGACGGTGAACCTTTTCATGCGCAGTTTGCGTGGGTGCCGCACGCTCTTCTGGACGGGCATGATTGGCTGGTATGGCAAAGGCTTTTGCAAGGGCACCGAAAGCTTCGCCACGCGGCTGGCCAGCACCGACATTATTGCAATGCTCGCCGGTCAGCACACGGCGCTGACCGCACTGGATTTGGGCATCGCCGACAAGGTCTTTCACGTCTCGGGCGGTGGCCTCGCGTCGCTCGAGTTCCTCATGGGCGGCTCGCTGCCCGGCATCGAGTCCCTCACCGACGTAGCGCCCCCGGTAGACCCGAAGATGTACATCTCCGTGAATGAGCTGCTGCGGTCGCTGCCCCTCTTTGCGGGCTGCAACTCGCATCAGCTGCGCACTGTGGCCCGCAAGTTCGTGCGTCGCGTCCACGGCGAAGGCGACTTCCTCTTCCACCGCGGCGACCGCCATACGTGCATGTACCTGGTCGCGCGTGGCGGGCTCGTGGCGCACTACGGCGAGGACTACAGCTCCACGCCGTCTCGCTACGTCGGCAAGGGGCAAACCGTCGGCATGTACGAGTTCATTACGCAGGCGCAGTCGATGGAGACGGTGCGGGCGGCGCTGCCGGACACCGTGACGTACCACCTCTCCTTCTTTGTGCTGAACGACCTCTTGAACGGGTACCCCGACCTCGCCATCCAGCTCTTCCAGAACATCTCCGAGCCGTTGCGCCAGATCGTCAACGTCGATTACTACAACCAGCAGACGCCGACACAGGTGGCGTGGCGGAACAGCTGCCGCACCCGCGTGCCGCTGCCGTGCACCATCCCCCGCAACACGGCGTTGTGGGAGGATGTTGTGCAGGACGTCATCATCGCGGTGGCGCTGCAGAAGCTGACGATGCGGTTTACGCCGTATGTGCCGAAGACGCCCAACATCGAGCCGGAGGCACTCGTCGGAACACCGAGCGTGCTCTACGGCGGCCTGCTGCAGCGTCTCCAGTATCACCAGTACTTGCCTTGCAACATCGCCGTGGCGGTCCTGCGCAACTTCCTCTACCACTACATCGTCAGCTGGATGCACAGTCCAGCGGTGGCGGCCGTTGTGAGCGCCATGGCCGTGTCGCCGCTGCGTGTGTGGAGCTACGGCATTATGTACTGCGACATCAACTTCAAGATGGTGCTGGAGGAGGCGGTGTGCGGCGCGGTAGTCAGCGTCGCGCCGGCCACGGCGTACAAGTACATGCTGAGCCTGCAGGACCGTTACGAGCGTCGCCGGCAGCGGCCAATGGGTCGTGTGACGCAGCTGGCGTTGATGGCCGTCGTCAAGGCCCTGCTCGGCGTGATTATTTTTCCTGTGATTTACCAACGCAACTTCATCTACACCCAACCGACGGCGAGCCGCTTCTGGAAGACGGACGCCTTTAAGGCCTACGAGGTGAAGCAGGTACTCTCCGTGCTGCTGCGCTGTTCGGTGCACAACTGCTTGAAGGTGCTGAGTCTGGCGTAAGAGAGGCCGCTCGACGCACAAGGTTTACTGGAAAGGAAGAGGAGAGGAACTTGATTGGCTCGGGCTCTTGTCGCTGGTGTTGTTTGCTTGTTTGTAACTACTCGGTGTACTGGTTGTGCGGTATGGCACTCGTTGCGGCTTGCCACTGTGCGTAGGGCAGATAGTTTTCCTGTCGGTGTTGTTACTTTTTGCTGTGGTCGTGTTGGCGTGCAAGAGCTTCTGTAACTGCGTGTGTCGGCCTTCAATGACGATCCCCTGCGAACGTTGGTTTTTTATTTATTTTTCTCTCCGTTTCTTTTTAAGCCATCGACGTAATTGTTATACCTCTCCATAAATATACATCTAACTTTCTTCTGTGTGGGTGTGTGTGGAGTTGTACGAGCGTGTTAGTGGAGTCTGATCTCTTCTCTTTTCTCTTCTTGCTTTTTTTTTCTGCCATCGCAGTGTCCTTGCGCAACTATCAAAAGACTTTGGACCAACGAAACCACAACAACAAAAGATTGTTTTTCATAATGGCGATTGGCAACGCGGTCACGACGGCCTCAATAAACGCAGTTCGCAGACGGCACTTCTGTGTTCACAATACGGCAAAGCAACATGGGAACCGCCAGCGTTGTGTGGTGTTCTTCTTGTATTTTCTTACTGGCACGCCACTCCTCTTTCAACTGCAGTTGCGCTCTCCTGTCTTCTCATGCCCACCGCTTTTCACGCATCCGCCCTCCCTCTTTTTCTCTTACCTTTCTGTCGCTGTTACGCATTTCTCCCTCCAAAGGAAAAAAAAAACCTTCCGCAGATTCTTCTCCATTTCACGTCATCTCATTTTTTCTTTTGCGTTTCCTTTGTTATACATCCATCCAAGTTTACTTTCACATTACAATCATCGTTGTTCATTCTTTTGGGGGGCGCCTCCGTTTCGCGATTTGCCCAGCAAGCCGACCCAACCTCTGCGTTTGACGTTCTTCGCTTTGGCAGTTTACGCCCACCTCTCGGCATAACAACTCACCCAAGACAAAAGAAGAAGGAGAGGATCTTGAAAAAAAAAAAATGCCGTTGTGTGGCAGCGCCCCGGAGACGGTCGACACGGACCTCAACCTGCACGGTGCCTATCTGACGGATCTCGACAAGTGCATGAAGAAGTTCAACGAGGCGCTGACCTCGACGATGAACGCGTACCGCAATCTGCTGACCGCCTTTGATCAGGTGGGCCAGGTCTACGGCAACGTTGCGCAAACGTGCAGCAAGGAGGTGAGCGGACCGGTGCGGGAGTTCCGCGACGGCATGCGTGACCTGAAGGACAAGGGCGGCTTTGAGACCTTCAACAGCGAGATTCACGGTGGAACCACGGCGGCTATGGAGCCCATCAAGCAGGGCCTGAAGCACGCCATGAAGAGCTACAAGGATGTCAAGGCTCGGCAGAAGGAGTACGACACGGTGCGCTACAGCCTGGACCAGAAGGAGAAGTCGTACTCCAAGAAAGATAAGCCGCTGACGGAGAGCAAGGACTACCAGAAGAATGTGCTCAAGCGTGAGAAGACGAAGGAGGTGTTCGAGGCGAGGCGGTCCGAGTTCGGCCAGGAGATCGAGGCCCTGCAGAAGACCACGGACAGCCTGCTGCTGCGCTCGCTGAACAACTACCTGCACTGCACAGCGTCCTTCTGTGGGCAGCTGGAGGCAACCATGAACAGCTACCGCACCGACACGAACGGCTCAGGCTCGCAGAAGATGTCCAGCATGGACAAGCTCAAGAAGCAGGCGCAAGCCCGTTCCACCGCGTCGACCGTGAGTGCCCGTTCTGGAGGCGACAACTCCCACCCCAACAAGGACAAGAGCCGCAACTCCGCGTCGAACGCGAGTGCGCGCTCTGCTGGCGATGACTCCTACCCAAAGAAGGACAAGATCAACGGCAACGGCTACCCAAACGAAGAGCAGCCACCGGCGTTTAACGGCAAGGAAAGCGGCTCATACCCGTCGGAGGAGCAGCCGAAGCGCGGCAACGACGCTGGCTACCCATCCGAGCAACGGGGCAAGCAAGATGATTTTTATCCGGCGGAGGAGCAGCCCAAGGCCGACGGAGGCAACGGCATGCATTACCCCGAAGAGACGCCTGGTCGGAACCCACTTAGTGAGACCACAGATTAAGCATCGAAGGCGAAGGGCGCTGATGCCATTTTCGGCCAGTTAGCAACCACCCATGCGTCTTGTGTTTCTTCATTTTTCCATGCCACACGCTCCGGGGAATAGTTCTTCCCTTTCTTTTTCTCTGGCGGAACCGCACGTACTGCGCATCCAAGGAACGTGCACGGGCATGGGTTTGTGTACAGATGTGTGTATCAGTGAGTTGCACGCGATTGGCAGCCTTTTTTTTTCTTGTTCTTCGCCTTTTATTTTCCCATGTTTTCTCGCTTCTTCGTTGATGTTTTTGTTTTTGTTTTTCTCTCTGTAGAGCAATAACGCGTTTCGTTTGTTGTTGCGGTGTTGCTGCAAATGATTTTCCCTTTCTTTTCCCCAGTTCGTGATAGCGTGAGATCCAAGGAGGCCACGAAACGAGAAACAAAAAGTTCTTTCTTTTTCTATATGGGATGTGGTCTTGACGATATATTTCCACCGATACACACGACGGGGAACTTCTCTCCTAGAGCAACCACAGTCTTTTCGTCCGGTGAGAAGAAAGAAAATATACTAAATGCTTGTTCAACCTCTTCAGATTTTGTTTATTATGTTCCTCAACACTTTTCTTGTATCTGTGTGTGCTTGTCTTCCTCCGATTCATACCAAGGGCCGCATTGATGATGTCAGTGCCTACGTTCCCTTCATCTTTGTTTTGCTGTTTGTTCACTACGCGCTCCCCTAAATGCATCTCCTCTGATCGGCAGCTTCATTGTCCGCGGCTGAGTGCCGTGCGTTGCGGACCCCACTTCTTGTGTGTACAGGCCTCTCGTTTTTACTTTTTTCTTCGAGGCGCCTTAGCGGCACAAGGCGAGCGCGCAGGTCGGAATGCACTGACACGTTCCGCGCCTCGGCTACGATCATTGAGATGTGCAAGTACCACGCACGTCTATTTCCGTGTTATTATTATTATTTTTCTCTTGTCGATGTGTTGCACGAGGACAACGATAAATGTTTGCGATCCCCTCGACTTGGCTTGCGTCGATGTACCCCTTTGTTTTTGCTGGACAAGCAACTAGTAAAACAATTAAAAAAATGAGAACCAAAAACCCACAGCAAAAAGTAATCGGCGCCTGTTTGTGTGCTCTTTTGTAGCACACGCAGAGCACCGCCGAAAAGACAAGCGGGGAGAATAGGGCGGTGGCGACGTACAATTAGTGAGGTGATGCTGTTCGAGTGCGATGGGTTGCGCTGCCACGGGATTCGGGGCCTCGTGGTGTTCTCCGCGCCGCCTTTTTCGCGGCAAGTGCGGATGTGCCTCTTCGTCGCCGCCTACGCTCCCTCCCTCCGCCCTCCCCCCTCTTCCTTATTATTTCCTGCTGCTTCTTCCTCTGATGCCTTTTTTCGTTTGTGTTTTTCCCTGCGCTGTGTTTTCGCCGGGCCCGGGGGCTTTCCGGCTCTGGGGCATGCGGCATGCGGCGCGGCCGCCGCCCAACGCGCGCCCGGGGAGGAGAGACGGGGAGAAGGCGGAAGAACAAAATGAAAACCGGCGGAAACAACGGGCCACGGCTAAAGCGCCGCAAAAAGAAAAGTTGCGGGGCAACGAATGCTGCACCTCATTATGGATGCATCGTTTTCCTTCCCCTCCATTTTGTTGGACGGAGGGTGTGATGAGACTGATCGCGGTCCACCCACGAGAAGAACGCTTCGCTTTCCTTTGACAAATAGAGAGCTGGCAAAAAGCACAGGGCATTTAAACTAAAAATGAGTTGACGACTGCGTGTTATAGCTTCAGCACGTTCTGCACACCGCGGAAGCACAAGGTATTCAGCGCATCGGCGAAGAATGACGGACACTGCTGCAACACTACGTTGTAGTTCAGGTGCTCGCTGAAGCCCACGAGCACCGGCATCACCGGTGAGGTCCCGTCACCCGACATCACCAGCTGAAACTGCGCGTCCAGTACGGCACCGAGGCGGCTGTGCTCCAGGCCCTGTATCGGCGCCACCGCGGCGAGGACGTCGCGCAGCGTGTGGGAGACGACGGGAAGCACCTCCTTCTCCCAGACGTCTGTGCAGTTCGTGAGCGCGGCCAATTGGCCCTTCAACGCCGCCGCGGAACAGCATTCGCACGCGGACTCCGCCGCGGTGGTGATGGGGCCGGAGGTGGGGAGAAGCGAGACCCAGTTGTATGCATGCACGTAGGCCTCCAGCCCCGTCTCCGCCGAACGCCAGGACCGCACGATGAGGGGAACGTGCACGAGCATGCGCGAGCCCGGCGAGAGCGTCAGGGCCTCCGCGTCGATGGCACGCACAAGGCACAGCGGTCCCACCTCTGCAACGCGCAGCATCTCCCGCACGCGGGGCCAGCCGTGCAGCGTCACTGGGCCCCACACACGACGCCCGTCTTCGCCCACCAGCTCCCACACGGAGTCCCCCACGACGCCCTCCTCGACGGCACACCCGATCAGCTCGGACAGCTGCGAGACGCCATCCAGCCGCTCCAGCACAAGCGGTGTCTTGCCCACTGTGTGCTGCTCCAGCGCGGCGAGGTTGCGTGCGTTGGTGAGCTGCTCGTGCTCGGGCAAGTGCACCACAAAGCTCGCGTGGCTGAAGTCGGTCATGCTGCGGAAGACGTGATTCGTCATCCACACAACCGCCGCCTCGCTGGGGAGGGACACCATTTGAAAGGGAGCTGCGTCCCCTTGAAAGGCAGCGGACGTACTGAGCGCGCCAGCCACGCCTCGGTGACTCACGTACACCGGCAGCTTTCCGGATGGACTCTGGCCGTCACCACTTTCATTTGACATCGTGAGCCGCAGAGGGGCGTACGTTGGCTCGACGACGCTTCGCTGTTGCTGCCGCAGTTCGATCATTGCGGCGCTCGTCAGTTGGTTTTGCACGCTCCGCTGCGCCGAGACGTACGCCTGCTCGCGGTAGTGGTTCTGCCACGCCTCGCGGCACTTCTGAATCACCTCCGCCTTGGGCGGTTCACCGGACCAGGACTCGTACAGCACCCGCGACACCGCCTCTCCGCAATACGGTTCGAAGCGGTGGTGCGGGTGGCGGGCGAGCACTGTGCCAGCCTCCACCGGTGCCGTGATCCAGAAGAAGGAGAAGACGCACTGCTGCGACGCGAAGTAGAAGGGCAGCGTCACCATCTTCACGTTTGTCTCCTCGTCGTCGAAGGTGGTGTAGAGAGCACTGCCGATCTCATCGGGTACGAACCAGTAGTGCGGCTCGACGTCGTCGTTGCGCGGATTCATCAGGTCGTAGCTCCCTACGTAGGGCCACAGGCCCGCAATCAGATGATCTACACGGCTTTCATTTCCTTCCGCACTTGCCTCGGCAAATGGAGATGGCGCCTCACACTCCTGCCGCGCAATCTTCTCCAGGCGCGTCCGCAGGGCCTCGTTGCGCAGCAGCTCATCGCGCAGCGTGGGAAGCTGGAAGGTGCAGCAGTGGTCCACGAGCCACACGTCGTCCTCAGCCGGCAGGTCGTGGGTGGCGACGAGGTAGTAACCCGGGTAGCTCAGCACGGACGACGGGACAGCCGCGCCGCTTCCCGCGCCGTTCGCGCCGGCACCGTCCTGCTCCTCCGCGTCGCTATCGAGCACCGCGTCGGCGCGCGGCCAAAGCGCCAGTGCGAATCGGTTGCCGGAGTCGAACATGCTGTTTACGATCTTTTCGTACAGACGACGGTGCAGCTGCTCTGGCACCTGATGCGCCGCGAGCCACGTCTGCAGCGTGTCGTTGAACTCCTCGAACGAGTCCATCAGGGTGTCTCGCGTGAAAAGGAAACAATAAAAGATGAAGGATGACAACTCTCAAAGCACGTGCACTTGAAAGGCGAAGAGGCGAGAGGACGTGAGAAAAGCCGTCCAATGCAAATGCTGAGAATGATTTTTCTTTTTCTTTTGATGGTGGAGGAACCACGCAGGGAGAAGAGTGTCCGGGGTGCGCGTGGGAAGGAACAAAAAAGAGACGACGTAGGTGAGGACCGAATGACACAACAGTGTGTAGATGATACAGCCAGTGTGTGCTGGAAAGGCTAAATCAACAGTCAACGTGAAGTGCGTCACGACGTGTTGCGGCGACAAAGAAAAACAGGAAAAAAAAAGGGAAAAAAGGAAACACCACCCGAAGTCCCAGCCTCAAGAAGAAGAAACTAGGTGGTATACCGCTGATCTTCTAGAAGTACGCGCAAGAGTGAGTATGACAGCTGCAACCTCTTCCCGTTGCACGTGACAGCGCTTGGTTGCTTTGAAACTCCTTGGTTGAGTAACGAACGTGTCGGGTATGTGTATTCGCCGGCGATGAAGTGAAAGGAAGACGCGGAGTGAAAAAAAACAGGAAGTGAAGTGAGGGCAACGACGACAGATGGGACTCGAGACGACGACATCGAAAGGCGCAAGCACGGCTTGCGCGCTGTCTTTCCGCAGAGAAAGTAAACGGGGGAGGGGTCAAACGCGAAGGCCACAGCATGACCTGCACACGCAAAAGAAGCCGTAGAAGCCGAGGTCGCCTAGCGAAACAGAGAAGAGCACAACACTGCGGTGCTTCGCCAGCAGACGAAGGACCCTTCTGCACTCTGCCGTAAAAACATAAAAAGGAATCCTCGAGGTGTTCATGCTATATACACATCGTAAACGTACCGAAAAGCCGCTGAGTAAAAAGAGAGAAAAGAAAAAACAGCTCGGTAAGTTGCATCGCAAAAAGACGACTCGAGTACATCGATAACCGCCGCCGAGGGACAGTTCAGTACGAAAACAGGGGATTCAACAAAAGACAGGCAATGAAAAACAAAAAGGCCTTGCTGTCCGCTTCAAAGATTCACCAGGTAGCACGCCACGCTGTTGAGGGCCGCCTTGACGATCTCCGCCTCACTCCCGCATTGAATCTGCAGAGGAAAAATCGACGTCTGCCGCTCCGCATCCGCGTAGACGGGAATCGTCGCTCTGCTCTTCGCTGCGTCGATCTTGCCGGCGTCCACCCAGCCCACCGTGATGTTGTCCGGCAGCGGAATCGACGAGGGCGAGTTGGCCTGGACAGACGTCAGACGACCATCGGGCGTGATGCCCGCACCTTGAATCTGCAGACTCGATGCGGCGATCTTCACCGTGACCGAAGCCTGCGACACGCCCCCCATCGCAGCAACAAGGACGAGGTCCACCAGAGGAGACCGGCTGACACGCGCGGTGTGCTGGCGCAGCGCGTTGAAGAAGGTTTGCGGGCGGAGCAGGGCCGACAGGTCGTAGAGGGCCGACTGGCTCAGCGGCTGCTTCAAATTCGCGCTGGTCGTGTTATACTTGCGGGTGAGCAGCGCCAACCACATCTTCGACTCGTGCGGGCCGTCCATGCGATCGAGCCAGCGACTCGGCATTCGGCCGCTCATCAGCTCCGTCGCCTCCGCACGCAGCTCGACGTCGGGGATGATGGTGCCGTCCGCAACCGCCTGTAGCGTCGCGAAGTACGCCCTCACGTCCTTGATGATGGCACCCAGCAAATTCACTTCGCTGATGAAGAACACCTCCATTGGGGTCGGGTCGCCGTTGTTCTGACTGGACACCAGCGGCGGCACGCCCACCGCAGCCACCCCGCTGCTGCGCCACACCTCCAGCACCGGGTTCAGTCGCCCCCGCCACTGCTCCCCGCTTGTCTGCGCCGTATGTTCCTCTTTGCCGAGCTCGCGCAGTGACTCACGCATGCTGTGCGCCACCTCCTCCTGCACCGTGCGGTCGGCGTTGTTGCACAGGCAGAGCAGCGCGGGCGGGTCGACGTCGGGGAGTTTGCTTTGGAACAACTGCACCACGTTGTCGTGCTGTCCGGCCGTGGCCGCCGTGAGGCCCGGGAAGAGCTGCACCTGGTCCTGAAGCAGAACCTTTTCGTTGAAGTAGTTGCGAATTAGCAGCTGGAGCACCATCTCGTCAGCCGGGCTCTCCAGGCGACCGCCGTACAGGCAGTTCTCGAGGAACCCGATGAGGGTGACCCAATCCAGCACGGGCTGCTTTGTCAGCGTCGTCAGGACGTCGGTGGCCGCCTTCAAGTCTGCCGGGGAGAACTCGTAGAACTTCGACCACCCTTGTGGGACGTAGGTGCGGCGCTCCTGCACCACCGCGTGAAACCACGCCAGGCCGAGGAGCAGGCGCGCCCCGATGGGCGTCTGCGCGGACAAGAACGCCTTGTCCCACAGACCGTAGGTGCGCAACACATTCTGCTTCACACCGGGCGGGGCCTCCACGGCGACCTTGTTGGACATGCGCAGCAGCACACTCGGGAACAGGTCGTGCTGCTCCGTGGTGATGATGAGGCGGAAGTCGGAGTTCGGCTCCGGCATCGAGCACAACTCGTTTTCCAGCACCGACGCCCAGCTGAGCACCAGGTGGAGGTTCTTGAGGAGCAGCCAGTCACCCTGCGCGGCACAGCGGCGCACCTGCTGGAGCGCGGCGTCGGTCTGTCCGCCACCGAGGGCAATCTGCACAAAGCGCTCTTTGCCGACGAGGTGGTTCGCGACATCCTGTATCTCCACGCTTGGGTCCGCGCCGCTGGAGGTGACCAAGAGAACCGGAGAGCTGCAGCGGGTGCCCAGAATGGTTTCCTCCAAGGACACCACCGGAGCGAGCGACGGGAGCCCCAGTTTGCGCAGGACGATCTGCAGCGACGCCGCGGCCATTCGATCGGGTCGAAACGTGTTGATCCAGAGCAGCTGCTCCATGTCAGAAAAGCCCGCCGCACGTGGCTGCTCTGCTCTTGCTTCACCCAGCAGGGCCTGCTCCGGCGCTGGGGACTGCATGACAGTGGTCCACTTCTGCGTCTGTCGCACCTCCCACTTCTCCACGAGCAGTTTGCCGGTGCTGCTGGAGAGGATGCCGGCGTACTTGATCTTGCTCGACACCGGCGCCCACGGCGGCAGCTGCGAGTCGTCGACGGCCGTCACGTTGGTGATGGTGCCGACGAGAGCATCCCATAAATCCTGCGGAAAGGCGGACGGCCACAAAACGTGCAAGATGTGGAGGCCAAAGACAAGGCGGTCCTTCTTGAGAAGCCCGCGCGCCACGTTGTGGAAGCACGTCTTCGTAAAGCTGGCCACGAGCACCTGGACCTTTTCAGCTGCGTTGTTGCTGCCCTTGTAGGTCGTCAACGCCTGCGTGAAGAGGGCAATATAGTCGGTGATGCCAAACTGGTACATGTGGTTGAGCGCCTCCATGTCCTGAATGACAAAGAATAGCGTCGCGCCGTGGTGGGCGAATGGTCGGTAGACTTCTCGTTTCTCATCCAACTCCGTCTGCAGGTCGCGCGACATCTTCAATGACTCCTCAATGTGCGATGCCTGAACCTTCACCTCGTTCAGCGACTTGATCAGTTGCGTGTTCTCCAGCAAGCTACCTTGCGAGTCCGCCAGGTCGTCCAGGAGGCGCTGCTCTAGCTTGTTCAGCTCGAGCTGCAGTCCCTCTTCCTTCTTGAGTAGCTCGACCTTCTGCTTCTCCAGCTCGGGGCGCTCGCGCTGCAGCGTCACGCCGAGCAGCTGCCCCTCCAGCCCAAGACTGGTCACCGAGAAGTTCACCTCCGCCACGAGCGCCGCGGCGCTCGGTGAGAGGTTCACCGCCGACTGCCGCGAGAAGAGAAGAATGCGGAAGCTGTCCTGCCACTCCACGGCCTTGTTGCCCACCTGCACCACCCGCTTCGAGCCGGCCGAGGTGAGGTCGTGGCGCAGCACGGTGTACAGCAACGGTGCAATGGTGCTCACCTCCGTCACGAGCAGCGTCTTGCCAAAGCGAATGGCCAGCTCCAGGGTGTGAGTGAAACGCTCGTCGTGCATGGAGATGACTTCGACCACCACGTTCGCCGCCTTTAGGTGCTCCTTCACCCATTCCACCGCCTTGCTCGCTGGGTCGACAATCAGCGGCGTCTGCTCCGTGTCCAGCATCACCACCGCGTTCTCCAAGCTCAGGTCATCCGCTGGCAGCCCCTCCGACTTCCACTGCAGCAGCTCGCCCTCCGTGCGCAAGAAGCGTGTCACATCCACCACCTCCGTAAGGTTCAGGCGGTCGCACCACGTCTTGAGGTAGCGGCGCCGGCCACTCTCCGTCTCCTGACCGAGGTACGTCAAGAAGCCCGCCGCAGCGAGGGCGCGCTTCGGCATGGAGTCGTTCGCCTCTCCAATCGACCTCACCTCTCCAGCCCAGCGATCCTTCTCGCCGCTCAGCTTGTCCAGCAGCTCCTTCGCCTTGCCAAGCTCCTCCTCCGCGGCCTTCAGCTTCGCCCGCAGCCGCTCCGCCTCCTTGCACTTCTCTGAGAAGCCCTCGCGCAGCTCCTTCACCTTCACGTCGATCTTCTTCAGCTTCTTCTGCAGGTGCTCCAGCTTCGCCGCGCCCTCCCTCTGGTTGCTCTCCAGCTGCTCCAGCTGCTGCGTCAGCGGCGCAATCCGCTCCATAATCGTCGAGTACTCCAGCATCGCCTTGACCCACTCCGCCATCGGCGCCGCCGCGACAGACGCGCGTTGGATCGTCTCCGGCTTGAAGAACGCGGCCCGCTCGCGCAGCAGCTTGTCGACGCGGCGGCGGATGTCGGCGGTCACGTTATTCACCTCAAAGTCAAGAATGCGCTGCTTCGCCCCCCGCTCGCCGAGGAACTGCCGCATCGACTGCCACGACACGTCGTTGACGCCCAGCAGCGCCAAGACGCCCTCCAGCACCACTCGAATAGCCTCCGGTGGGGAGGGGAGGGAACGGATTTCGTTGAGCTGCTCGCTGCGGATGGAGCTCACGGCGTCGCGGGCGGCCTCCATCATCGGCTTGATGCTGCTCAGCTCCTCCTCCACCTTGCCGCGATTGGTTGCGATATCTTTCTGCTCCGCCTTCAGCTGCTCCTCTAGAGCAGCGGCCTCGTCGCGCTGCTCCTGCGACTCCTGCATGCTGGTCTGGATTTCGTTGAGCGCCTTGTCCGCCGCCTTCTGCATCTTTTCCACGTCCTTCTTCTTGTATGCGACGTCCTCCTTCACCTTCTCCACGCTCTCCTCTGCCTCCTTCAGTTTCGCCAGACCGACCTCGAAGCGCGCCATCTTCTCCTTGCTCGAGTGACTCTTGCTCGCCAGCATGGCGCGGAAGGTGTTGATGAGCACCTGCACATCGTGCGGCGTCGACCGCTCCCCCATGCCCTCGTGCATGGCGTTGATCTCACGATGCACGGAGAAGCCTTTGTTGGCCGGGCTCGCCTCCAGCGCCGCGATCTCGTCCTTCAGCGCCGTCTTGCAGATCGTCTTGGTCATCTCGCTACTCCAAGAACCCATCCACAGCAACTCGCAGCGGCTGATCAAGGCGGGGTTCGATTGCAGGCGGATGAGAAAGAGTTCGTGCCGTGGGTCCATCAAGAGTGCCACGCGGAGGTTGCGCTGCAGCCGCTCGACAAAGTAGGTGTAGATCGCACCCATATGGCCGTCGTTGGCGGCGTCGTCGCGAATCGCAGAGAACATCGTCTCCATCTCCTCCTGCGTGAACAGACCTGGCACCTCGCCGCTGCTCAGCAGGCTGTTGATGTATTCTAAGAAGGCCTCGTCGACAATGTTGTGTTCCTCAAGCAAGAGCACCATCGGCGTGTTCTGCGAGGTCGCTCGTTGGATGAGACCGCGCAGGTCCAGCCGGAACTGCTTCAGCGCGTAATCCTGCGTCATGTTGAGCGACACCACCTCGCGGCGCTGTTGATAGGCGGCTAGCAGGACAGCGCTGCGGCGGCCAACACCGGTGCTGCCCACCAAGACTAAATGCCCGCCTGGTCGCGCAAGGACGCGGTCGACATAGGTCACCCAGCAAAGAATGTCCGGGATGGCGGGAACATGAAGCTCTTTGAACTCACGGCTGTACCGCAGCAGCACACGCTTGACCTCGTCGCGGACGTCGTCGTACTTCTTCTGTTGCAACTTCAACAGTCGGCGGGTGCCTTTCACGGCCGGCGGCGATGCGGCCGCACCGTCCGCTTGGTCACCGCCATCCATCACTGCAGTGTTGTCAGCGGTGTCCGAGTCGTTCTTCGTCGTCGCAGCCGCGGCGTCGTCCTTGTCGAACCAGGTCACAAACATCGTCGCAAAGCGGTCCTCCTTCGGCGGGACGGCGTACCCAATCGCGGCGAGCTGCTCGGCGAAGGTGCGCAACGCTTGGCGACGGTCCTCAGCGCGCGGCAGGCAGTCCGCAAAGATGCGACTGGCCTCGTACGCCAGCACCGCCGGCAGCGTCGTGCGGGTGTCGATGTGGTACAGCAGCACGTTTGTGACCCACTTGGTGAGGTGGCGTGGGCAGAAGGAGAAATGTGCGTACTCCTCGCCCTCGAACTGGTGCCGCACCTTCTCGTACACCCGCAGCATGAACTGCGCCAGCTGGGTGCCTTTTTCATAGTCCTTCCCTTGGCCGATGTCTGTCTGCCGCAGAAGGTGCGACCAGTAGGTAGCGTAGACCTGCAGGAGGCTTGTTTTGGACGGGTAGGAGACACCGATGATGCTTGACAGCGCCAGCAGTCGCGGCGTGACAGAGTAGCGGCCCGCCGACGGGGCTGGGTTCATGCTCGCGACGATCTGCACGCGGTCTGTGCCGATCCACTCCAGATCCTGGTTGTAGAAGCCCTGGTAGAGAATGAGCTGCTGCAGAAAGGAGTGCAGCTCTACGGTGCCGTAGCGGTCCGCCTTAGGCAAGTTCACGTTCTTGAGAATGATCACCAACCGCTCGCCTTCGCGCGGACGGTAGATCGGGCCAACGTTCGAGTTCATCATGACACACATCTGCTCGATCTTCTGCACGACGTGCGTCGAGCTCGTCTGCGCACTGCAGTTGATCGTTGCGGTGCGAAACGACGGGCGGGCGGCGAAGACGTGCTCCAGCAGCGCACCTTTACCGCACCCCTCCGGCCCCACCACGAAGATCGGCGTGCACTTCGGGTCATCTAAGAGCGGCTGGAACATGGACACCAGACGCTGCACCTCGATTGTCTGCACGACTGGTGCCCGACCGGCGAGGAGCTCCGTCGGGGTCACGGTCGTCGACAGATCGGCTGTGAACTCCAACGCACGGTTCTGCGACTCCAGCCAGTACGAGTCGAAGGGCCGCGCCTCCGAGCAGGGCTGCTGGCCGCTGGTGGAGTAGAGCCACCGCGCAAGCTTCGTTGCAGACTCCGGCTTCAGACAAGCACCGAGACCGCGTGCGAGGGAGTAGATGAAGTCCTGCACATTCTTGGTATTCATCACGTAGAGCAGGGATGTGCGCAGCAGGCCCATGCGGGTGACGGGTACCGTAAAGTCGTTCAGCCGCTGTGTCTCGTCAATGGCAGCAAAAACGTACTTGAGGATGAGCGGTTTGATCACGTTCTTCACATGCAGCGACTTCCACTTCATCGCCGACTCCACCACCGCCTCCAGCTGCACGTCTTTCTCGGAGAAGAAGAGCACACCCATGCGGGACACCGTGGCAGGCGAGGCGAACTCCAAGCTGTGCGTCTCGAAGATGAAGTTGACGTTCGCGCCAAACTGAATGCGGACGCCGTTCGGCATCGTCAGCAGCTTGTTGTCGTCCAAAACAGAGTTGAGGGACTCGATCCATTCCGGGTCGATGTCGCCGTCGCACAGGATCCACGGGCGCGCTTCTTTTGGCTGCTTCACGACACTGCGCGCCGCCGCAGTCAGCACACCGTCGTACCACTCCCGCGTGTCGGGGTCCATGTACCCAAGGAGTCGCCGGCGCGGCATGGCTTTGGGGTTCATCACGTGCAGGGGGACGATGACGTGCATCGTCTGTAAGGCTTTGCGGAGAATGTTCAGGAGGGTGCTCTTGCCACTGCCGCTCGGTCCCACCAGCACGACACCGGTGCGCTGCTGCAGGGCCTCGTATAGCTGCAGCACTTTCTTCTGCTGCGAGGCGATGGGCTGCAACCCGAGCAGCTGCACCGCGCTACTCACCGCCGCCTCGAGCTTGTCGTAGGTGATCTCGCGCGACTCCACACCGGGGAAGACGTCACGCAGCAGGCCTTGGAAGACGCGGGCGTCATCGGCGGTCAATTTGCTGAGCGTGTTCGTGTTCAGCGATTGCAGCACCAACCCCGTCTCATCGTTCTGCGTCGGCGTCTTGCCCGGGTTTGCCTTCTTCCAGCGCTGGACGAGGGTACCGCCCAACCGCAGCACTGCCTTCAGCGGGCGCAGGCCCCAGTCGTAATGCTGCTGGCGGCTCATCAGCTGGCCACACAGGCGGTACAGTGCGACGATGTTCGTGGCAAGCGCCCTGGCGTGCGTGAAGCCTTCGGAGAAGAGCATTGTCGATGTGATGAGCTCGTTGTCCGGCACGCTCATCGCCACCTCGCGGAACAGCTGCTTCAGGTTGTCGGGCAGCCGCGTGCGGCCGCCGTAGCCCTTGCCGGCCGGGTTCAGTGTCACGAAGATGCCGGCGTTCGCATTGACGTTTACCTCCTTACCGAGCAGCAAGCAGTTGGCCTCGCCCGACTTCAGAGCCTGCTGAATGACTTGAATCATCTGCGAAATGGCGGAAAGCTGGTCGATCTTGAGACGGTTGAACTCGTCGAAGCAGCCCCACGCGCCGCACTTCACAATGCCTACAAAAATGCGTCCCATTGCCTTGAAGTCGATGCCCTCATCGCAGTTGAAGACGAGCACCTGACGGCCCATGGCGGAGCCCAGCGCCTTGACCGACTCCGTCTTGCCTGTTCCGGCGGGGCCGTAGGGGTTGCCGCCGTAGCCGAGGTCCATGCCTTTCGTCAGCACGAGGTAGCACTTGTCCGTCAGCGGCGTGTGCACCAACTTCGCGGCGTTGCCCTGGTACTCGTAGGTGTAGTCGAAGGTGGTGTCCGCCATGTGCACCGTGCAGCGGTGCTTCGCCTTGCCGTCACCCATGCGGTAGCGCAGCTGCTTCTTCCACCACCACTCCTCCACGTGGCGCACGTTGCGCGTGATCAACAGCTCGACCACCTCGATGTTGTGGATCGTGTCGAGAATCAGCGCCTTCGCCTTCAGCACGTCCACCGCACCCAACTCCGCCGTCATCGCGGTGAGGGCGTCCAGCCGCTGCCGCAGTTCGGCGAGGACCTTCTTGAGCGACTGCGTCGTGATCGCCTCCTCCACCTTGCGCGAGAAGTGGATGCCCTGCGCCACCTGCAACACCTGCGAGGGGTAACGGCTGACGCTGTCCTGCGTCGTCGCGTCGGTTTGGCCGACGCAGCTGACCAGCAGCGTGTGCAGCGTCTCCTGCATGCTGGCGTCGAGGGCGAGCAGCCAATCCTCCACGTCGTTGCTGGTGATCGAGACGGGGGTGCGCAGCGCCACCTCCTCGTGGTCGGCGCTGATCATGTGGGTGAGGGTTTTGTTGTCGGGGCTGAAGGTGACGGAGTGGATGCCCATAAACAGCTTCTTCAGGTGCGCCTGAATGACAGATGGGTCCTGGCTGTGGCCCAGCATCTCTAGAAGGTCCTCGTCGCTGATAAAGTAAAAGCGCGGCTGCTTGCCACGCTTTGCCTCCAAGTACTCCATCAACGACTTCTGGCAGCGCTCGATCTGCTCCAAGACGCCTTTTAATCGCTCATTCACGTCCATCTGGCTTGCAAGCGACATGACTCGCGGGTCTGCCTCGACCTCGCGCAGGATGGTGACAAACTCCTTGTCGACTCGTTTGAAGCGCGCCTGCTCGTGTGGTAGGGCACCGCGGGCAAAGATCGGCTCTAAGTACGCCCACTTGCGCTGAATGCTGTTCAGCAACGTCAGACTGAGTGAAAGGGAGACCAGCTTTGCCTCCCAGCCAGCCGCCTCATCGGCGAAGTGAGCAAAGAAGGGGCTGTCTTTGAGTGAGTTCACCAAGGCCTGATTGTCGCTGACCTGCGTCATGATCTCCTTCCAGTCTGTGATGAGGCGCACCTTGCTGGCGCTCTCTGTCGGCGGCGTCAACGTGAAAAACGCCTCGAGCGCCCACGTGCGCATGTCCTGCAAGGCTTCGCGAAGCTGAATCTCACCCTGCGCACGGGCGTGAAGCTGCTTCAGCTCGTCCTCCTTCGCCAGCAAGTTTTGGTAGTGGTCTAACATCATGCCAAAGTGGAGGTTCGTGCTCGTCGTCCCTTTTGGAATGTCGAGCAGGCGGAACATCTCGTTCCAGTGCTCCGTCATCCACCCATCGCCACGCACGAACTTCAGCAGCGGTGCAACCTCCACCCAGTCCTGGACCATGTTCAGGAGGTAGGAGGCAATGGGATTCTCTGCCGCGGCCTGCTTGCCGGCCTTGGACGAAGACGACTTGCCCTTCTCATCCGCCGCCGCCGCCTTCGACCCGGCGAGCCTCGCGGTGAGGGTGGTACGCCATTCCTTGCAGAAGTCCTCAAACTGAAAGGTGTGGGAGCGGAAGGTCAGCCAGTCCTCGTTGCGCAGCTTCTCGAGTTGTTCTTCGAAGGTGTCGTAAAGACCCCACATCGCACTCGTCTCCGTCGCATCTCGTTTCGTGTCCAGCAGCACGCTGAAAACGGGTTTCACTTGGCCAAAGAACTCGCACTTCGACTCGAGCTCCTTCGCCTGTGCGTCCAGGTCGTCCAAGTCGTTCAGCTGATCCTTCATCGCCGGCAGCAGCTTGTGGATCAGCTTTGTGTCCTTCTCCCCAAAGGCCCGCATCAGCTGCGACTTCTGCCGCTTCCATCCATCGCCGAACCGCTGCTCATCCTTCAAAAAGCGCTGAATTAACCCGTTCAGCGAGACCCGCATCTTCGACACCGCGGCGGCCATCACCTTGGTGTGCGAGGTCATGGCATCCTTCAGGTGGTCCCACCGCACACGCGTCGCGCCGAGTTCGATGGACGTGCCGACGTGATTGCGCAGCTCTTTGTTCTCCTCCAGCACGCCGTCCAGCTTCTTCTCGTAGACGCTCATCTGCTCCAGCGACTCGTTGTAGCGCCTGTTCGCCTCGCCCACCTCGTCCATCGTCGTCGGCTGCCGCTCCACCAAGTTCGATACACGGAAGACAAAGTCGTCTATTTCATTCACGGCGGACTGGATGTGCTTGCGCATGCCGTTCAGGAGGGCATCCTCGAGGCGGTGCAGGTGTTCCTCAATGCTCGCCCGGACCGGCACCGTGCTGATGGCGAAGCAGCCGATCTTCATGACATCCTCGATCTTCCCCATCTTTTCACGGTGCTCCTCTACGGTGCGGAAGCCCCCGTCGAAGCGGCCGTCCATCTTCGCCATCCACGCCTCCACCACGGAGTCGAGGTCCGGCGAGCCGTTGAGGCCGCACATACTCACGACAATGTGGGAGCGAAAAGCCTTGCGCACGCGGTTCAGCTTCGCGAAGAGTTCGATGGCCTTGGTATGCACCGTGACGATGCGGTCGTTGTTGGTCAGCGGCATCAGAGGATAAATCTCGTAGGCGGAGCTCGCATCCTGCCGCTTCGGCTGCAACCCACGGAAGCGCAGCGGCACGCTGACAAACTCGCGCAGCTTCACGTAGTAGGCCTCGCGAATCGCCTCAAAGCTGGGCTTGAAGTTCACTGCGCCTTGCTTGAGGACGAGCTCCACCTTAAACTCAGACATCTCCTCATGCAAGCTCTCCAGCCCACGACGGTACTGATACTCCAACGCCTTGTAAATCTGACAATCCCAGTGCCGCCGCCACTCGTCGTAGTTAGACAGGTGCTGGGTGGCGAGAAACTCGTCCAGGCGACTGCGCATGTCGTCCACCCGCGTGCGCCACTCCTCCATGTGGGTGGTGAGGTCCACCTTCATGAGGTTCATCACCTGCGTCCCGAACTCCTCGTGGAAGCGGCGGACTTGTCGGTTCGCGCTGCTCAGCGCCTCGATCGAGTTCTGAAAACGCAGGTTGACGCCCTCCAGTTCTTGATAGTTGGCCGCCGTGACGGTGCGCCGCGGCGTATCGGCGTAGAGGACCTGAGACATGCTCCGCTCAATCGCAGACGTCAGCATCGCACGGGTGCACGGAAGGATTTGGGACACGGCAGTGTTGTGGTTCGCCACGCACTGCTGGGTCTGCATCGCCGCCAGGACAAGGTGCTCGCATGCGGTGATCGCGCTTTCCGTTGAGCTGCTCAGCCGCCACCACGCGGCCGAGGGGGAAGAGGGGGCGGTGCCAGCGGTGCCAGCGCTCGTCCCCGTGCTGCTGCGTCCACCTTCACCCAACATGCCACCTTGCTGCTGTTGCTGCTGCTGCTCAAAAGCGGCCGCGTCGCTCAACCACGCACGCACGTTTCGCACCTCTTGCATGAACTTACGCAGCGAGGGATGGACGGCGCAGGTGAGGAGGTAGGCGTATCGTTCGTCGTTGTGGTCCTCCACCTTGGCCACCACCACGGCGTCCTGCAGGTCCAACACCTTGCGGGCTGTCAGCTCAATGGACGAGCACCACAGCTCCATTGTTGCGGTTTCCTCCTTCGTCGCCTTCGCAATCAGGTCGTGTGCATGGCTCGTGATGTCGGTCAGCAAAGGGCTCGTGGAGCCGAACAGCTTGCCGGCGTCGTCGGGCACCATCACACACTCCGCCACGCAGCCGCGAGCGGCGCGGAGCTTTTGAAGCGGGGTGGATGCGCGCTTGCTGTTGTTCTCAAACCGCCCAAAGATGCGGTCCAACTGCTCCTTGAGGTACGCGGCGACGCCGTCGAGTTCGCGTGCGACAGCGGTGCGAACGCCTTCGCGGCGCAGGAGCGCGCTGTGCTGCTGGAGCGTGCGGAGCTCGGTGTCGGTCACCGGGCTCTGAAAGAGGTGCTTAACCCGACTTCGCAGCTTCGGCTCCATAAAGGAGCATTCGTGCTCAAAGGTCGCTACACGCGACTCCCACGTGGCGGACGACACGGTGCGCAGATCGACCGCGCTGACGCCGTCAAAGATCACCTCCGGCTGCAGTCCGTCCGGTATCTTCTCCTGCAGCACCGTCACACTGGCGAGGGTGTCGCGAATGCGCAGGACCTGGTGCAGTCGCTGCGCCAACATGTCAAAGCTCTCGTCGTGGTACATGCCGCTCTCCCAACCGACCCAGTCATGTTTCACGAGGTGTGCGACAATCTGGTTCCACTGCTTGCACAGCGCGACGGACATTCTCAGCTCTCCCAGCTGCATGCGCCACGGTGCACGCCAGTCCGGGCTATACAGCTCAATCTGACTGCGCAGGTACTCGCGCAGATCGCCGGAGACGGTGCTGAGCAGCGACAGCGTGTTGACCTTCACCCGGTCGGCGTTGGCGGCACGGTTCTCATTCCAGTAGTCCGCCAGCGTGCGGTGCACCCTGCGCAGCACCTCCGCCGCCTCGGCAAGGTTGAAGGCCTTCGAGCGCCACGCCGCGGGAAGGGCGGAGTCGACGGCGCTCTCCGCGTTCAGCGCGAGCGCCTGGGCCCAGGTGCGGGTGTCGATCCACACCTTCGCCAAATCGCCCTCCGGCAGCTTCAACACGCTGTACGAATTCTGCAAAATCGAGCCCTCCAAGCTCAAGTGCTCCGCGAAGCCTGCACCGTTGCACAGCGTTTTCGCGGCCGACTTCGAAGGACTCGCGCGATCGGGCTTGCTGGTTCCGTTCTTCGAGGCGCCGTCGTCTCCTTCATCTATGTTGTTCTCGCCGCTCTTTGCGTCGCCGTCCTCGCTGACGTTCGCGCCGTCCGCGGCGTCGACGTTGGTGCCGTCCACTGCCATCTCCAGTTCCGAGTCTGCGACAATCGACGACGTGGTGCTGGAGAAGGCTTTGATGCAAATGGTGCCTTTCACCTGCACGTCGCAGCGCGTGCCGTGTGGACACAACAACGAGGGGAAGTTGACGATGGCGAGGGCGCCGTGCTTCTGCTCCGCCACCACGTCGTGGTACAGCACCTCCATCATCTCCGCCACCCCCGGCGTGTGTGGGATGCCGTCCAGCCCCCCAGCGGCGGCGCTGCCCTTTCCCCCGCCGTCCACACCGAGGGAGACGCCGGAGTCGCGCAGCAGCTTTGCGAAGGAGACACTCTTGTCGGCCAGCTTTCCAAACTGTGTTTCCAGCTCATCGCCAGAGAGGTGCACCGAGGCAGTGCGACTGTTTGTCACATCCCGCACCAGCACGTTGCACAGCGACTGCACCTCCACTTCAATCTTGCTGTCCGCACCGAGCGGGGAGAAGGCGAGGAGAAGCCAGCCATCGCCGCGGCGAGCCTGTACATTGCCAAATCGCAGCTGGAAGTGGCGCTGCGCGGTGCTGGCGAGCTGCGACTCTACAGAGATAAGACCTGACATCCGAGTGTGTGTGTGCGTCGTCTCACGCACACAACGAAGAGCAGATCGTAAAGAAAGGAAGGGGGTTTATTTCAAAGAAGAACAGAAGAGCTATACAGAAAACACGGCAACGAGAAAACCACACCACCCACTCTTCCTCCGTGGCACCCGCAAGATGGAGCTGAGTGAAAAAAAGATTGAAATAACGAAAGAGGAGCAGCAACACCCGCCACGACTTCGCCTCAGCGTTCCAAGCTCGCCTTGGTCAAACAGATTCTTGACAGACGAAGACAAAGGAAAGTAAACACTCAGCGTACTCACTCTACACCTCGGAATGAAGTCCCGTATTGGCTGCAACGGTGAGTCCGTCAAGAGAAGAAGAACAAAAAAAACCCGGTATTTTCGCACCACCCTTTCTGTCGTTTGTACACACGGTGACTCTAACCCGCGCTGACGGCCTGCACACTCGACAAGTTAGCAAGTAAAAGAAGAAAGTGAAAATGAGAACAACGAACTTTGCACTGCCCGGTCCGAGGACAAAGAGGCGATGGTACAGCAAAGATTGACAAAAGGAAGGAGGAAACGCAAGAGGAAATGAAAGACGGTACAAATACACGACACGTTGAAGAGTGAGAAATGAAAGGGAAAGAGAGAAGGCGAACGAGCCGCATTGACGTCGCTCTCTCGTGCTTGCCGTATGCGAAGAAGGAGGAGAGCTTGTTCGGAGAAGTCAACTTCACTGTTCATTGCATTTGAACAGTTCTTTTGGGCAAAGAGCAATGGAAAGACCACAGTAACGCAGATAGCAGACACGTCTCGCCGCCTCCCACTTTGCGGCCAAACAGAGTTTCAACATATATTGTGTTTACTGTTTGAGTATGCGCACACAGTTTGGCTTCAAAAAATAAACCCAACAAAAAAACGGAAGACAAGACAGAACACTTGACAGTTCGACACACGAGAATCGGCAGTATATAATTCTAAGCTGACGTAAACCGGTACAACAACAACCAAGAAAAAAAAGACGAGAGCACGTGAACACGCCCACGGCAACAATAAAAAGAGCAAACATATGCGTGCGAAAGAGGGAGGAGGAGTACTCTCGCGACACTCGGACACAACAGACGAAACAGACACGAAACGGGAAATCTACAGGGGAACAGATAATTTATTGTGTTTCGGCGAAAACAGAAACAAGAAGTCTTACACAAGAGCCACTCCTCTGATCAACATCGCGCGAATTCAAATGAAGAAGAAGGGCATGGAAAGAAGAAAACAGGAAAAAATGTGCGCAGCCCGCTGACGTACACGCCGAAAAGAGCACGGGTCAACTTCTTTCTTTGTGTTTCACATCACAGTCGATATCAAAGGGACAAGCCAGCTAAACAGGGGTTTTGCTTGGTGGGGGCGTGTGGGTGAGGTCCGCTAAGACGTGCTCCTGCCCGCTTTCCTTCAGCCAGTCGCGGAACATGGCCGTCACGCGCTGGTGCAGGTCCTCCACGAGATCGTTTCGCCCCGCATCCCGCAACTTCGTGCACGCGCTCCCAATCGCCTCGTTCACCTCACGCAGGCGATGCAGGCGGCGGTTCATCGCATCACGGTACGGCGCGGGCAGCGGGCACGGATTGGTGCGCGTCACGTTGCTCAGATTGGCCGACTGCGTCAGGGGAAACGGCATGCTCTGAAATTCGGACGGCGGCAAGATGGCTTCGTGGTCCGGCAGCCCCACGTTCCAAAAGTTCAGCAGCGGACTGATGCCGGAGTTGCTGATGTGCTGCTCCATGGCCGGATAGAAGGAGTTGTAGGGCGCAAAGCGCACCCCACTTTGCGCAGACGAGGTCGCGCCACCTCCCTGGTCCGCCGTGGCGCCCTGCAGAAAAACGGGTGGGGTGTTCACGCAAATGTACAAGGTCAAATTAGAGCAGCCGCTGACGACCACCGCACCGCACAGCGCGGACACGCAGCAGTGGTGGCAGTTCTGGATGCTGAGCACGCCACTAACAGGCCCCAGTGACACCGTGCAGTTCGTCAGCGACGACAGCTGCGTGTGGGGAAGGGAGGAGGGGGCGTAGATGTGCGTTTGCGAACAGTTCGCAATGGTCAGGTTGGAGGATAGAAGTCGCGTGGCCATGTCCGGCAGCAGTGTCTGCGGCGTGATGTGCACCGTGTTTGCTAAGTCTTGAATCGTCACGTTGTTGAAGCCGAACGCGTTCGCCGCAGCCGAGGCGGCCCCCCTTTTAATTTCGCTGTTTGGGCGAATACGCACACGCAGGTACTGCGAGAGCACCGCCACGTCGATCGTCTTCTCGTTGTACTGCCACAAGAAGCTAACGCTCGGCCCAAAAGGCTGCTCCACACCGTTCACGACCTCGCGAAGTAGGTAGCCGAGCTCTGCTGCGTCTGCCTGCGTGAGTCGCGACGCGCGGGTGACGGCCACGGCAGTAACAAAGTCGTGCAGGTGGTTGCGCACGTAGTCGGCGACGTCGCTGCTGGAAGCGGTGCTGTCGCCCTGCGCCGCAGTGGTGCGCTTGCGCTCCACGAACAGCTGACACAGCAGGAACACCAGCAGGCCGGGCAGACTCACTTGACGCGCCGTCGACGCGGCGGGCCACCGGCTCTGATCCACCGTTCCACCCATTTTCTCTAAAAGCGCGCGGTTGCTCTCTTGGCGGAGCTGCGCCACGCTCGTGCGCTCCCCGCCGGTGTAGGCCGGCGTGCTCTGAATGCAGCCCCCACTAAAAGCGAAGAAGACGTCGAAGACGGCATAGGCGGTCGACTCGAGCAGGCCGAGAACCGTCATGGCCGTCTCCTTCCAGCTGGCTAAGGAGATGGAGGTCTTGTTGGCGCTGCTCTGCAGCACCTTCAGGATCGTCGCCGTCGTGAGCCCGGTCGGGGCATTGAGGAGGGCGCCGCAGTTGTCGAAGAGCGCAGGATTTACGGCGTAGACGGCCTGCCCACCGGCCCCTGGCGCGTTGCTGTCTTGACCGTTGGTGAGGTGGCTCGAGCCGCTACCGCTACGACCGAAAGATCCGCTTTGCCGACGAGACATCGCCGATCACAACACGATTTGAATCCTTTTTCGGTATTCTATGAGACTACGTACACTGAAAAAAAAAAGAAAGAAATAGATAGGTTCGAAGACTGAGGTAGTCGGATGTCTTCAACGCCTTTCACTGCTGCTATTTTTTTCTCAAAGCCCAACTGTACCGAACACCAACTTTGTTGTCAAAGAAGGAAACCTTTTATTGCTTCCTCGATGCGGTAAGAGGAGACGTGAATTTGGCTACAGTGCCAATGACAAAGCAGGAGGAGCGACGCCTGCTACAACGTGCTCTGCCTTTCTCTTCGCGTAGTCAAGACAACACTTGGACGGCTCTAAGGATGACAGTGAAGGATGGGTCTTGCGAATGTCTCTCTCTCTCACACACACAAGGGCGTTGCAGCAGAATGGTTGAACTGATCAAATGAAGGGAATAAACAATAACGACAGGAAGAAAAATAATGATAACAACACGTGACAAACGGTTGAGAAGAACGAAGGGAGACACAGAGAGGAGAAACGCCATAAACATATTTTTTTTTAAGAAGTGAAGTAGTGATAAGGCCTATTGATCGGAAGCACTACACTAGTAAAAAAAAAACGTTTGAACAGCTCAACATTTGACAGCACGCGACGATCAACGGAGACGAACTGACGTGGTTGTGAACTACACGGCTGGTGCCTCAATGCGCACACTCGGTGCGTGATCAGAGGCGCATCATCCGTGGCAATGCAGAACTGGGAGGAAGCTGAATCGCCACAGAACCAAACAAACAAAAAAGCACACTGGGGTGAGCCGCGCTTCTTCGAAAAAGCCTCACAACGTGTTTTCGGAGGAATTTCTCTTCGTCACAGGCGGCTGCAGGCATTTATCATACAGCAACAACAGCAATAACAACTCCACGTGGGAAAAAGAAGATGGTGAAAACTGCACACAATTAGAATCTGAGCTTTTCTTCTATCGAATTCGTCGCGTTACTATTATTATTGATTAACTTCTTTTATTTAAAAAAGATTCGGCAGCAACGTACTCAAATGAAGAACTCGAGGACGTAAAAGAATCCTCGTTGGTCAGGTGTGGAGCACGATCTTTTTCTATTGGGTTTGAGCAAAGACAAATGGAAAAAATAAAATATGAACACCACGCACACGCGCTCTGCGGGATACACGAAATCGATTTACTCTTCAACAGCAGCAGTCCGAAGAAAAAATGAAAGGAAACACACAAACAAAGCCATGTTCTCTCACGTCACAATACACGCGACCTGTGCCCTCATGGACCGTCTAAAAAGCTCCCATTTGGGGAGTCTTTTGCTATTCTTGCTTTTCTCTATGCGTCCTGCTTCTCGAAGGCGAGCTGCACCACCTGAATCTCCGTGTCCGAGAGTAGCTCCACGCCGTGGTCGATGATGCGCCACCAATCGAACAGGCGCAGCTTGTACCGCTGCAGCTTCCCCAAGTCATCGCCCTTCTCGTCCGCCTTGGCGCCTGTCTTGTAGAGGATGTACTGGCAGTAGCGATCGATAAACTCGAAGCGGGGATGGGCGACAGTGAAGCGGCCAGTGTCGTTGTAGTAGAAGTACCGCGGCGGCTTGTCAGGTGGTGGTCGGCGGAAGCGGTGATCAACTTTCATCCCCACCTCCAGGTAGTCGATAAACTGCAGTTTGTGCTCGACGTTGAAGTCGAGGTTTTCGCCTGGCTCCTTGGTGACGGTGGACGGTGGTTCCTCCTCGAAGCCGCCACGCTCCCACAGGCGCACCCACGGGTGGTGGCGGTACATGTCGAGCCCGGCGTCGCGGAACTTGCCCACCGCCTTCGGGTCGGTGTACTCGGCGTAGCGGTCCTTCTTACCAGGCGGTGTCACAAGGTAGCCGAGCCACATGGACGGACCGGGGTTGGCCTGCACGAGCCGGCCGACGAACTGCGACTGCAGCAGACCGTCGGCCCAGTGCTCCGTGTTGCCGAAGTGGCCGACGTAGGTGTGAATGCGCACGCCGTAGACGTCTAGCACCGCGTGAATGGTGCAGGAAAGCTCGCCTAGCGGGGATGGGATAACGTAGCGGTGCACTTCGACGATGGGGTAGCGCGTGATGAGCGCGCAGCCGTATGTGTTGTCGAGAGCCGTAGGGCCGTAATCGGTGTACGGGAAGCCGAGGTGGTAGGACACGTAGTCGACCAAATCGCGGTTGCCGTTCGTCATGTGCATGCTGTCGCTCTCCAAGAGCCCTATCACGCCCGCTTCCGTCCTGCGCAGCTGCTCCACCATTCGAGCGAGGGAGTCAACGTTGTAGTTGTCGAGGCCAAAGTGGACGGTGAAGATGGCACCCGAGAAAAAGGTCATGGCCTGCGCGGCGTGCCACACGTCCACGCGATCCTCGACGCTCAGGTGACCCAGGCGAAATTTCGGGTTCACCGGGGTGGTGCTGCTGGACCTGCTGATGTTCTTCCACATCCGCTCCATCGCATCATCGTAGCGCTTCGTGTAGTACACCGTCGCGAACTCCTTTGTGAGTGGGTCCGTCATGATGTTGCGCTCCTTGCGCAGCTCAATCAGAAGCTTGTGCATGTGCAGCACCTCATCCTGGTAGATGAGCGCCGTGTTCTTCTTCGCCGCGAAACCGGCATTACTGCCCATCGTGATGTAGCCCAAGAAGACCCACGCAAATGCGAAGAGGATGATGAGCACCACCATAAGCTGCATGGAGCGCTGCTTGCGTGCCGCCGCGATATCGGTCATCGACGACGCCACCGCGCGCGAGCCACGAATGCGCCGCGCCACGATCCACGCCGTGACGTACGTCAAGGCGACGTGGGCAAGGATCAGTGGCCGCGACTTCTCCCGCACCAGCCACCCCATCGGCACAAAGGGGTAGGAGATGCACAAGGCGTAAAGAATGCCAGACGTGATGACGACCGTTGTCCAGGCGAACTCAAAGGATGTGAGGAAGGTGCACTCGCGGCTGATGACGGCGTCCGCGTCTATTGCCTCGGCGATATGCGCGAAGCGGCGGTCGCTCTGGTGCGCCCACGTCACCTCCATCACAAAAGGAAAGAGCACCCCGATGCAGAAGGTGAAGCCGAGGCCGCCGAGGAGGGCCAGCGTCTTGCTGCCCCAGAAATTCTCCTGCGCGGCCCAATACTTTATGTCGACATCTGCTTTGGGCGAGTCCATGGTCACCGGATAGCCCGGGTGCGGGAGCTCGTAGGTGAAGTTGGTCTGGCGGGTGGCGAAGAGCATGAGGCACGTGCTCATGGCGAGCACGATACCAAAGCGGGTCCACGAACCGCGGAAGGCCGTGTGCAAGGCGCGGCGCACCACATCGGGGCGCCGCTTCGGCCGCAGCAGCACGAGCGAAATCGGCAGAATGTCCGTCGAGTAGAAGAGACCCAGCGTGAAGACGGCTACGATAATCAAGTTCGTCGGGTACGGATCCACCGCCAGCAGGCGCGGAATGTAGTTGGCGCAGTTAAAAAAGGTGACCCCGAGGCTGCTGATGCTGCCGAACAAAATACCGAGCAGCATGGGCGATGGGGCCGGGTAAAGGGTGGCGATGGCTGCGACGGTATTCTCGTTTACCTCGTCAATTTGACTCAAACTGAAATGCACGCCGCGAACGCGACCGCCCTCCACGCCCTCTTTCCTTCCATCGCCGTCGTCGTCCGCGAAAGGCTTACCGTCTGGGCTCTCAGCCTCGCGAGTGGCCGCACGCGCTTTCGGGGTGTTGACGGATGAGTTCACGGTCGCCACCGGGGAGGCGTCGGCAGACCCTCGCCTGTTCAGCTGCGTTTGCTGCTCCTCCTTCAGCGCGTTGCCGAACATCGCGTGGCGGTATATGACGGTGGTGAAGGTGAGGCCGAGAACGATGCCAAAGATGCAGCCGTAGAACGGGACAGTGTAAAACGGTGAGACCCCGACGTGCAGAAAGCGCAGCAGCATGCACAGCACCAATCCCAGCGGTGTCGCCATGGTCATGCGGCGACTATCCTCGTTGCCCTCCGACGACGAGCGCTTCAACATCACGGTGGATGGGTACAGGAAGCGAGTGAACAGACCCATGTACAGGAAGAGCGGCCCAGCCGCCACGACGAGAATTTTCTTTCCAGGGTCGTGGAGCACAACTTGGTGGAGGTGCGAGAGGCACGACATGGCGTAGAAGAAAACGTACATCGGCACAACTCGGTAGCTCAGCCCGATCGGGACGTGGGAGGGCTTCAGCCACGTTCGCGCAAACGGGCACGGCCCCGTCGCCCAGCGACGCAACTTGCCGATGCGCAGCAGGCACGGTATTCCGATGACCAGGATGGAGCTCATCTCCCACGAAAGCGACATGGCAATGAGTGGCATGAAGTACATGTGCTCAATGAGGTGCACCACCATCTCAAAGAAGAAGTGCGCCCAGTAAATGTCGCACAGCCAGAGCGACAGCCGCGACGGGGCACTGCAGAAGGAAAATCGATGAAGAATGACGTCGTGGTCGAGGAAGAACTCCCCTGTCGTCGTGCGGGGCGGCGAGGTGAGCGCGACGGTCTCTTCCGTGGCGTCGCTGCCCTCGAAGCCTTCCTTCTCCGGGTTGGCGAACCCGTCCGCTGGAGGCGTTGGAGAGGCAGGAACGATCACCACGTTGTCGCTTTCCAGCGCCGCGTTGTCCGTCTTTCCTGTCGGGCCGCCTACCTTCGCTGCGGCTGCAGTGGTGCTGCCGCCATGGCCGTTAACCACCACCGACGGCGACGGGGGCGACAGGAGGGAGCTGCGTCGGCCCCAGCGTTTGCGGTAGAAACCCGGCGTCGCGCTCAGCCACCACCCTTCCTGTTTCAGGTCATACCAAGCCGAGCCGTCGTAGATGATGTTGCACGCGCCGAAGGCCCATTCAAACATGTTCGACATGCTGAAGGAGCCGTTGGCGCAGGTGGAGAAGTGGTAGGTGTAGCTGCAGACGACACCAATCGAAGCAACCGTCTCACCCCACAGGCAAATGCGTTTGAGGAGGAGCGACCGAGAAGCATCCTGCTGAGTCGGGTAGATTGCCATGTTGTACCGGTTGCGGCGCACCAGCGCGGTCAGGGTGAGCTGCAGCACAAAGCACAGAAAGATGTAGGGGCAGAAGCCAAGGTTGTGGTACGACAGTGACTCGAAGGAGGCGACCATGGCCCAGATGCACGCCCCGACAAGCCGCCACAGATCTACCCAGAACATGAGCAGCGACAGAAACGCGCTGCTGCTCACGAACATCTTCATAGAGGTGCGGAAGCTGTACAGGTCGGACATTCCACGCGAGGACCTTTGCCAAAAGACGTTGAAGAGGGAAATGGTCGCGCCGAGGCGAAACGGTGTGCACAGCACAAAGGCGATGCGCCACGTCTGCCGCTCCGGCATCATGTCCCCAATTGTGGAGCTGATACTGGGCCAGAACTCGTAGTGGTCCTCGCCGCAGCCCGTGGTGAGGATCTCCTTTGTGTGAATGGCTAGCCCGATGTAGAGGCATGACAGGAGTCCGGTGCCGGTGATAATGGCGTAGATGAGCGCCGTGTAAGACGCCGGGAAGTAAAAAATGTGCCGCATTGTAATTCAGCTCGTGTATAATGAGCTCTTATCTCCTGATAAAAGAAAGGCAACAAAAATAACTATAACTACAGTATATGTCCCTACTAAGTGTCGACAGCAAAGCGGGGCGTAGGAAGAAAGAACAAGCCCCCCCCCCCTCAGATGCGGTCGCTTTAAACAGGGAGAAAAAAATATTAATAATAAGCCGTCACGCTTGCTTTAAATGTTTGAAGGTGAAATATGATGACTCAGCAAGCTCTTTCGTGCTTCTTCAAATCCAATTTTATCAGGGAAGAAAAACGAAAGAGAAAACAAAAACAAAACACTTCCGTATTTATGATGTTTGCGTCGCTCGTACGGTGATTCTTTTTTCTCGGTTGTTGTGTTCCTTCACGCTGCAGGAAAACAGATAACGCAGAAACAAATAAAACAGCGGAAAGAAACGAAAGAGCAACTTTGAAGTCGGTGAGCGTTTCTTTTCTTTTTCTTTTGAAATGAACCGCAACTCGAATCAGCGTGAGCCGAAGAAAAAAAAACTGAAGACAGCTAAAAAAAAAAAAACCACGATAGAAAATGGAGAGCTACCGCATAACAAGAATCGTATACTCCCTTTGATTGCTCGCGCTCGCGTTTCCGCTATATGGACTCAAAGCACTGGCAACGTCAAGGTTTCTTTACGATGTTTTTTTCTTCCTCGTACGTCTATGTGAGATGCAGTAACGCTTTTCCCGGTTTTTACAGCTCTGGAATTCAGCACGAAGTGGAAACGGAGTTAAAATTAAAAAAAAAAACAGAGAAAAAGAAATGTGTTGACTGCTACAAGGCAAAACCCCCAAGGTTTTTGCTTTTATTTTGCCAATTACCCACATGTTGAAGAGGGATAGTGGGCGTCGGAGAGAGAAGGAGACATAGGAGAGGGAGGTGCGATGGAGTGGGAGGGGGGGAGGGGAGAAGGCATCGGATACGGCACCATATTCAAACATGCAGAACAAAAAATGCATCGGTCCACGACAGCAACAAACATTACTCGTTGTAGCAAGGTGTGAGGCTTTCAAATCCCTACCAAAGAATGATGCTAGTGCGCCGCGCATCACATGACCACGTTTTCAGTCTGACAAGACTTCTTTGTGGAATGGTGCGCAAACGACGCCAAACCTATCGCACTCATTGCTCTTGTTTACTACATATATCGTGTATTCCATATTTTTTAAGCTGCTCATATGAAAAAAAGGAAACAAAAATCATGTGATAAATAAAGAAAAAACCGACCGTAAACTACAAATGGAAAAGGAAGCGGCACACGTTCAACGCATCACCGACAGTCCGCAATCCGGAAACATCGCCAAATAGCATCGCTGATGACAGCTCGCGTCAAGGAAGACGGAAAAACACTCATCCCACAAAAACAACCAAAACAAAACACTGGTTCTGCCTTCATCGTTGCACTTCTCAAAAGTTGCGATGGTGCGGGTGGTCCTCGGCGGAGCCCTCCACGGCGTAGCCCGGCGTCTCAAGGTACCTGGGCACGTGCGAGAGGGGCGTGTCCATACCGAGCGCCGACTTCGGGTTTGCCTGGTACCACTCCTCCTTGAAGGGCTCTTGAATGGCCACGTAACGGAAGCACTCGCGGCCGCCGTAGCTCCAGATGAAAACGCGGTAGGTAGCAACGAGGCCGAACACGGTAGCGATAGGCCACACCATGCAGACGGCGTAAATCTCGCACCGCCGCATCCATCCTGGTAAGCCCATGATGACTAAGGTCTGCCACAACGCTGGCAAGTACGAAGACTAAGATGCAGACGAAAAGAAAAAGCAAGGAGCACTGCCACGAAATAATTGAGGGCTGTGTACGTGTTTCTTTCGGAATGGAACGGAGACTGAGACGCAGAGCAATCCGCTTCGAGGTCTTTATTATTCCTCTTGAACAACGTTTCGGTTTAAAGCCGTAGAGCCGCTACGCCGAGATGCAGACGAAAAGAGAGAAATCCCTTAAAGATATTCACGAGCGGGTGGGGAGACGACAGTTAATTCCGTGTTGAACGGCACTCTTTTTCCGGTATTCAAGAGACATAAACGCCACCGACGTCGAGGATCCGATTTGTTTCGGATTGCACGTGGCCTCCCGACAACAGGACGCACGGTCGCTGTTGAGGAACAGCGGAGATGTTCGTCATCAAAAAGGCGGTAAGGGTCGCACAGCGACGCCATGAGGAGAGCGTTTGATTCTCAAAACGATCAAGACCTTTGAGTAAGATACGGCAATCACCTTTTGCCTGTTGCAATTACGCGTTTTTCGTTTCTCCCCGGCTCTTTGCGCTACCACGTTGCGGGCGCGAAGTGCAGAAACAGTCAACCAGGACACAACAAGAAAGCGACAATACGTAATAAGAATTAAACGATAACGCTTCAATACAAATCGGAGCTTCACCTTTCTCTTGGCACAGCACGTAGCATCCGTTTCCCCTTGCACCCGCAGAAGAAAAATGGGTAAGATGACTTCAGCAATATCGAGAAGCACCTCCTGCGACGACGGCAATTGTTGAGCCCTGTGCTTCTTTCGGTACTGATACTTCGCTTCCATAATTACTTCCGTGAGTGCAAGAGCAGAAAAAAAAAAGCCGTCAAACACGGAAAAAAAAGGCATACCAAACAACGAGAACGGCTCCTTGCCGAAAGCACTAACAACTGAAAGTTAAGTACTACGAGAAGAAAACTATGAGATCCGTTACGAGAGAAACACACAACTGGACTTAAAACGATTCTGGGGCGTAGAGCTGGGCAATCAGCGCCACACCGAAGCCCGTCGCCTCATCACGCGTCGCAGGACCCGCCAAGTCCACGTGCACCCATTCCCCTTTGTAGTCCTTCGCCAAGTTGTTGCCAATGAATTGGGCGGCGCAGCTCACCTGCGCGTTGGCGCGGTTCTTCACGCTGTTCCTGTAATCGGCCACCGCACTCGAGTACTCGGGGTTGAAAAACTCCGGGCAGTAAACCACGGGGAAGCAGAGATCACCGGAGACCAAGCCCGTCTGCACGAAGCGGGACTCACTACCCTCCGTGTTTGTGTAAATGGCAGCGTGGCGCTGGCCCGTGGCAATCCCTTGGGCGCCAGTCAGCGTGGCCATGTCGACAACGATGCTCGGCACGTAGCTCAGCTCGTGGCTGGCGTGGTACACACCGTCGGAGAGCACAATGCGGCCCTCCGCGTCCGTGTTGTTGATCTCCACCGTCACACCGGACTTCATCCGGATGATATCGTCGGGACGCTGCGCGCAAGGGCCCACGGCGTTGTCGGCCATGCACAACACACTCGACGCCTCCACAGGGACACCCAACTGCGCCAGGGCAAGCAGCCCGCAGAACACCGCAGCAGCACCGCCCATGTCGTGCTTCATCGTGCACATGCCCTCCCGCGACTTAATGGACAGACCGCCAGTGTCATACACGATGCCCTTCCCCACAAGCGCGATCCGGTCCTTCGGCGAGATGCCCGCCTTCGGCTTGTACGACAGCGTCACCAGCTGCGGCGGGTACTCGGCCGCCTTGCCCACGCCATAAAGGCCGCCGTACCCGCGCTCACGCAGCTCCTCGCCCGCGATAACATCCGCGGACACGTCCAGGCCCTCCCTCCGCAGCTTGTCGGCCCAGCGGACGGCGATCTCGGCGAACGTGACGGTGTCCAGCAGGCTCGTCGGCGCGTTCACCAGGCGCTGGCACAGCTGCACGCTGTGCGCCACGACGGCAAGCGCGGCGGGCTTGCAGGAGGGGATCACCGCACGCACCGGACGACCGGCACGCAGGTAGCCTTGCTCCGCGAGACCCTTCTTGGCGGAGAAGGACTGGTTGCACGAGCGTGCGATCGCCGTCGCAACGCTCAGATCGTACCCAGAGCCCAGGTAGTAGATGTCCAGCCCGGCCGACTCGTCATCGGAGGGGCACTGCGCGACGGCCTGCTTCACGATCTCGTGGATCGCATCCGGGCGGGCAGGGCAGTTGTGGCGCGACGCCGCTGACGGCACCTTGCCGATCAGCACGCGAAGCTTCGACGACGCAGTGGCCACGTACGCACGCGCCTCCGGCGCAGCAGCAGCCGCAGCCGCGACCGCGGCATCGTAAAACGGGCACGTGGCAGCCGCAGCGGGTTCCCTCAGCTGCGCATCCGTGCCAAGCACCAGCACCGTCTGCACGCGGCCCTCCTTCGCCGTCAGCGTCTTGCCCTCGTCCACCGTGTGGAACGCGACGTTGGTCGTAAAGTCCACGCAGCTGTCCACGAAGGCGGACACGTTGGCCTCCTCATACTTGGAGCTGGAACGCACCCGCTTGTAAGCGCTCATGTTGGAATTGAAGAAAGATTGTCAGTGGAGAAGGAGCAGACTGTACAATCAATACCAACGGACAAGAACTCCTTATCAGAAAAATCTGTTATAGTTACTACAACAATAAAAAAGAGAGATAGAGATGCTGTCGTGCAGGGGAGAAAGGGAGGGAGTGCACGTTCGTCAGCGCTACAAGAAAAAATAAGTTTCGATAGAAAGTGATGAAGACTCGCTCAATTCTGCCCAACAATAAATGCGATTTGAAAAGGCAAGAAAGCATGGAAGGATGCACACGAAATGAAGCAGAGTGCAGAATAGCAGAGGGGAAGGGGGAAAAGGGAAGAGGAAGGCATGTTTTAAAGAAGGGCACGGACGGTGCTCAGCCTACAGAGTCCCACGTTGCTGTATTGATCCCTCGAAGCACCCAGCGGCGTTAATGCAAACAGTTCACCCCATACAAACAAAGCGCAGCAAAACCGTTCGATTCCATCGAATAAAAACCAATGCTGACCTTTTTGTCGCAGGCGCGAGTTGACCTTCAACAAATGCAGAGCATACAGAGGAATTCAAACAAAGGATGCAACAACAAAAATCCTCCTGTTCGTCACGAGAGGCGGGCTTCCAAGAAAAGAAAAAGGCTCTGACTTCCTAAATCGTGTCCACGCGTGCGAGTACGTCGAGCAGGTAATCCAGCTTGGCACAGCTGTCCGACGAGACAGCAGACACATCACCATGGTAGCACTCCTCCAAGTCGTGCAGCGCCGCAGTGAGGTGCGCCTCCACATCAGGGGCGATGTACAGGCGCTGCTCCGACTTCCACCGACGAATGCACTCGTGTATTGAGAGCGGCGGCGTCTCGCTGAAGTGGCGCAGGAGAGGAACGTACGTGCTTTCGTCTTCGTCCTCAGCGCCTGCCCGGCTCAGTTCGCCGGGCATCAAGACGTTGGGCCGGCGTGCCGTACGTGCGGTGCGCAACGCCGCCCCACTCTTCGACAACACCCGTTCCAGGTTGTTGATGTTTTCGCTTATGTTAGCGAACCGCATGTGCCGCTCCTGCGCCGCGGCGTCTTGATCGGACTGCATCGCAGGATGCTGCTGTGCCGACTGAAGAAGCGTCGCCGAGTCCACGCAGCACTGCATCGACTCCACACACTTGCCACCCGGGAATTCCTCTACGACGTAGCGCACCGCCTCCAGCACGGCCTCGTAGAAGTCCTGCACACCGGCACTGGCGGTATCGCCCCCACACACTGCTGCCGAGAAGGACAGCGCAGAGGCGGGCGCCGCCACACTGTGGCAGTGAAAGGACAGGAAGACGCTGTGGTGCACCAGCCGCACCAGCACCCGGCACCGGTCAGCCCGTTTCCCTTCTTCATCAGCGCTTGCGGTTGCGCCGGTGTCGCCGTTGTACACGAGCCATGCCGCGTCGAACCAAAACCCGTCCCGACGCCGCAGCCGTCCATCGGAGGTGGTGTTGACGAGGTAGGGCGAGAAGCTGGGCAGCACAAACGGCGACCCTGCCCGGTGCTGAAAGTAGGAATCGAAGGGGCCTGCAACGGAGGCGGTGGGAATGGCAGTCGCCGGGGAGGCGACACCACTGCCGCCACTCAAGCCGCTGCGCCTGCCGACGGTGGACCGCGGCTGGGTCGGATCGTTCGCCCACCGCTGCGTCGCCGTGCCCCACAGCTTTCCCTCCACAGAGCCGAGGTAGATCTTGTCCGCCACGGTGGCGAGGCGGCACAGCAGCTTCGGAAAGAAGTTGCGCGGCACCATGTCCAGCTTAAACACGTAGAACGGGCCGGAGAGAAAGCACGGGAACAGCCACGTCACACCCGCCGACGCCGGGGTGCGGAAACTGAGCGGATAGAGCACAAACGACTCCTTCGCCACGTCGTCCGCTGCCTCCTCCTCCTCCGTGTCTGGCGTCCTTTTTGCGCCTATGCTCTCGGCAGGGGTGGTTGCACCAGATGCGTCGCGTAAAGCACCCACTGCGCTGGAAAACGGGCTTGTGCCTTGTGGTGGTTTGGCGGATTGCTGTGCTGGTGGTGACGGGCTGAAGGACAGCTTGCTCCCTACAATGATCAAATCGAGCAAGACAAGCAACTCCACCACGCCGGCAAGCGGGACGGCATAACGGGGGAGGTCATTACGAATGCGGCCACCATCACCCTCACGCAACCCGTTAAAGGGCGTAGAATGCTGCTGCCGCGCACTCGTATTGTCCATCACGTAACCGACCGCCACATCCCTCCCCGCAGCCTCGGCCCCGTCGCCTCGCTTAAAGTGCGGCTCCAGCATCGCAATCAGCACCGGTATAGAGAGCACCCCAAGGCGGAGTAGGTGCGGCGTGTCGGTCGTGGCCACCTTCACCATGTCCACCACCCGCTCCGCTTCCGGGGTGAGCAGCGTGCGCAGCGCCGCCTCCTTCCGTGACAGCGACAGCACGCCCCCCTCGCCCACTATGTCCACCATCGTCGCCGCCTCCTCCTTGCTGAGTCCGTCCGACTCCGCCGCGGCGATGAGGGGGCAGCACGCCAACGCCGCCAGCAGCCGCGAGAGCCACTTCACGTCAAGGATAATGTGCTGCCGTAGCGGCAGGCTGCGATAGCGATGTAGCAGCACACCCCAATCCGCCAAGAGCTGGACGTGGTTGCGCAGGGCATCACGTGCCGCCGGGGTGAGCTGCGAAGCTCTCCGTGTCGGCTCCCCTGCGTCGGCTTTGTATTGGGAGCTGACGGCGGCGGCGAGCGTCTTGAAGTCGCGGAGGGAGACGCACCACTTCCCGTGCAGTCGCAGCAGACTGACTTGACGTCCCAACTCCAAGCAGCGGGCCGGGACAAGACCGTTCGCGAAGTCCACGTCTGACCGGCACCGGTCTCGCGCCACGTCCGCGAGCCACTGCAGCCACTGCGGGAAGCCCTCCACGGGCTGGTAGCCGGCGGCGTAGATGTTACGGTGCACGTTGTCCACGGCAAAGCGGCCCACGACGGTCGGCCGCAGCTGCGGGTGGAGTTGCAGCATCTGAATGAGGCTCACCACCTGCTGCTCCACCTCCTCCAACTGCCGCTGCAGCATCTCCTGCCGTGCGGCGGACAGTCGTGAAAGGTAGCTGCCATCCTCCTTGCCGGCAGCGTTACGATCGGCGTGGGTGCCGACCAACACGAGCGACACGGTATGGCTGTCGGTGCGGCACAGGATGTCCTCCACCACACCACGGAGGGCCATGAGAGAGGTGAGACTGTGCAGAGGAAAGCACAGGAGGTAGGTGACGCGGTGCGAGGGCAGCTGATCAAGCAACGGGCTGAAGCACGGCGTGCCGCCCAGTTCATGGGTGTGGAGCAACATGGGGACGGGGCCATCGCAGGTGAGTGGCTTGGACTGGATGCCGATCGTAGGGTGAACAGCAGTCGCAGAAGCGTCACGGCTGCCGCCGCTCGTGAAGGCGGAAAAGGCTGAGCGCAACCACGGCGTGTCCGGCAACGCCAGGTTATTCACAATCGATGTTTTGCCACCACCGGATGGGCCAACCAGCACTAGGTTGTAACGACCAACGAAATGGGCGGGCAGTTCGCTGCGGTAAGTGCTCGGCATTCCGTTGGTGCGCATCGAGTGCATCTCTGATAAGAGGGGAGTCGCACGCGACATGAGACCAACGGCAGCAGCGGCGGCGGCATCCTCGGCGCGCTTGCTGGGCTTACGCGACTTGAACTTCAGCGACGACGCACTCGTACTGACCGTCGTCGATGACTCCGAGAAGGTCGGCACTTTGTTGGTGTGCCCGGAAGTGGCGGCGTGCAAGTTCGCGTCGCCGGCTGCCCCTTCGGCGGAGGAGGTAACGGAGGAAGAAGAGGCGCGACCGTCTCCGCCGTCCGCTGTGGTCGTAATGGTGGTAGTGATAGTTGCGGTGGTGCTGTCGGTGTAGTGCAGCGAGTTTCCCGCATCAGGATCCACGTGCTGCTGCGGCGGCTGCGGTGCACTTGGAAAGACGCTCGGTAGCGCCTTGCCCAGCGCCAAAGCTGGAATGAAAGGTCGTGCAGGTACCTCTAGGGACCTTCTCGGCTCGTCAGCTGGCGAGTTCATTGGCGAGATCTCACTGTCTGTTTCACTTTCAGTCCCTTCCTCCTCTTCCTCTGTGTTGTAGTCGTCCGAGTCTTCCCTCTCTTCGTCACTTTCTGCAGGGCTGTGGGTGAACGTGGTCGCTTCTCTTTCCTCTTCTCCCCCCTCACTGTCTGTGTCCTTCCCACCAGAAGGAGGGTGAAGGTTCTTCAGAGGCAAGGCGGGCATCTTTCGCGCCTGCATCTCGTGTCGGGAGCGCCCCTGCGACGCTGGGGAGGTGGAGAGCGAACGCACCCCTCGCTCGCTCTCTGCCGTGTCGTCCGCCTCGCTGGTGGTGTGCGGGAACGCACGACCCACCGGCAGCGCCACGGTGCGCCGCCCACGCGCCGTGACAGGTGGCACACTGGGGTCGATGTACTTCAGCTGAATGTGTTCGTTGCCGATGTCCAGCACATCGCCGCTTTGCAGCTCCAATGCATTGCCCGCACCACTCACCACAAACGGAGCAGCGCACAGAGGACGGAACACAACCACTTCAAAACCTGCGCAGCCGCGTAAAGTGACAGTGCCTGTCGTGCCAGTGGCGGCAGCACGTTCGAGGATGCAGTGCGGGCTACCAACACCATCGCCGAACTTCCGCGGTAGCTTTACATAGCGCACCGCTGAAGTGGGCGAGCCGCTGCTGTGGCTGTCGGTTTCTGCTGCCTCCTTCTGCTCATCGCTGCCCGCTGCCGACGGAGGCGCCGCACCGTCAGAGGATGGGAGGGAGAGCGAGGAGTCGTACGACGCTGCGAGACTTCTCGGCGTTGCATCATCAGCGTCGTCTTCATTATATGCTGTCTTTTTTCCTTTCCGTGGATGAAAGACGCCAACGAAGGTTTGCGCTGGGCCGAGGTGCGCCACCACCCAGTCTCCAGCGCCATCCATATTTAGCAAATATGGCTCGTCGCGGTGCAGCCGCATCGTGGAAGTTTGCACCGGTGACAAGGCGGCGGCGGCCTTCTCCGCCTCCTGCCGTGCCGCTGCTGCCGCCGCCGCCGCCGCACGCATCGCCGCTCGCTCCTTCTCCTGCTCCTCCACCAGTTTCGCGATGTGGGCGTCGCGCTCGGCCTGAGTGAGCGACATCTGCCGAATCATCTCCTCCGCGCGGCGCAGCTCGCCTTGAAGGATGTCGACGACAGCCTCACGTGGTTCCGTGGGTGACGCAGCTGGCAGGGAGGCGGTTGGAGAGGCGTCGTAGAATGCTTTTCTCTCTCCGCCTTCACGATCCTCGCCGGAGTGCTCTTCTTCCTTCGTGTCCTCTGCGGTGTGCCCCGCGACGCCGTTCAAATCGGTTGCGCCAGAGTCACCGTTGGAGGCATCACTGTGCGCGTCCGAGCCAACAGGATGTGCCGAGGAAAGCGACGCACCCTCCGCCACCCACATTGGTGTATGCGAGGCAGGCAGCGAGGGGCTGAGCGCGAGAGAAGGCGATGCTTCTGCAGGGATGCTAGAAGATCGCATGGCTTCAGCGTCTAGGAGGGCTTTGATGCGTTCGCGCAGCCGCGTCACTTCTTCTTCCAGTTCGCGGATTCGCTTGTCACCGGCCGTCTCGTTCACGAAAGCACGCATGACAATCGCCTTGGCGCGGTCCGCGTAGCGCAGTGTGCTGACGGACTCATCATAGCTGTCGGTGCTGGGGCTGACGGTCGCAATCATGAACGTCTTGCTATTGCCACCCAGGGACTCCTTCAACAAGAAAGTCAAAATGGAGTCGCGATACGGAACGTGGCGCTTGCCGGCCGCTGTGGCGCTGTTGGACTTCGTTTGAGGAGATGCCACGGCATTCGAGGTGGACCGCGCAGCCAAGGCGTTGATCACAATTCCAAGCGTGGTGAGAGATTTGTTTATTTGGGCGCCTTCTTTCAGGGTGTCGCCCTCCGCCCCCGTCGCCTTCGCGCGCTCGCTGCCGGCCAGGTCCACCAGATTGATCTTCGCACCGAGCTGCGTCGTCGCGGTCACGGCAGCGGAGGCGGCAGCGGCGGCGGCCACATACGCGGCGGCCGTTGCTGTCACACTCGAAGGCGCATCTTCGCTGTTTGCAGGGCTGTCATCGTCGCCTTCACGACGCAGAGCTCCACCTTCGGCGCCGGCTGGAAGGACGGTGTGGAGCTTTTTCTGGATGAGCTGAATGGTGAAGATCGCGTGCGAGCGGCTGGAGGTGTCGTTCATGCGTGTCGACGCGGTGTGCCGGCGGTGGTTGCCGCGCACCATTAGCAGCAGCACCTGATCGACGCTCGTCACAGGGATCTCCGCGAGACCCTCGACGTAGACGCCTAAAGTGGGATGCTCCCGCACGCGCAGGTTTCCGTAGGTCGTGTTATCGAAGGAAGAAGACGGGAAAGATGCGGCGGTGCGGCGCAGCGCGTTGGCGGTGGAGCGCGGCGTCGACGGCTCCTTTGGCGCGACAACCTTCGCATCCGCTGACTCGTCCAACAGAGACCTCACATGCTCGTGGTAGATTTCGAGGTAGCTGACGTACACGCTGAACTCCACCTGCTCGTTGCTGTCGGCTGCCGCGGCTTGCCGTGTGGCGACCTCGGCGAACAGCTCTCTGCAGAGGCGAGGGATGATACCTGGGGCGTCGTCGAGGGCACGGCCGCCATCAGCGCCCATCATGCAATAGCTCTTACCGCTGCCTGTCTGCCCGTAGGCAAAGATACACGTGTGGTAGCCGCGGAAGCTGGACTGCAGGACCGGGTGACCAACCTGCTCGTACACCTGCTCCTGCGTGGCGTCCGTCGCGTACACGTGATCGAAGGTGAAGCGGTGGTGCGACACCCCACGCAATTGCGGATCCCGTGCAACCAGCGCATTGAGGTCCCGCTCCGTCTCACTGGTGGGAAAAATATAAAGCGTGTTGTACGCTGACAGCGCCACCACGCAGCTGCCGGTGGCGAACTTCGACTCACGAGAGTTCAGCGGTCGCACGCGCACGCTGACCGTGATGCGGCCGTCTTCGTAGTTCTTGCTGTGTTTTCCTGCGTCGTCGTCGACGTGGTCCGCAACGGACGACCCTCTGCCGCCATTGGTGGGCCGCTCTCGAGGAGATGCGTTCATCACTGCAGTTTTTTGTGCTTCGCTGCCTTTGTTGGTTACTTCACTGCTCTGTCTCTTTTACGATTATCCTGTTGCGTGTAAATGAACACGTATGGAGGGAGATCACGCACGCCAGAAGGCAAAAAAAAAAACACGTAGAGGTGCCACTCAAACTTGTTAGCGGTGTACAATGAGCGTGAGGAGCTCTTGCAATGAAAAAGGAGGTGATGCGTACTCGCTGCCCGAAGCAGACAGAACTAGCTTGAAGCGGAAGAGAAACAAAGGTGCACAAGGTTGAGCGAGCGAAATGGACAGCAAATCAGAAAGTTGAATCGATTGAAATCTCAAAAGATTGCACTCCGTGCACCACCGTGCCGCTGCGCTTGCGCAAAAAAACCAGCAACAACACACCCCGTCAGAACCGAGCAATGAGCTCGCAGTGACGGTGCAGACACGCACGCACCAAAGAAGAAAGAAAAAGGCGATGGAGCACGGTACAGTAAAACCGCACCGTCAAACGAAGACAACAACGTCTTCAAGCGAGACAAAAAGGAGAACACGTACCAGAAAAACCGCAAGTGGAACAGCACGAATAACTCAAGCAAGGGGGGAGAGAACAGAATTGTGATCTATACAGAACAATAATAAAAGGAGGGGAAAGGCGGACAGCGCCTCTTATGAAATGCGGCGCCGTCACCGTGGCGAGTAACGCAACGAGAAAGCGCAAGACGAGGACGGAAAGAGAACAATAACAACGGCACGCAAAGCTTTTGCTGCGGGTACGATGAAGTTTCTGACTAGCGAGACAATAGAAGCACTCACCCACAAGCGGTACTGGCGATAAACGATGTAAAGTTGCGGGTTAGCCTGAGAGGAGGGTTTTTCCCCTCGAGAGAGAAACAGCTGTTCGCACGGTCGATAAACCGTATTTTGAGCTTGGGAGGAACGATTGAAGAAAAAGGAAGCAAGTTGGCGTGGCAAGAAGGCGAGGTTGAAGGGGAAGGGTTAGTGAAACGGTTTCTTCTTTCTTTTTTCAAAGTGGGAAATCAAGAAAAAAAAAGAACTGTTTTAAGCTTCACCATCAGTGCAAATTACAGTCGCAGGAAGGGGAGCCGCCACAACATCGTTCGGAATACTTCATGCAGCTTCCTCTTTTCTTTCTTTCTTTAGACTGGTGCTTGTTATCATTGGTGGTCTTTACTCTTCTTTATATGTTGCTTTACTGCCGGATAGGTTAGCTCGCAGCGTGCTTGCTACAACGGGTTGATACCAGCCCGACGACAGCAAGGATAGCAACGAAAAGGTACGCACATCGAAACACTTTGACGCATGAAATCAGCTGGAGAAGGCAAGTCAACGCAACAGAGTGCATTGAAAGGAAGAAAAAAACCAAAAAAAGCGGGGGAAAAAAGGTCTCGACACGCTGTTCAGTGAAATCAGATGACGAAATGAACGAAGGGAAGAAGCGTCCTGCTGTGAACAGCAAGCATCTAGAGAGCGCATACATGTGCGGTGAGAGAAGAGGTTCAGCAATTACTGGCAGAACACAAAAAACAGTTCAGCTGCTTTGTGAAAACTAGGTGGGAGGGAAGGCGCGTGCACCTTCACGGCCATACGTCGCCGCAGTCAGAGGAGAAGCGGCGCTGCTGTACAACAACAAAAAGAGAAAAAAGGGGGGAGTAAATCAAAATAGAAGTTTGAACCCAATGAAGGTTAGCGTATTTAATAATAATATAATAAAATATAAATAAAGACGTTTGCAGTGTGAAAGCACATCCATTTTTCCTAACTGTTAGAAACAGAACGGATACGCCATCACTCGATAGCTCCAACCGGTTTCATCTTTTTCTTTCAGTCCTCACCGCGGAGGTAACGTCGTTCGATATAGTCCTTGAAATACTGTGGATTCAGCGGCTCTCCAGTCGCCTTGCGAATGAGCTCATCGGTGAGGTAACGGCAGCCGTGGTCCCAGATCTTCTCCTTCTGCTTCTCCAAGATCGGCTTCAGCTGACCCGTGCGAATCGCATCGTTCACCGTGTTCTCACCAATCTCACGTTTAATGGCGGCCATCAACTGTACCGCCAGCATGGAGCCTAGCGTATAGGTCGGGAAGTAGCCGAGTGTGCCCGTGGACCAATGCATGTCCTGCAGGCATCCCACGTTGTCCTTACCCTCCGTCGACAGGCCAAGGTACTGCTGCATCTTCTCGTTCCACACACGCGGCACGTCCTCCGCCTCCATCCTTCCCTCAATCAAATCTCGCTCGATTTCGTAGCGCAGAAGAATGTGCAGCGGGTAGCACACCCCATCCGCCGTGAGACGTATGTAGCCAGGCTCAACGTGCTGGTGCACCTGCCGCACGTTCTCCACGGATGCAAAGGCTGGATCGTCGCCGAGGAAGCGGCGGAGTGCAGGCGTCGCGTACTCGGCGAAGGCGGCGGAGCGCGCGACGGCCACCTCACCAAGGCGGGACTGGCTCTCGTGTATCACCAGCGAGCGGGCGTCGGCGACGGGCTGGCCGCGCTTGTCCGTCGGGCCTCGGTTGACGTTGTAGCGGGAGTGCCCCGTCTCGTGAATGGTCATGAACATCGCCTTGGTGTAGGTGGCGGTGCTGTAGTTGGTGGTGATGCGCGTGTCTTCCGGCGTCATGCCGGTGAAGGGGTGGGCGCTCGGGTCCAGCCGGCCGCCCTCAAAATCAAAGCCCCACGTCTCGGCCATGTACCGGCACAACGGAACCTGCTTCTCCACTGGGAACGGCCCGTGCAAAGGGATCATGCTCGCGGCACGCTCCTTCTGACTCGCCAGGATGCGCTTCAGCGTGGGCGGCAGCCACACCTTGATGTCTTGAAAAATGGCATCTACGCTGTCCAGCGTCATGCCTGACTCGTACATGTTGAAGAGAGACTCGTACAGCCCTGTGCCGAAGACCGCGCCACGGTAGCGCGCCTCCTCGCGCGCGTTCGCGACCGCCTGCTTCAAATATGGGGCGAAAAGAGAGAAGTTGTTCTCGGCGCGCGCCTTGGCCCAAGTCACGCTGGACTCGGCGCTCAACTTCGCCTTGCGGGTCACACAGTCTTTTGGGAGGGCCCTTTCCGACAAGTGCCGGTACTTCATCTCACGCAGGTTGGCGCGCTCAGCGGCGGTTAACTTCGCCTCCGCCGCCGCCACGGCCAGCAGCTTCTTTGTGTGCTCACTGGTGAGAAGATCATGCGTGACTGCCTTCAGCTCTGCAATGGCCGCCCCACGAGCGTTGGAGCCCTTCGGCGGCATCATCGTCTGCACGTCCCATGTCGCAAGCTGGGCGAGGTGGTGGAAGCGGTAGAGCCGTTGGAACGTTTCCTCCAGCTCGTTGTACGCCTCGCACATGGTGCTACAGAGGGTGAAAGGAGGAGAGAGTGAGAGACTCCGGCGAGTGGTGTTGATGCGGTTCGGTAAATGCGCGTGTGCACAACGGAAAAGCTCGAATGGGAATGGAAGCTACGAGCAGGAGAGAGATGGGAAGAAACAAAACGAAAAGAACAGAAGAAAGAGATGCGACATTGAGAGAATACAAAGGGTAGATGAATGCGTAACCGCCAAAAGAAGCCACACAATTCAAGGTGGCCGGACGGTAGAGGACCTCAGCAGCACCTTCAGCAGTAAGCCCCGTCGTTCACGCGTCGCTTCAAAAACTGAAGACGTCCAGTTCCTCTTTTTTGGTTGTTGATGTTGTGTTTCATCTACTTGACAACGAATGCGCCCATGCCCAAAAAACAAAAGGGCCGCGATACATAAGAGCGGGCTTGAAGTGAACACAACGACTTAGTGTAGAGTATCCGCAGGAGTTGCTCCATTGCTGGACGCGAGGAAGCGTATTGAATTGAAAAGCAGAGCTTTTTGTATTTCTTTCGCTTGTGCTTTTGATAAGGAGGATGCTTCGAGAAGCACGTTGGTCGGTAATAACAATCCAAAGAGGGAGGGGTGAGCAACTCAGTTTCTCATGCATGCGTTAAAGTTGCAGACTCCACACACACACACACACACACGGCAACGAGCAAGAGTTCGACTGCCACCGGTTAAAGAGAGGGAGAGGCGGGGGTCCCTGTTGTCGCGTCTTTTACTTTCCTCTTCGGTCTTTCTATCCATCGAACACTAGACAAGGGCGATGACACGGTAAAACAAAAAGCGAGGAGGAATCTGCAGCAAAAAAACGCAAGCAGCCAACACAAGAAGAAGAAGAAAAAAACAGCTTGTAAAAGAGAAGCTTTCCTTTATTTGGGGGGGGGGATGGAGACATATGAGAGGAAAGAAAAGAAATTGATGTGGCTGTAGGGTTCTTTTTTTAATGGTAGAAATAGGGAAAGTACGGAGAGTCGAGCCCGCTCCTCAACCAGGCAAATTCGGGCACTTCACAATAATGATAATGCAGCAGTTCTTCGGGGAAAGTGCTTTTTGTGCTGTAGGTGAGAGAGGGGACTCGCCTACATGAGGATAGGTTGGAATGGGATACACGGGAAACATCGTCTCGAGGGGTTGGTAAAACGCAAGACACGCTTGCCACACTGGAATTCACGAACGATCAAGAATAACTGGGATGGAAAGGCAGTACAAACACCTAACGACGACGAAAACAAGAAGAAACCAATAACGCTCTCAAGCTCCATCGCCGTTGATCTTCTTGATGATAGCATCCGCAAATTCCTCCGTGGAAAGCGTCTTAGCGCCTTGCATCTGACGGGTGAGATCGCCAGTCGCCATGTTTGACTGGAAGACCATCTCCATCGCGTTAATAATGTGCGCGAACACCTCCGACCAGCCCATGTAGTCAAACATCATCGCACCCGACAGAATAAGAGACGATGGGTTCGCCGTTCCTTGCCCCGCGATATCCGGCGCCGTGCCGTGCGTCGCCTCAAAGATGGCGTGGCCTGTCGTGTAGTTGATGTTCCCTCCCGGGGATATTCCAATGCCGCCGACCAGTGCCGCCAGCTGATCCGAAATGTAATCGCCGTTCAGGTTCATGGTGGCAATCACGCTGTAGTCCAGCGGACGCAGAACAGTGTTCTGCAAAAAGGCATCACAGATGCAGTCCTTTATAATCACCTTGCCGCTGTCCGTTGCCGCACGCATGGCCGCGTCGGCCGCCTCCTTGCCGCTCTTCTCCTTCAGCGCGTCGTATTGCGTCGCCGTGAAGACCGCATCGGCGAACTCGCGCTCGGCCAGCGCGTAGCCCCACTTCTTGAAGCCGCCCTCCGTGAACTTCATGATGTTGCCTTTGTGCACTAGAGTGACGGACGGGAGGTGATGGTCCACGGCGAATTGAATCGCCGCCCGCACCAGACGTTCGCTGCCCTCCACCGAAACGGGCTTCACGCCGTAGGCGCTCGTAGCGGGGAAGCGCACCTCCTTCACGCCCATCTCCTTCACCAGGAACTGCGTGAACTTCTGTGCCTCAGGGGAGCCCTGCGCCCACTCAATGCCAGAGTAAATATCCTCGGTGTTCTCACGGAAGACCACCATGTCCACCCACTCCGGGTGCTTCATCGGCGAGCCGACACCGGTGAACCAGCGGACGGGACGCACGCACACAAAGAGGTCCAGACGGCGACGCAGCACCACGTTGAGGGAGCGAATGCCCTCGCCGACAGGAGTCGTGAGAGGGCCCTTCAGCCCAACGCGGTACTTTCCGAAGGACTCGATCGTCTCGTCTGGAAGCCACGTGCCTTTGGCGTCGAATGCTTTCTGACCCGCAAGCACCTCCATCCACGACACCTTACGTGCATCGCCGTACGCCTTGACCACAGCGGCGTCGAAGATGCGGCGCGCAGCCGCGGTGATCTCCTTTCCGATGCCATCGCCTTCGATGTACGGGATGGTGGGGTGCGAGGGCACCGCCAGCTTACCATCAGAGAAGGTGATAATATCTGCCATCTTTGCTGACTTATACGTATTGAGATATATATATACATATATATATATATATATTTATTTATTTATTTATTTATTTATTTATTTATGTATATGTTTCTTTTTTCCCGTGTTTGATTCGAGATACTTAGCCGATTCCACCACACTTTCACCAGAGAAATATGAAAGCCGTGAAAGAAACGATGTATGTCCCTTCCGAGGTGGATGCTAGAGTGTCAACGCCACCTGTCAGCTACACAACCTGCGGTGGCTCTCCGTGTAGAATACAGAAGGAACTAACAACAAACAACACGCAGAAAGAAAGAAAAAAAAAAGAACACCTGTGTGAACTTCAATCCAAACCAAAAAAAGGGGGGGCTATTAACGTTACGAGCAAGGCGTAGTCAATCAAAAACCACGGATGCGATGGATTAAAGCAAATAGATGCGCGCCACACAGAAGGCAGAAGGGAGGAGACAGGAGGAGGGGAGAGTTACGAACGCAACGGATGGACCAACGGTTCGCGTTACGCTTTTGCAAAGGCAAGAGTCAACGGCGAATTATTCTTTCTACAGCACGCAGGAGAAGAAAAAAAAAGAACGTGAGGGCGCTAACATGTTTGGTTATGCACGCATTTTGTCTGCAATTTCCACACCACGACGGCAACACCGCGAAGGGAGGGGGGAAGGTTAGATTAGCGTCAACATTAGTCACTAACAATACTTCTTCAGCGCACCGTGCATGGATACTCGCGTTCTTTTTGTATTCTCCGCTTACCGGTGTGGTTTTGGCAGCTAGCTCGTTGCATTATGGGGAATAAAACGGTATGTATAAGTAACCACGCAGATTCGATAAGGGTCTCAATGGAACATTAAAAATTGCTTCTCTTAAAGAATGTTACGGAGTCAGAGACGGCGAGAAATACTTGTCTGGATTTTTTTACTTAACGTCAACAAGCAGTCGTGCTCCGGCGCACAACAAAGCCAAAGCGTACCGGACACCGTGCGACCTTCTATTTGAACACGTCAGCTCGCAGTGAGTGCAGGCACCTCTTCAGCCCTACTGTGAAAAGATTCGAGATTTTAAAAAGGGATTCTGAGTGAGAAAAAGGAAAGGTAAAGCAGAGGGCGTTCACGCGCCACTCACACTTTATCGAAACAGCCCGCAAAGCACAGCATCGCCATTTTGTGTGTGTGTGTCCTTTAGGCGCCGAGGTAGCGCGCCTCCAGGTGCTTGCGCAGGTACTCTGGGTTTAGCTTCTCGCCCGTCGCACGGGTAATCAGGTCGTCCGTTTCGTACAGACAGCCGTGGTCCCAGATCTTCTCCTTCTGCTTCTCCAGAAGCGGACCGAGGTTGCCGGTGCGCAGGCACTCATCCACCTTCTCGTCCCCAAGCTCCTTGCGGATGCTCGCCATGATCTGCGCCGCATACATCGCACCCAGCGCGTAGGTCGGGAAGTAGCCCAGTGAGCCCATAGACCAGTGCACGTCCTGCAGGCATCCCACGTTGTCCTTACCCTCCGTCGACAGGCCAAGGTACTGCTGCATCTTCTCGTTCCACACACGCGGCACGTCCTCGGCCTCCATCTTCCCCTCCATCAGGTCACGTTCGATTTCGTAGCGCAAGATCACGTGCAGCGGGTAGCACACCTCATCGGCGTCGACGCGAATGTAGCCAGGCTGCACACGCTGCAGCGCCTTCTTCAGGTTCTCCGGTGAGAAGGCCGGCTGGGGCTCGAAGAACTCCGGCAGGCGCTTCGCCAGGTACTCGACAAAGGAAGCAGCGTGGCCGATTTGGAACTCAGCGAACAGGGACTGGCTTTCGTGGACGCCCAACGAGCGCGCCTCACACACGGGCTGCGTGATCATGTCGCGTGGTCCACAGTTCTGCTCGTACTTGCCATGACCACCTTCATGGATCACGCCGTACAAACTCTGCACGTACGTCTCTTCGATGTAGTTGGTGGTGAGGCGGCAGTCCTCCTTCGTCATGCCGGTGAAGGGATGGGGGCTGATGTCGAGGCGGCCGGCTTCCATGTCGAAGTTCCACACGCGCAGAAACTCCTTGCACAGCGCCTCCTGCTTATCCAACGGGAACTTCTCCGAATACGCCGTCACCGACTCGCTCGCCTGCTTCTTCAGGATGTCCTGCAGCAGCTGTGGCAGCCACGACTTCACATTGTCGAAGACCTCGTCCACCTTCTTCGTCGTGATGCCGGGCTCGTACTGGTTCATCAACGCCTCCAGCGGCGACAGGGACGTGCCAGCGGCGAGGTAGCCGCCCTCCTCACGTGCCAACTCCACCAGCTCCTTCAGAACGGGCAGGAACTTCGCGAAGTCGTTCGCAGCACGGCTGTCGCGCCACACACTGTGCGCGCGGGTCGTCAGCCGCATCTTGCGGCCCACGAACTCGACAGGGAGGCTGTTGTCGCTCCTCCACGCACGCTCCATCTCGCGCAAGTTTGCCTGCTGCACCGCGCTCAGCTCCGCCTTGCCCTGCTTCGCTGCGTCCAGCCACTCCTTCACCTCCGGTGCCGTCATGTACCCGAAGCGGATCTCCGACAACGTGGCGAGCGCCTCACCGCGCGACTCCTCACCCTTCGGAGGCATATAGGTGTTCATGTCCCAGTCACCGAGGGAGATAAAGTGATTGAGTCGGCTCACCTTGGTGAAGAGCGCCTCTAGCTTCTTGTACGACTCCATGTTTGCGGTGCGGGGAGGTACCCTATGCAGGAAGAAACGCGAAACACGATGGAGCGAGGGTGTGTGGCGGAACGTTTTCAGGTGGTTGCTTAGTGGAGAAGATTCTTTATGCGCGGAATACCTTTAGAAAAGGAAATAGTGGGTTTTTGGAGGGGCAAGGAAGAGATGGGCATAACAGGAAATAGATGTACCTGCGAAACTCTAAGCCGCACAGCACTTTGACATCGTCCACCATCTCCGAATGCACGTCCACGGACGCGTAGGCGGAAAGCACCCTCTTTTGTCTGGATGTGAAATAACAACAACAAAACAACTTTCATTCAATCGCTAACGTCATTGGGGGCAGTGGAGCTTCACCACCGCGTCCGCCACCCGTAAAGATGTCCAAACACGCGCAGCACTTTCGTGAGAGCTAATGAGGAAAGATGGCACAGCACAATCAACAGTAAACACGGCGATGTGTGGTTTGTGTCCATGCCCTCACGGACGTGCTCCGTTGACCTATGGCACTGTGACCACCACTGCGCTAGATTTATGTGTTGGCGCCTTTGATTTTAGAGTTGGCAGTTACACGCGGTACATTACAGAGTCATCATATATATGTCTTCCCCAAGTGAGGTTAGGATTATAAGAAAAGAAATGAAGACAATACAAGCGCCAGCATTATTACCCGTTAAAGGAAACAAAACAAAAACTCTCCTTTACGTCCTTCAAACGAATCTCATCGTTAAAATACACAAAAACAAAAAGATGCGCACACGCAGCCTACGGATACCGCTGCCCTACTTTCCCTTCGCCTCCTTGGCCAGCTTCGCCTTGTTGCCCTTCAAGTGCTTATTCGCCACCGCCTCAAAGCGGTGCACGGCGTGGCGAGTATTACGGCGGTTCATGTAGCGGCGGTTCAGCGGCACGTACGCGAACGGCTCCACGTTGCCGCGCTTAACATCACCGTCACCGGTGCCGCGGAATTCGTCGCCCTTGCGGATGTCCTCCTCCACACGCTGCCGCTTCAGCTCCCGGTTGGCGGCCTTCTGATCGCGCAGCCGCGACACTTGCAGCGCGCTGGGTCCCACGGCACCACGGCCCGCCTTGTACGTCTCCGTCGCCTTCTTTGCTGCATCCTCCGTCGCACGACTGCCGTAGCGCAGCGCCAGCTCCTCATTCTCGAAGTCCTCATCATCCGCACGCGAGCGCTTGCCGGGGCGCGCGCTGGCCTCGTCGTTGAGCGCGGATGCGACCACCAGGCCGTTGCTGCGGCGAAGCAGGCGATCTGCCATGGCCTGTCGGGCCTTGTGCGCATCCTCCAGCCTTTTCTGCTCCTTACTAAGGATGCGGAGCTTTCCGTCGGCCTGGAAGTCGAGCACCATGTTGTCGTACTCGTCCTCGTCGTCGTCCGCGTTGTCCTTCTCGCCACCGAGGCCACCTCCGCTGAAGCCCTGAAAGACCGGCGCGGCGTGCTTCGCCACGAAGCTACTCAGCGCACCGGCTTCCAGCAGGTCCTCCTCCGCCGCCTCCTCACGACCTGCGTTCATCGCAGCACCGAGGAAGAGCTTGTCGAACTCGTTGTGCTGCTTCTCATTGCGCTTCTTCATTTCCTTGTCTGCCTTCTTCTCCTCCCGCTTCATCATCTTCTGCGTGTAGCGCAGGAAGTTCTTGCTGCCCAGCGGGAAAACGGGGTCGATCTGCTCTATCGGGAAGCGCTTCAGACACTTCTCTAAGAGGACACGCATCTGCATGCGCGTGTTGCTGGAGACGTGCGGCTGCGAGGTCACCAGCGCAATCGAGTAGAGCAGCTTCGGCAGAGCCTTCGCCACGGCCGCCTTCACGGGCGGACTGCGCTTGCCCAGCTTCAGCGCCATACGAGCAAAGATGGCGGCCGCACTCCGCACCTCGACCTCAGCAGACTCCATCAGCTGAAACCCAACCGCCACGGCCGCCTGCAGGTCCGACTCCGGCAGCTCGCTGTGCGTCAGGTAGATCAGCTTCGCCATGCACACCACCGTGCTGGACACCATCATCGGTGTCTTGCCAGACAGACCGGCTATGACCATGCGCAGCAGCGCGTTCACCGGGGCGCCGGCGCTCACCGTGTAGCGCTGCATCTTCTCCAGCACCGCCATCGTCATGGCACGCGTCTCACTGGAGCGCTCGCGGGAGAAGAGCACCACCTCGCCGATGAGCGTGCGAATGGTGGGCAGCAGTTCATCCGGGAAGTACATCTTGCACGCGTCCAATGCCCAGGACAGGCAGCGAATGCGCATCTTCAGACCTGAAATGGTGACGTGCTGCCGGCCCACCGAGAGCAGCCCTAGAATGCGGTGCATGAGCGGAAATATGTCTCGGATGCGGTGCTCAAACATCGCAAAGAGAAGCTTGTAAGCCTTCTTCTGCAGCAGGCGGGACTCCGGCGCGGGGTCCATCAGAACCGGTTCGATGATGTCCGCGTAGAGCGTCGTCACGTGCTCGGGAGAGAGCTGCGGCACCACGGCGCAGGCGATGTCAAGAATCACGCGACGCTTGGACGTAAGAGGGGCGTTGTTCTTCTTCGACCCGCTGGGGGCCGCACCATCGTTGGCGGCCGCAGCTCGCTGTGCTGCGATGTTGGAGCTGACGCTCAGAATGCCTTTTAAGATGCTTGCCATCACCTCCTTGTTGCACACCTTGGAGAAGCTCTGGATCGCCAGCAGCACCGCGGTGGAGTCGTGCGTCTCGAAGGTGTTGCACAGCTTTGGCATGATGTTGGCGCTGAACTTGGCGAAGATGGTGTCACACACAAGCTGCGCGTACGCCTGCGTGATGTTGTGGAAACGGTGCGGGTTCCAGCCCGGGTCGGTGAGCGAGAGGACGTACACGTCGTCCTCCAGCGCGTCCTTGCGGAGTCGTCGCTGCGGTGGGTTTGCCAGGGCGTCGTCGTGGCCGCTGTGGCGCAGGTCGTCCGGCAAGTTTTCCGCCTCCACGCTGTCCGCATCATCATCGTCGTCCTGCTCCGTCGCCTTCAATGCGTAATACCCGTCGCACAAGACGTGAATCGCAGAAGCGCTCGTGTTGACAAAGGAGGGGTTCGACAGCAGTCCGACCAGCTGCCTCGCCAGATCGCGGAACGACTCCGCCGTCACCTCGGCTGGGTAGTAGCAGAAACCGACGGCTACCCGCCAGTACTGCACCAGCAGCGCCGACCACCGCGTGAACTCCTCCGTGCGGTGATCCTTCTCCGCCTCGGCGGCCAGCTTGCTACAGAACTGAATGGCCGGGAAGAACTTCTGAATGAAGAAGGGCAGTGAGTCGTGCGAGGCCGTGCGGCGCCAGACGTTCAGCAGGTAGCTGGTGGACCAGAGCACCTCGCCCTGCTCGGCCGCGCCTTCTTCGGTCGCCATCTCCGCTTCGTACGCGGCGCGGGGGTCGAAGTCGAGGAGAGAGGTGAACTCCCACATGTACATGCAGCAGCCGGCCGCGACCAATGTACGCTCGACCTTGGCGTTGAGAGCGCTGTCGTCCATCACACGCAGCTTATTGAGCACCTTGATCAAAAACCCCACGGCGGGGAAGCGATCGGTAAACTTGGTGTACAGGCGAATGCGCTCCGTCGTGTTGGGGGCACCGCTGCTGTGGGACGTCGTGTATTCGGACTCCGCCTTCGCCACATCTTGCGGAGGCGGCTGCACCCGCTTTAGGTAATTCATGCGCTTAAAGACCGTCGACAGCACCTCCATTGCCATGCCCCAGCAGTGCTGATGGACGGGTTTCAGCAGCGCGAGCAACTCTTCGGCGAGAAGGCCGTTGAGGCAGCGCTGGCCCTCCAGCGACTCCACGATGTACGGCGAGAGCGCGCGGTCAAAGAGAAGCGTCATCTCCGCCATCACGGCCGACACAACCGCGACGGGGGCCTCGGCGAGGTTGCGCATGCAGGCGCGAATGAAAACCAAAAGACCAGCGCAGAAGAAACGTTGGCGTGTATTCAGTGTGTAGAGCGCCGTGACAGGATCTTTGAAAGGAGTCGCAGCGGCGACGTCATTGGAGCACAGCGCACTCACCTCGAGGACTTTGCGGAAGCTGGCGAGGTACAGCTTCATCGCCTCCGTTTGAAGTTTGTTTGGCTCCAACTTCTCCAAAAGGCGCAGCTGCTCCATGGTGGGCGCCTCAATAGAAAGCAACAAGGCAACCGCCAGCTTCAGCACCTTGGCCACCACGAGCGTGTTGCTGCTGCCGTACTCCGCCATGAGCTGGTCGCACAACGAGAAGCACACGCCTAATTGATGCAGAAGGATGCCTTGGGTGAGGCGTGGTACGCAGGCGGCCATGATGGAGAGCATGTAAGGCACATGTCGCTGGTCGGGTGACTTGGAGAGGGCCGTGAAGGCGCTCATAAACATGGCGAGCGGGCTGACGGTTTGGCCAAGCGTCTCAATGGCGCTCGTCAAGCCTTCCTGCACGGCGTGCAGCGTGCTGCGGTCGAAAACACGATGGACCTTCTTGTTCTTCAGCTTCTGAATCTGTGCCATCTTTACACGCTTGGCGGCCCTCTCCACTTCCTTCGTGATGCGCTCCTTCTGCTTCCAGACGGTGCGTTGCGCCTCGAATACCTGCTTCCGGCTCATGTTGGCGCCTTTCTTGGCACGGCGCAGTCCCGCGCCGCTCTTCGCGCCCGCAGCGCTGGACGCAAACTTCAGCTTGCCCACCATTGCCGAGCGGGTGCGCCAGACTCGTTGGCTCTGCGCCGTCAACTACCAAAACTGGCGAAGGAAAGAGAGTGACGCTCTCACGTACGGAAAGCAGAACAAATCCTGAGAAAAAAAAAGCCTCTTGCTTTAACGCCTCGTTGCTTTCGGTTTAATGAGAGAGGAAAGGAACGCGATGCGATGGGAGGAGAGAAGAGGAGAAAGACTTGCAAACTCAAAAAAAAGGGGGGCTGCCCTGTGCCTTGACAAGCGTGCGTTGTCAGCATCTGCTGGACGCGTCTTTCTTTGCCACACCCTGTACGGGAGTTAAACCTCCTGAGAGCATGAAAGCGAGCCACCGCACTTCAGCACTCACAAGAGGGGCGTTTGCCATCTGTACGAAGCACGCTGCCATTTTAGAGTTTACACGGGGACTGTTTTTCTCTCCTCTTGGTTTTTTCTTGTTTGGTGAGGGTCTCAACGACGAGGAAACGCGCTGCAGCGGGCAGCGCGCAAGACGGAACCAGGATCCAATGAAGCAACCAACAAAAAGGAAGACGCCAGCACTCTGCGTTCACGAGCCGCCGCACCAGTACTTTTTCTCTTTCCGACGTTGGTGGACGCATTTGGAAAAAAAAAGAACATCGGAGAATACGCAACGCTTAGCAAAGCGGGATAACCGACAAGCAATACAACAGAGAAGGACATGAGCCAAAGCTGTGAACAAAAAAAAATGATTACATGTTCGCGCGATTCTGCGCTGTCTCTTCCAGACTGAGCACCCCCTCCCCGGTCAGCGACCGACGAATGAGCTGCGGTGCCAGTGGCGTCAGTCCTTCCCCTTCGTACGACACAAGCGGATTAATCTCCCACTGACACAGTCCCTCACGTAGTCGTTGCAGTGCAGTGGCGCGGTCCTGGACGGAGTAGCCCTCCTCCCCAGTTCCCAGCGCCTCGGGCGCCGCCATAACCGCCTCCGCCACCCACTTCGTGTGCAGCTGCAACACAAGGTCCGCCGCCGTCGTGGCCGTGTCGGTGGCGGCGCCTTCCGCGTTTTTAATCGGGGCAAACTCCGCATTGCGGTCCACCTGCATTATTTGAAAGGCATCCAACCGGTCACCGCCGCCGTGTGGGCGCGTGGGCACCTGCTTCGCCAGCTTGAATTCATCGAAGATAAACGCCTCCATCTTGATGGCCGGTACGATGCCGTTGACCGTCGCGATGTTCTTGCGGGCGGCGTGATAAAAGGTACTCGTCTGCATGTCCTTGGCGGCCAGTTTTAGAAAGTCAACGGAGCAGCAGTGCGAGGCGATGTTGCCGCAATTGTAGGCGAGCTCGCCGCTCACATCGTCGCGCTGCAGCGCTCGCTCCGTGCCAATCTCCGTGTACTCGACGACGCCCCACTCCCCGTCCGTCAGCGCAAACACGCCGACGCGCTCCTCTGCAGAGGCTTTTGGCACGGTCTTGACGACCACCTCCGCCTGACGGGCGGCGGCAACGCCGAAGAAGTACGGGTCGCCCAGCTTTGCCAAAATGTTGTCGACGCTGAAGATCTGCACGTAACGCACGCCTCTCATTTGAATTTGTGCCAACACGCCCTGCTCAGATTTTGACGACGCAAGTGCCGCGGCGGTCGGCGTCCGTACCAGGCTCTCGTAGAGGCCGCCGTTGCCTCCTGGTGCAACACAAATTTTGCCCTTCTCCTCCATCAGTACCTTGCCCGTCTTTTCGTCGTAGCAGGGCAGCGAACTCTGACGAAAGAAGAGAACCTGATCGGGACGCAGCCCAAAGTAGTTGTGCTCGCAGAAGAACGCCTTCGTGGCCGCATCATTTTGATCCGACGTCATTACCAGAAGATGAAGAAGACCACGACCCGTCGTCTCGGCGCCTGGTGGGACGGCTACCTGTGAGTCTCGTGCCCACGCCGCCGCCATCTGCTCCATCTTGCGCACACGGTTGCAGTGGTACTCAAACAGGGAGCGTCCGCTGGGGAGGAGGTCGCAGTGGAAGAGCCCCTTCGGAATTGTCACGCCAAGGCGCGTGCCGCTGCCACCGGCCATCAAAAGAGCGGCGCCTTCTCCGCGTGCAATGACGTGCATGCCCGCTGCCCGAATGGTTGCCACCTCCGCCGAGCCCTCCGCGAGCAGCTTCGGCAGGTGGAAGATCGTCGCAGCGGGTGGCGGGGTGATGGAGGGATCCTTCGCCGCTGCTGCCGAGGCGCTGCCGTTGCTTTTGTTGAGGTGATCGAGACTGTCTTTTAGCATGGCGTTCATGTGCTTCCACTGCGCGGCGGAGAAGGAGGTAACTTGGGCCGCCAGGATCAATTGCTCTGCCGTGGACAGGTTATCGTAATCCGCCAGAATGTGCTCCTGTCCGCTGCCGTCGAGAACGGCGAGAAGAGCGTCCTTGGTGGTCATTTTCTAGACAAAAGCAGGTGCCGTCCCCTTTATTATTTTGAAGGTTTTTTCTTTCTTCTTTCTGAATGCGTCCCAACGGAACAGCCGCAGGAAATAACTCGATAAATTGCTCTTTGACTCTGTGGTGTTCGGCGCGTTGCACTCGAGTACCGTTGTCATGGAGAAGGAAACAGGAAGACGAAGAGGTGCGGTGTCAGTGAATCCGGACAGGTTTGGATGCGCCACGAGCGCTGTGCAGCCCAAAAAAGAAAACCAAGCGAAGCCAACAAACGAAATGTGTTTTCCGCTGCAGCTGCACACATACGCCACGTAAGGAGGGCGGACCCGCTCCCCGTCTACACCTTGTCCTCTCCATCCGCAACGTCTGCCACTACAGAGAGTCACGCATACAAAGCAGCGTACTGCAAGACCCGGAAGACGAAAACCAGCTTTAAAAACGACAGAAGAGTCAGAAAACACATCAACGCATTGCATGAGACAGCAATGAGCACGTCTGTGATTACAACAACAAACCAAAGAAAAAAATGAGCGACCGGAAAAAGGGGAAAAACAAGAGAGCGAACAAAGAGCCGCCCACGCAACACCCAACACGCACGGCCTCAGCAATGTGTCACATCACATGCGTCCTCACACGCCTGTCCACCTTGCACGTGAGGCAGAGAGCGTAACTGCAAAAAGGCAGCGGCGCGACGTGCGGCTAACACACATCCACTGCATTAACCTCCGCGCCGCACGTACCGCTTTTACGCCGTCGGTGGCGCCATCCAACGCTCGTAGTCCTCAACACGCGCGTCACTCGGGAAGCCGCTCTCGTCCCAGATGCGGCCCTCAAACGGCACAAACGCGCTAAAACGCTGAGCCATGTCCCGCACCCCCTCCGTTGACGGCTGCTCCGCGCAGTGCACACGCCAGCGGTCCTTCACAAAGCGGTCCAACAGCGCCGCCGCCACCTGAACCTTCTGGCGGTTCACGCGACGCAGTGGTTGCTTATGAAAGTCTAGCGCGGTGCGGTGTAGCGCCCTTCCCAGCTGCACCACCAGCTTCTCGAGTTGCCGCTTGTTGGAAAGCGCGGTCGGCTGCGCAGGGGCGGACGCGCCGTACTCGGTGGGCAGCGCGACGTAGGTGAGAAACGACACGTACGGATCCTTCTTGATCAGCGCGACGAAGTGCGGCAGCGTTGGCACGTACGAGGGAGCGTTGTCCCTGCCCTCCAGGACACGCTTAGCGTTGGCAGACTCGGCCTCTTCGTAGCCGACGCGGTAAATATCCTTAGAGGCCTGGTCGTATGTCTTGAGAGCAGCGATGGCTTGGCGGGACAGCGCATCCCGGTCCTCCGCACGCACCGCGCGTGGGTTGAAGTAGCTCCAGTCTGTGTACGACGAATAGAGCGCGGGGTTCTCCTCCACCTGCGCGCCACGCAGAAACTTCTGAGACCCCGCCGTGTCTTCTCGCTCGTGTCGCTGCTGCAGACGCCGCACATCGTTCGCGCGGGCATCGATCATCATCGCGACGTTGCGGGCGAGTGGGGCGAGGAGGTGGCCGCGCTTCTCGGAGATGATGCTCGAGAGAGACACACCGCCGTCGCCATCTCTGCCGCCACCGCCGCGACGGTTGCCTCGACGGTTATCGCGGAATTGCTGCTGCTGTTGATCCAGACTGCGGCCGTCTTCGCCAGCGCCAGCGGACGACGCGGATGCCGGGGTCGCGGCGGACGGCCGCGTCAGATACGCCTGTGCGTTCGGGAAGCGTACAAACGGATTCTCCGACACGAGCAGATTGAGCTCGCCAAAGACTAACACACGCAGCAGCGACTCGTTCTCCTCGCAGCGCCACAGCGCCTCGATGGGCGGGTACGACGACGGCGGGCGCGGGCGAGCAAGTGCCCCTGGAGCCGCACGTTTTGCAGCTGCCTCTCCTTCGGCGGGCGCCTTCTCCGGCGACGCTGCGCCTGTTCGGCCAAAGACGCCCTTCAGCACCTCCTGCTCGTCCTTCGGCGGGGGATGCGAAAATAGCAGCTCCGACGCGTTGGGGCTGCGGTGGCAGCGCAGCACCACGTGGCCCTCCACCGCGTTGTCAAGGTAGTAGCGGCGGACGAGGTAGAGAAAGTATAGGTAATCCTCTTCCTTTGGAACCAACGATGAAGACTCGCCCACCACATCAGTGTCCGATGGCGAAGAGCTTGCCGCGGCGTGGCTCGACTCACCTGACGAGCGCGGCACCAACACGACCTCCTCCGCGGTGTCCAGAATATACTTGTAGTTGCTCGGGTAGGACGATTTGCGCTCGTTTAAGATCGCGCGATACAGCAAGGCCTTGTCCCACACCTCCTCCGGCTCCCACACGCGATCCAGCACCATTTCCTTAAAGAGCTCCACGACGTGGTATCGAGAAGCCTTGTCGATGTGGATGGCAGGGAACTGCGGCTGGCGTTCAAACAGGTCGAGAAGACCCTGATCCTGTGCCAGTACATCCAGCTTCTCCTGCGCAGCCGCACGACGCGCCTCCCCAGCAAGTCTACGAATCGAGTGCGGAGGACGGAGTGTCTGCCCCGGCGGCGGTGCTCCGGGCAGTGCAGCCGCGGCGGCATCGCTGTTGGCCGGCTGCCCGGTAAGCAGCATACCCTGAAACACCTCCTCCGCCTTCTTGCGCTCCCTCGCATAGCGCACCTTCGAGTTGTACGCGCGGTAGAGCCAGTCGAGGTAGTCGGGCGAGTACGCCACGCGCAGCGGCCCGGGATTTGTGATCATCGTCTCAAACTCCTTTTTGTTCGTTGCCTGCCTTGCCGGGGCGATGCTCTGCGCTGTGAAGGCGTGAATGGGATTGAACTGCCCTCGCGTCGTCACGCCGCGGCGGGAGTTCGAGAGCGCAAGAGCATTTCTTTCTGGAAGTGAAGCCGCAACAGCCACACCTACGCAACGCCGCCGAAACATCTCTCAGCTGTCAACGAAATTACCTTTCAACAACAGCACAAAAGTATTAATAATAATAATAACTCTTGAAAGTGAAGTAGACACGCTATGAGTCTCGCCGCTTAGTCGACCTATCCCTGACGTACAGGAGGAGAGAAGAAGAAAAAAAATAAGCGGACAGGAAGATTCGCTTCCGCTTACATCAAACACAAACCAAAAGAAGAAAAAGGCGAAGAATAAAGAGAAAAGAAAGAGAAAAGAGAAAAAAAAAAACAGATATGCACGCATAAGCTTTCTGAAAAAAGCTTTGCTTTCAGAAAGGTGCATCCTATTGCCTTCCGTCGGATCATCTTGCCAATACGAGCCTCAAACAGTTAGGCGAAGGGGTAACCAACACAACGAGGGGCATACCGAAACGGTGTTGGGAACATCAACGAGCTTTCATCCGTCCAAGGAGGAAGATCAGCAACGCTTTGCAACGCTCCAGAGCTTCTCCACAGCTCGCTGCTTTTAAGCGTGGAGGTGTCGCTCACCTTTTTCCAAGGTTGATATTTGTGCTGTGCTCTCACGCTGCACAAGACAGAAGGTAGAAAGGCTACCCGTCAACGACAACGAAACAAACCCCACTCACAAGACGGATGTTTGATAGGCAAAATGCGGGCGAAAAGAGGAAACGACGTAGTGACCCTTCCACGCTTTCCGCATCAGCTCGGTGGCGCACACACGATTCTTGCTTTACTTCACGGAAGCGATTAAAAGCAAAAGCCTCCTCCACCTCCGTCGTGCCGGATTGCACTATTTACATGTATACATGAACAGATTCATCAGAGAAACAAGAGAAACAAAAAAAAAGATGATCAACAACAGCCTTCGACAGTTTTCGCAGCATGAACCGCTGAGCCGCTCTTCACGAACATCAGCCCTGTTCTTTCTCTGCATAAGGAACGAGTGCTATCTTTTAAAGAGCCACGAGCAGTTACAGTTCAAACGCGGTGTTCACGTTGATGTTGCCGTCACCCATGTACAACGACCCGTACACCGACGTCTCCGGTACGTGATAGAAGAGCGAGCCGGCAAAGCGGATGTTCTTCCCGATCATCACGTCATGAAAGGCGTCGTAGCGCAGCTCCCACGTCCCCGAAGGGATGTCCTCCGTCAGCGGCTCAAACACCGCATCGACGAGGGGGTGCTCGCTGAGCTGCTCCAGGGCCGACTTCGTGAAGAGCGCGTTTTGGTTGCGCGCTAGGAGACGGCGGTACGGATCCTGCGCGCGCAGGTGGTAGTAGTTGCGCAGCGTCAGTGCGCCATCGGCGGTGCGGGCGAGCCCGTTAAACGCGGTGTTGCACCGAATCTGCGCCCGCTCTACCGTTGCGCCTCCGTTGCCGGTGGAGGCGGCCACCGTGGCCGTCGGCTGGCGCTCCGCCTTCACGTAGGCACCGCGTGGCACGACGCGACACTCGTGGTCAAACTCCTCCATGAAAAGCGCAAGGCGCACCGACTCCTTCACGCTCTGCGTCGTCGCTGGATGGCTCGGGTCGACCGCCACGCGATACTCGTACGCAGGGTCGCCCATGAAAGGGCCGCGCATGCCCAGCAGCACCGACTGCTTCCACTCCGCCTGCTCGATACCGCTGCCATTGACGTAGCCGGGGCAGGCAGCGAAGACGGAAGAAAAGGTTCCCAGCAGGTTGAAGCTGCGGCCCTCGTCTAGGGTGTAGTAAATCTCTGGCTCCGCCACGGCGTCGTCGTCGTAGGCCTCCACGATGATGTAGTCCGCCTTGTAGCCAGAGATCTTGCCCCACAGCACGAGGCGCTTGCGCTTCGTTTGCGTGCTCAGGATTGGGATGGAGCTCGAAAGCTGTACGCGCTCATTCGGGGAAAAGCTGACGCCGCTCTCGAAGGCGTACTCAATAGGATGATGCAACGATGTCATGCTTTGTATGCGTACGTGGGGATCTGTGCTTAATGGTGTTCAATCGAGGAGGATAGGGGGGAGGCTGGAGTTCAAACAACAGCAGAAAAAAACCTCAACGTTGCTGTAACAAACCGAAGTTTTTCTTCTTCGCTTTACTATTTTCTTTTTTCTAAGTCCAGCAATACGCAAACAGGAGGAGAGCAGGAAAAGAGAGGTGTGAAAAGGGAGGGAGGAGCTTTGGGCTCAGTGACAGTCAAATTAGCGCTGCATAGGTTGCTGTTGTCGAGCACAGTCGTGTATGTCGCCAGTTTCCAACAACAACATAAAAAGGAAAGAGCAGCAGGGTCATTTTCTTCAACCTTGTGAAGAGCGCAGAGCAGCGTATCGACCGGCCCAAACGGGCAGAGCAGAACTTAACAAGAAGGGAGAAATGCAGCGCAGCATTCCTCACGCAGCCCAGGTCTTTAAAGCCGCGTGCAAAAATATTTTCTCAGCAATCTTTTTTTTTGTTAGTGGTGTTTGCTTTTGTCCTCAGCTTCACACGGAAAACACGTGATGCGTCGATTCCAAGGTGCATTTCCATTCATGAAGAGGGAGAGAAGAAACAAAGGGCGTTCATGTCGTCCCCCTTCAACCATGAAAAACCGGTGAGAACAACAATAGAAAAAGGAAATAAGTTAAATAATCAAGTAAAAAAAAACGAACGCGGGTTTCTTTTCCTCCTTCCTTTTTGCGTATTAAATGAAAGGAGAGAATCACTTCACTACACGTGAGAGGTAACGTGATCTCCATAGACACGTGAAAGCGAAGTCTACGCCGTCGGAGTGCACGGCATCCGCTTCAGGAAGACGTCGGGGAAGCACGTGCCCATGGAAGAGTCCAACCCCTATCGTCTGCCGTCACCGCACAGAAGACAAGAGTACACTCTTTTTTATTAAAGAAAACAAAAGCATATAGATGTGCTGAAGATAAAAGGCAGCATATTCGTTGGAAGGGAGGTCAAAGAACAATAAAAAGCCTGGCAAAGCGCATGCCAGTCCTAAAAAAGAATAAAATAAGAAGAATCGTGTTAGAGCTGCCACGAAGCAGTCGTAGAAAAATAATAAGCCCATCGTTTCCTGTAAAGAGCGCGCGTTTCCTCGCATCCGCATTCACCGTCGTCTCCTCTTTCGCGGACACACGAGCGACCTCTCTTACAGAGAAATCAAATTACAGTGTTTATAGATAATCTTCTTTTTTCATAGCAACAAAGATAACAACGATATATATATAATTTTCTTGGAAGAAACTGGGAAGAGTCTTGAAGGTAAGAAGAAGCTGAGCGGAAACCCCCCAGGCCGGAGCATATCCTATAAAGTCATGATTAGACTCCTTCACTAAAACCGTTGATAGACAAGTAAAAAGTCGATACCAACTCATCGAGCTTCCTCTGCCCTTTTCTTTTTTGCTGCTTGGTTCCTTTAACAACCATCTGTGTGTTGGAATAAGAACAGCAGCCGTTGCAGCCGACGCTGAGCGTGCGCCGCTACCGCTGGCAAGTATCCCTCGCACCGACACTCCGCTGAATGAAAAAAAAAAGGAAGGGGGAGGAGTGCAACGAGTAAGAGGAGCACAACCTCAACGGTAAAAACAAGAGAGAGAAAAACGAAACTCGTTTGGAGCGTGTTACACGGTGGTCGACGCCTGGACCCGAAAAAAAAGCAGTGCCAAGCCTCGCTCCTCCTCCGCGGCATCCCGCAACCTCATCTACGCTTGCGTTTCCACCGGCGGCGCAGGCGCAATGGGGCCCCGGCGGCCCGCCTTCCACTCGCGAGACGCGTGCCGCTGCACCTTGTCCTTCGAGTGCCCCGCATGGCGCTTCTTTGAGTCCCGATGCTTCATCATCCTGTTCATCTTCTTCGTCTTCTGTTCATCCAGCTCGGTGTGGCCAGTACGAAGGGTTCGCACGTTTGCGTCCTTCCTGACGTCTCCACGACGAGCACAACGGCCGCGTTGCGGCGCTGACAGCGGCGGAGGCACCTCGCAGCGGCCCATATCATTGGACTCGTTTTGCCGCCGCAGCGCTGCGGAGTGAGGGCGGGTGTGATTTCCATGGTGGCCACGCTGTTGTGGCCCGTCGTGGTGGTGGTGGTGGTGGTGGTGGTGGTGGCCGTTGTCGTCGTGCGGGTGTGGCTGCGGAGCCGAAGGCGGCACTTCGCTGCTGTTTTGAGCAGTTCCTTTGTCATCTTCCGCCTGCAGCGGTGGCAGCGGCGGCAGCGCTTGTACTCCTTTCGTATCGACCTCGTCCGCCTCCGGGGCTGGAAGAATGATCTTTTCGCCGTCACCGACGTGCGCTTCTGTGCTGTTGCCTCGCTCGTCATCGGTGCGAGGATGTGCGTACCCACGAGCTTGCGCATACGTACTGACCAGCAACAGCGCCACAGCAAGCACCGCCACGCTGTACAGCGCACACCGGCGCGTTGCCGTCGTCTTCGCGGTCGACATTTTCCACGGTGCGTTCACGAAGTGGGGCGATCACAGTGGAATTGAAAGGAGAGAGAGAAAAAGAGGAAAAGAAGACGAGGGGGTTAGACGACAAGGGATTGTCTTGTGTTGCTTGGTTCGCGTAACGGGATGGTTGTAACCACAAAAAACTGTATTGCGCAATGAGCACACTTCTACGACAACAAGACGCGAGACGAGACAGCGGAGGGAAAAGAATACGGCAAAAGAAAGAAGAAGAAAGCTTCCGACAAGCTCCGGGTGAGGAAGGGAGGGAAAGCAGCTGGACACGGGCGTCACCGCGCTGCAGTCTGCACATTTGCGTTGCACGTAAGAGAGAGCAAGTGGGCCGCTACATCTGCCCATCCACCACGTTGAATGGACTTCGACACGACTGCGGCAGACCGTATGATCCAGAAGGGGAAAGAAAAACTGTGTTTCTTTTCCACATGTTGTGTTACTCTGCTTCATTGTGTCCCGTGCCGGAAACGCACCAACGCCTTGAGTTGTCGCTATAGGTAAAGTGTTCTTTCTTTTTTTTAAGAGTAGTCTTTCGCTTTTCTTCTGCGTGTCACTGCAGCAGAGATCTTCCACGTGTATATCAATAAGTTGAGACGAGCCAACAACGAAGGCATCCGTCCTGTTCTGCTTCTTCGAAAAGCGCGCTACGAAAAGTGGCTTTTGTCTTCCGTGCTATCGACGATGTACTCGCCCACGTAACGCACAGCTCTGTGACAGGAATCTGCATTGCGCTTTCCACAAAATGATTCCCGGTAGAGTCCTAGAAAAACATAAGAGGGGAAAAACGGTGGAGAAGACATCATCTGATGCTCATCGCTTATACCCCCCCCCCACCCCGCCAGGAAACGCGGTGCGTGGGTGTAGGCGTTTTTGGAGAGGAAGTTGTCAGTTCGTGGCTGATGACTGCGGTGCAACCCACTTTCTCACCATATCCTTTCGCACGTCGCGGACACCTTTCGATGTGATGAGAAAACACGTCTCGCAGCGAGGACGCCCACTAGCCTTGAGCAGACGAGCAACACGGTGTTGCACAACTCGATCCACCAGCGACGGCGCCGTTGAAGGCAAAATAGAAGTCGCTGTGCTGTACACAATATCTTCTTGGCACCCTTTATCGTCCTCTTGTGGCGTGTCGGTGGTGCCTGACATGAAGGCACATGATGGCAAGTCATAGTGATGATAGGTGAGCAGCAGTCGGGTGGAAAGGCCGTGGCCCCACGCGTCCCCCAGGGCAGGTATTAGCACAGTTTGCCGGGTAAAGCTGTTGTTGCTCTCCGCGTCTCTCGACGCCTGTCCGTTGTTTGTTGTTGGCCTCAGCAGCTTTGTGGTCATGTGGTTCGAGACAACCACCGCCAGCTGGTAGGAAGAAGCCAGCTCCTCCAGAGTCGTGCTGCATTGATAAAGCAGACGCGACCGCTGCCACAGCCCCTGCTTCGACAGCGCACCGTGCGACGCACCATTTACCCCCGACAAGGGCGAGGTGAGTCCACTCGAAGTAGAACCGTACGTGTCCTCACACGAAGAGGCGCTTTTTTCAAAGGTGTCGGCGGCTCGAAATGGCAAGGCGATGGAGTCGACTAGAACCATTCGAACAGGGACGTCCCCTACGTCACATTGGAGTGGACTGTCCCCTCCTGTTGCGGTGGGCGATCCAGCCGTCGGAACGGTGGACTGCTCGCTGCTCAACCAGAGCGGTAAGCTGTAGAGGAAGGCCAGGAAATCGGTCAGCTCCGTCACTCGCACGTACCGAACTCGTTGAAGAACCGACGCGACAGTGAAGTCGTTAGGGGCGGTGGGAGGCCTTCGCATTGCAGCGGCTTTCGCCGTCGCACTTCGTGAAGTGGATGCTGTTGGTTCACCATCCGTTACTACCGGAAGCAGCGGCTTGTCTTCTGACTCATCTGTATTACGGGCAGCAGTTCCGAGGGAAGCAGATCTCGTGCGTTTCCGAGTCAACGCCTCACACAGCGGTGAACGATGATTGGGGTGGGGATGTGTTGATTGATTGTCCCCGGCGTCGCCAGGCCGCGCCGAGTCGCGAGGGCCGTGTCGTGGGTTGCTTTTGGCGAGAATCGTCGCCACGAGCGCGGCGGCGGCCGTCGCCATCTGCTCCAGGCGCTCCGCCACAAAGCTGCCTTCGGTGTCTACAAAGACGCAGGTGCCACCCAGGCCGCCAAAGTCGACCGGCATCGCACAGCTGACGGCGAGTTGCATCAGCAGCTGCGTCTTTCCCACGCCTGGCGGTCCGCTGACTTCGCTGACGCCGCCCACCGCGACACCGCCGCCCAGCAGCGTGTCCAGCGCACGCGAGAAAGTCGTGGCGTGAGTCGCCTGTCCGCGTAACTGCCGCTCCGTCGCGTCCGCGAGGATCTCACGCAGAGAGCGGCAGCCGGGAATACGCGCAGCTCCCTTGAGCGTGACGCTGCTCTTCTCAGCACTGCTGTTGGATAAAGAAGAGGAGCAGCCGGCAACAGCCGCGGAGATTGTGCTAACATAACTGCTTCCGTTTATATCATGCCTTCTGAGAAACTCCGCGTTTTCTTCTCGCACCTCACGCACCGCCTCCACCACCTCGTCCACTTCCTTCTCGGTGAAGAAAGCAACGCTGTCGATGGGAGTTACAGCTGTCGTGTCCATTGCCGTCGCACTTGCAGGGCCGGCGCCGTTTTCGTCAGCTAACTTTGACAACGTGTCCGCCTCCCGCACCTGAAGGAGCAATCGTTGTGTAACACGTCTCTTCAAGTTCGCTAGCACCTGCGTCGACCGTGCATCCTCTCCCAAGTCGTCGTCGCAGTTCAGCAGACGGGTGAGATCGGCAAGGTACAAAATGCCGGTATCCTGCAGCTTGGCTTTCGTCGCGTTCGACAAGGAAACACAGCACTCTATGGTAGCCATTGTTGGCTACTTCGCAATTCAATGTATGTGCACACAGGTTTCTCAAAACGATGCGTGTACACTAGATGTCGGTCTCGAAAAGAAATCCCTTGTGCGTTGATTGAAGAGGAAACAAAAGAACAGGTAAGTTCAGTAGGGATGAGGTTAGTTCCCAATTATTATCGTACTTGATTCGCTTTATTCGGTCAACTCTTTCTGTGTTGCCGTGTCACAGTACCACCATCACATCACTCAACTGTGTGGCGACGATAAAACGATATTAACTTCGCGGCTTGTGTATGTGCGTGCGTTCAAGTTTTGAAGAAGAAGAAAAAGAAATATAGCTGATGTTCGGGCGGAAAGAAAAAGTTAGTCATTTCTGTCTCGGTAGAGAGGCGTTGGCGTCAGCAGCAGCCACGAAGTCGTTGATAACATCAAAGCTGCGCCCCTCTTTCCCCCCTCTCCCATGCTGGCGCTTTTAGGCTTTCCACGAAGAGGAAAAATAGACTCTAAACGTTATTCAGTGTACGTGTTGGAGGCGACATCTTCTGGCTTCACGGCGAATCTGTTATCTTCTGATCCCACGTTTCGATTTATGTATGGAGTGCATAGCATTTCTGAGACAGTGTACAGTTTCCCTAGTCATGGAACTTGCCAAGGAAGTACCCGATTGGACGGAACATCGAATCAAAAGACTACGCAGGCCGCAATCCTCTGTCGCGCGCGTTTTCCATCGCCATTTTGATACGTTGCTTCATCAAATCATGCTACATGCCACCAAAAGCAGCACGCAGAAGCGCTCCTGGCAACGGCCAGTCACCACCCATGTCCCGGAGAGCTGCAATCCGCAGGGTATCGCAAAGACGTACCGCGTTGGTGCACCACGTTGCGTCATCGTGAGAGTCCGCTTTACCAGTTCCGTCGTTGGAGTTAGCTGCGAGTTGTTCCGTCTCTAAAAGTGCGTACACCAGCCGACTCGGGTCGTCGTCGTGGTCTTCTCTTCGACTGGCCGCAGGGTGCGGCACCGGCTCCATCGGACGAAACGCCTGCCCGAGTTGCTGCTCCGTCCATCGGCGCCGCACCACATGTTCGCCCAGGAGGCTGATAAGCCACAGCAGCACACGAGCTTCGGGAAACACGCGGCTTAAGGGAGCAGCGGGAGAGGAGGAAGGAAGGGAGTCTTCCTTTTCATCCGCGACTGCTTCTGTGGTTGCATCTGGGGCCTTTCGTTGCCCTTGACCCTTGTCACAGAAACCCTCCCTACGCCAAACTCGCTGGAGTGCGACGTAGTCTTCGTCGAGCAGCAGTGTAGCAACGCGCAAAAGAAAGGCAATGGCATAAAGCTTTTGGTGAGGACGACTGGCCCCTGAAAGATCCTCTTCAACGCTCGCATCAGGGGCATCGTCTGCGACCTGTGTGCGCAAACATCGATAGAAGTTCTCAAAAGCGGACAGCAGCCGCGCCGCATTTGTGTCATCTCGTGCCACGATGCTGTAGCACAAGGCGATGGCGTGTACCCAGAACGCATCGCGCATCACCGGAGCGTGACGGTTAGTGGTGGAAGCAGCGGCTCGCACACGCGCTGCCTCCGCTGCCGGGACCGCTTGAGGGTCCACATGAGAGCCAGGGTCCGCCCTTAGCTCGTTGGTTAAGTTTGCTGAAATAGTCGGGCAGTCAAAGCCAAGAAAAGTGCGGAGCTCCCACGCTTCGCCATCGGCGGCGGTTATCGAAGAGGCGGAACTCTCTGCTTGCACATGTGCTGCGGCCGTTGCATACAGATCCTGCTCCGTGATCTCTCCGCCCTTGTTGTAGCAGCCATCAAACGCGCAGCAAGACAGCTCGTTTAGGTTTTCTGTGATATCGTTCGGTGAGATGAACGGGCAGCCAAAGTAGAGTTGTGTGGACAGGCTGACGCTACCGGAGAGCAGCTCCAGATCCATTGTTGCGCAAGCTAGGCATATCGACCACACCCAAACACGCCGCGCAAGCCACACTGTCAGCAAGTACTCTCGTCTCACGGCGTGTGCGTCTCGATTGAGCGCATCCGTTTGACGATCCGCAACTGCTGCTGCCGCCGCACCTTTACTATACACACTCAGAAGATTCTGTAACCACTTTTCTTTCAAAACAAAATCGTCTGGCTGTGGTGACGTGGAGGGAGATGCGGCAGCCGCGGCATCGCTGGGCAGACAAAGAGCTTCCAGTCCATGCGTCAGATGTGCCAGCAGTTCTTGCTTAACAGCCTTCAGTTGACTCACTAGCCGATCCACCGAGCTGCGAATACCAGACGATAACAAAGATAAACCGCACGACGCATCTGTCTTCGCATGCGTTACGCTACTGCCCTTATACCTGAAGCACAGCTCCCTCCACTGACGACGTGCATCTTCGAAGGACAGCCGCAGCTGCTCCACGGTGCGCAGATGTTTCGAAATGGTTCGCGTATAGGACCGCCGCAACCACTCCGGGGGTGCGTCGCGGGCCGGCGGCGCGGTGGCCCACGATTTGGACGTGACCTGGCGAGGGTTAGGATGGCGATTGCTCGACCACCCGCCGCGGGCTTGCATTTCGTATTGGGTTTTCTTTTCCTTTTGGAGATTCCGCAGTCGTGTTTCATCGGATATAGATTCGAGAAACCAAATGAAGCGGTGCGACCATAAAAACTCCGGAAAAAGAGCAAGGGAGAGCATGGAAAGCAGGATGACAAGATGAAAAACACATTGGCTCTTTGCTTCCATCAATGCAGGATAATAGAAGACAGAAAGCTCAACGGGCGTTTCAGAGGTCAACATGTAAAAAAAAAAGAGGCTACCCTGACGTCACCATGAAACGTCAAGAGCCTTTCCCATCATCAGCTCGGAATGAGCGCAATGCCACTCAAAGAGAGGTTCGCACCTCTTACACAGACGGATCGGCATTGGAAACGGATTGGATTCGCCTTCTATGCTTCTTCAACGTTACCGATGAAAAGCCTTGCGCGGCTGCTGTACCTCTTCGCCCTCACTGCCTCCATTTTGCCCATTAGGAAGGCAGGTCAAAGAAGCATAGACAGCTAAATAAAAAGGAGGCGAAAAATAGCCAGCGCGTTTTCGTAAACGATACAACGCTCAGGCGCGTAATATACATCACCTATTGGAACATCAGCAAAAACAAAGGAGCAAAAAATGCTTCCAATTCTTGAAGGAGGAAAGGGAGATTCGACCTCGGCACATCGCTGCGGGTGAACACCCAAAGCCCAACATACGGAAGAAAAAGAAAAGAGCGTAGAGAAAGTTCGACGCTAGTTGTTCCACAGATACAGCAACGCCAGCTGAAACTCGTCGTAGTTGAGCTCGCGCTTTCTTTGAAACGCAAAGCGAGACAGGACGTATTGGACAAGCCTGTCCAGCGCCACCTCATCGCCTTCCCGACGCGTGGCCTCTCTGCGTGCCGCAAGGACACTGAGCGTGGAGGGCGCCTCGGAGGGGGCAGCGCCGCCACTGCTGTTGCGGCCGCTCGAACTCAACTTGTGCGCCGTCGCTTTCCGCGCCTTGGCGGAGGGGGCGGCGACAATGTTTTGTTCGTAGTAGCATCGCTGCACCTCTGCGCGGTACGCCTCGTCGCACGCGGCGGCGTCAGCGCGATTCAGCGCGCCGCCCTCGTGCAGCCCACATCGGTCCAAGTAGCGCAGGACACTCTTCAGTCCATCTGCCGAGAGGTGAGGGTTGGAGGCGTTGTCCTGCGTGCTCAGGGACAAAAAGACGCGTCGCGCCATGTCCTCCTGCAGCACGCCCGTGAGCGAAAACAGATGGCGCGCCATGTCTGGGTGGAACGGATCGACGGCCTCCGGCGGCGCTGCCACGGCGGTGGTGTGCGGGGACGAGGCCTGTGTAGCGGCGCTTGCTGCGAGGGCGGGGGTGGGGTCGGGGGAAGGTGCGCGCAGCTCCAGCGACGGCGGGGCAGAAGAAGCGGCAGCCCCCACCGCATTCATCGCCAACGACCGCTGCGTCGGTGCCCCACCGGACGAAGTTCCTGCGGCGGTGGTGGTGGCAACTTTGGAGGAGGTGTAGACAGGCGTGGTGAAGAATTGGCTGAAGAAAAAGCCCGTGGCTCCACCGTTTTTGTCGAGTGCCGGCGTCGTGCTCGCCGCATCTTGCCGTGAGGTGGAGGCGGAAGAGTTATTCACATTAGAGGCGCGGCGCTGCACGTGCTGAAGCAGGTGTGGCGGCTGCGCCGCCGTCGGCTTGCGTCGCCCACTGTGCGCAGTAGCACTCGAATTCGCCCCCGCCATCTTGTTCGGCGAGGGGGAGAAGGAGGAGACAGAAGGGAGCATCTTCGTCGACGGACCGGCCTTCGAGAGCGACAAGCCCGACACCAGACTCTTCTTCGGCATGGCGGTGTGCCGGCGATCGGGAGGGAGCAGCGTCGACTGCCGGCTCACGTCGGAGACGGTGATGGACGGCCGGTGAGAGTTGGAGCGGCCAAAGGCGCTTGGCGACAGCGGCGTCTGGGCGAAGGTGCGCGTTGGCAGAAAGGCGGGCAACATCGCGTCCAACACAGGCTGCGAGATGGCAGCGGACTCGGGGGGGTTATTGACGTCTGTCTCCCCCCCACTCTTGACGCTGCTCTCCGAGGCACGCCGTGACGAACCAGACGACTTTTCCGCATCGGTGAAGCGAGGCGGCAGCGGGTGTGCCAACGCGAGCGCCGAGGGCCCTGTCCTTTCAACGCGTGCCTCGGCGATCTCCGTCAGCATTTTCTGCTGCCTATACGCCTCCAACGCGCGAGCCCACCACACCAACACGCTCTCCAGTTCATCGATGGCGACGTGTCGCCGCATGGTGTCGCTGCTGTCCACCGCCCAGTCGCACAGCACCTCCTCGTGCGTCGTGAAGGCTGCGCGGTACTCCGTATCCACACGCGATTCCACCTCTGGAAACGCCTCCTTGCAGACCTGCTTCTCCAACGCATAAAGCTGCGCATCGAGGTACAGGTGCCAGAATTGTGTCACCGCGTGTTGGCACGCTTTGTCTTGCAGTTTTTCTTCGACAGAGACGTGTCGGCCCTGGTGCACGCGCAACACACACTCCGCGTCCATCTCCACAAAGCAGCGGTGTGGGGTGCGGGTCACGTTAGAAATACGAATGAGTGTGCGTGTCGCCCGCACTGCGTCATCGACAGACGGCTCAAACGGAGAGCGACGCCGCTCCTTTTCTTCGCACCGCACGTACTCCAGTGACATCTCCACACACCGCAGCTCACCCGCGTCGCTGCTCTGCGCGTCGTCGGCGCCCTCGTGGCGGTGCTCCACGTAGTGCGTCAGCTTCTCGCGCACCAGCTTCCCTGTGTACGGCGGCAGGTGCAGCGTGCAGCGCCGCACCGCACCGACCTCATCCGGCGGCACCAAGTTCTCCATCACGCAACAGTCGATGACGCGGCTATCGACGCCGTAGCGCTTGATGCTCTCAATGTTGTGGAGGGTATGCACCACCACCGCCACGGGCACGGCGATGACAGCGGAGCAGACTACGTGGTGCGTGACATCCCGAAAGGAATGTGCAGCAAAAGAATCTGAACCGCTCATCATCATCGTAGATGCGGACGCGTACGGGAGCAAATACAGCAATATATCGGTATGGGTACCAATTGTGGATCAAAAACGGAAGTAAAAATCGAAAAGGCGATGCTTGGCCTCGCTGTACTTATATCTCGCCTGCTTGCGCTTTTTTCGTCGTTGTTGCTGCTTTTCCGTCTCCCTCGGCAATGCTCAGGTCATCGATTTAAAACGCCAAGAAATGGTGACGCCTGTGTGAACAAAAACCGAGCTGCTGACGGGGATTTATTTGTAGAGGGATATCTTTTCTCCTTTGCTGTTCTGAAGAGTGTGCAGCACAAATGAAAGAGCAGGACGATGTGTTTCAAAAAGCCACCACCGCCGATTAGTTTTACAGGACAGAAAGGAAACGAGGGCAAAACAAGAACAAAAAAAAAAAGAGATGAGTTACGGCAGAAGACAACATCTCCTTCCTTCATTGTTGGTGTCTGGGTGCATATTTTCGTTGTAGCGCCTCTACCTTCGCAGATAGGCGCGTCAAAAACACCTGTGCAAATCGTTATGATTGGCGAGGACATCACCTCGGAAAAAGAAGCGACACATTTCCGTACCAAGTTGGGAGACACGCGTTGGAGGCTATTTCACATTTCCATCTCTTTTTTTTTTTCTTGGAAAGAAGTTGATGCATGTCGGAACGTAAAGATAAAAGCCACACCATCGAGCAGTTCAAAGCTCGCGTGGAATTATCATCTTGAAAACACTTCGGTGGCGGTTTCGTTGCTCTTGCTGGAGGGCATAGAAGAGCACCGTGTTGTACAATCTTAATGAGAACAGAATGTTCCTTCTTCCCTCATGTATATGTATATATCAGCGCATCCGCCTACACAACAGAGCCGCTAACGACCGGCGGAGCTGCTGCCGAGCAGCAACGCCACCGGCGAAATGCGTGCGCACACGGTGCGGAGGTGATTCAGCGTTGCCTCCACATCGCCTTTCTGCAGCAGAGACACCGCGCGCACGTACCAAAGGCCCATCACGAGCCCCGACACCACGCCACTGGCATCGTTAACATCGAGGGAGTGACTCGACATGGCAAGCCAGGTGTTCTGCCCAGCACCCCCTCTCGGGCTCTGCTGGCTGTCGGACATCACGCGACGAATCAAAAGCCGGCACGACCAGCGAACAGCGCGGTAGAGCACGTACATCGTACCAGCGCAAATCGCAAACGCCTCCTTCAATGGATCCGCCGAATCCGTCAGCTCCTCCTCGTCCCCCTGCCAGATGACAAAACGGAAGATATTCGGCAGAGTATGCAGCGCGCAGATGCCGACATTCGAGAGAAGCTGCATCGTGAAGAGCACATTAACGTCTCCGTTTAAAACAATCTGTACGCCAGCCTGCTCCTTCAACTTCTTAAACACCGACGTATCACGGGACTGCTTGGGTGCTGTGATCAGCGCAACTGACAGGGCTGAGGAGAGCACCTGCGCACTCACCACGTAGCTGATCATGCCACGCGTAAGGTACAGCGGAACGCACAGCCCTGTCATGGTGCAGCCAGAGAGAAGCACAAACACCACCAGCGTGTCCTGCGCCACCCAGCCGATGGGGCCAAAGGTGTAGCCGGTGGAGTAGAGTGAAAGATAAAAGCACAAGAGGCGGGCCGCGGGGTGCATGTAGGCCTTTGGCACACCCAGCAGTAGCACCGTCGACACAAGCGTCGCCGCGATCGGGATGGCGAAAGGGATGCTCGGCACAGCCCAAAAGGCGGCAACGCCCGCCGCAACCGCCAGCATTCCCGACGCGGCGAGGCCGTAAGTGCAGGTAAGGTGAGCACGCACCAGGGCAAAGCGCTTCGCATCGCCGATGGGCTGCGTCCGCTGCTTGATGACCTCTACGGTGGACTCTAGAGAGTGATTCCACTTCGCAGGCAGAATGCGACGCACCAATCCAATTTTGTAGCACGTGGCAACCACGTAACCTCCGAGAAGGGCAAGGGAGCCGTAACGCAGAATGCACACGTTCCGCGCCGCAGCAGATGAGACGATCGAACTGTCAGACATGACGCTTTTCGGTATGAAATTCAGCTGGCTATATAGGAAATATTATTTCTATTGTTTTTTTGCTGGGAAAACAAATGTACTGCTCGCAAGATGAAAGCCACTTGGTATGCTACACTAAGCTTGCGCCTGCGGTTCAATGAGAAAAGAGGCAGGCCTTCGAGCTGTCTAATTCTCAAAGAGTCCCCGACGCTGCTCACGGGGCACTCGACTATGATAAAATATGTTTTTTTTTTATTAAATATGCGCGGGGTAACAACAAAGGCGGCAGAGAATGCAAAAACAAAAAAACCAACGGGGGACACTAGCGGCTGCAACGCCTTCAAACAAAAATAGTTTGTTCGCTCTTCTTCTCGTTGCAGATCACCAGCGAGCACGGGAGAAGAGGAATAAAAGCCCCACGTGTCTGTTTGCTTTATATGGAGACAATAACGTTTTTAGGGGGATTTCTTGTCGAAGATTTGATGCGTTGAAGCGTAGAAGGAGAGAATCTCAAACTTGAACAGATCGAAAAGAACACGAATGGGGTAGTGAAAGATCGCGAATTACTTACACACTACTTTTCCAAGTGTGTTTGAGCCCAATGAAGCATGCGGTACTAAGCTCCTGACTCCTGAGCGTTCCGGTCTATTCAATTCAATGTGCATCTGACATTTCTCTTCCGAGTCTGCTTTCTTGGTATTGCGTTAGGCGGATCTGGCAAAAACACGAGGACTTCTCTCGATAAATTAAAAAAAGGCACAACTTTCGTTGTGACTCGCGTCGCCGCATGTGTGCTTACGGACGCCTCAGAAGACACCGAGTTATCAGCATTGCGTACCGGGGTGTAGCCAGTCCCCGGCTCCTTGTGCGTTTGCGGTGCAGTTCTTGGCAATCAAACACAAAAAACTCCCCTGTGTGTATGTGTGTATGTGTGGACCTCTACGATTGGCTTCCTCCCCTCTTAATTGGAAGGCGGACGGCTGCTGCAACTCATTTCTGGCACATCCACTTCTGTTGATTCGCGATCACGGCAACACCGCACGCGGGCAGCGCAGCAGCAGCCATCAAGAGACAGTAAAAAAAAGAAGTTCAGAAACAAAAAGAAACCATATGAAATCACCCCACATCTTTAAACAAGATGATGACAATTGCGAAGAGTAGACGATGACAAATGGGGGGAAATGATATATATTGAAAAGAACAATGCTAAAACTCTAGAGAAAAAAAAGGAAAGATGAGAGATGGAGAACAACGAAAGGGCATCAACGCCACCGCATCTATCACCGATGCGCTTTTCCACCTTCACCGCTTCGCCCACCACAACGCAACGCCGCGAGTGACGCAATAAACAATAAAACAAGATGAGGACGTGGCATCCGTCTGCGTCCTCTTTCGTGTTGCTGACCGTCCACGTAGCATTTCCGTTGCTCGTACACGCAACCAACCGGAAACAAAGAAGGAACGAAAGAGGAGCAATAAATGGTCAGCAGAAACTCTCTCTGCACGACAAACCCGCAACGGAGCAACGCAACGTAATGTGTTCGCATGGAAACAACAAAAAGCAAAGGGAAAAGATCGAAAACGAAGTACAGAAAACAATAGGAAGAGAGATGTGTAAAAACAACCAAATAAAAAATGTTGGCGTATGCAAACAGCGTTACCTGTTCAGCAAAAGAGAAAAAAAAAGAAATTGAGGCGCAACGCTCCACTGCAATTGCTTGTCTACATTTGTATTCCTTTTTTCGTTTGTACAATAAGTACTCTATCTGTTCAAGGACGGATCGGCCGGACGGCGGACGGCGACGGCGATGTGGTGCCCTTCCCACCCACCATTTGTGTCTGACGTCCCGTGACGGATTGTGCTGATGCACCACGCGGCGTCGAAACGGAGCCGTCCGGGGTTTCGTTTGTGTTGCGCGATCGTGGAGCGACGTTGCTGCTGTTGTTGCCGCCGCTGCCGCCACCCCCGCCGTGCTCGATCGCCGCAATTCTGTCCTCAATGTTGCGCAGCAGCGGGGGGATGAAGTGCCGGACCGCCGTGCTGTTGCGATTCGCGATCGACTCGCGCTGAATGCTGATGGCACGCGTTTTCGCCGGTGCGCAGGAGACAGGAATGGGGTGAGTTGTGGCGTTGGTGAAGCACCGGCTCGGTTTCCCGCTCTGAATCTCAGACAGGGCCTGTTCTCGCACCGTCGAGGCGGTCATGTAGAGGTCGCTTAGCACCGGCACGCGGATCGCCACCTCCTCCAGCACCGCGCCCACCATAAGCCCGATCGTGCTGAAGTTGACCGGTGAGGCGTACGCCGTGTAGTACTGATCCTTCGCGCCCTCCGGGGCCGGTGCTGCACCGACATCGGCGTACAGCCGCTTCAGCTCAATCGCGGCGGGAGGCAGCACGCACAGCAGCGGCGTGTGGGACACGTCCACCACCACGCTCGTGTTGGCGTCGTCGAAGGTGACAAAGACCGCCTGCGACAGCGGTACCGTGGCAGCCTCTGCTACGCGGCACGCAAAGCACGGCAGCAGCCCCCTGGTCTCAATCTCCGCGAAGGCCGCCAACACGCGGCGAGCCAGCTGATAGCGAGACATGCCGTAGTTGCTCGAAGGCTGTGCTCCCGAGACGGCGGCCAGGGTAGGGGCGACGCGGCGGCTAGACGTGGCAGCGGGTGACATGCGCGGCAGGCGGTAGCGCAGATTGATGCAGGTGACGCACTGGTTTTGTGGGGTGGGTGGTGCGTCGATGGACTCAATGTAAAGGAAGTGCAGCACGCCGCTCGCGTTGGGGCGAACAGGCGACGATGCCGTGCCCTCCGCTGTCGCCGCAGTCTGTTGCAGCAAGAGACCACCGCTCGACTGGGTGGACGGATCGGTCTGGAACCATAGCGCATCCAGCACGCAGCCCCATCGCTCCTGCTCCACCGGGTTCATCACATCGGCCACCGCCTGCGCGTAGTCATCGGCGTCCTCGGGCACGTGCAGCACCACCGGCACCTCCGCCGTGAGGGAACGCATCTCGCATCGCGCCGCGCACAGCCGCGCCATCTCCTGCGCCACGACGCACAGCGCGGCGGCCGAGGCGGTCAGACGCGCGTAGGCGCTCTTGCGGCGCAGCAGGCCCAACAAGTCCTCCTCCGCCTGTGCGATGTTTTGAGCCGTGCTGTTGGCGTCCCACTCGCGGCGCACCATCTTCACGACGATGAAGCGCACAGTCGCGATGAGCCACGCCCGCGCAACGCCGCCGTCGCCTGAGGGATGAGCTGCAGCCATCTGCTCGAGGATGCTATAGAAGGCATTTGCCACCTCTCTGCCAGGCGTCACACCCGGCGCCTCGATGTTGTCGGAGGCGGGGGAAGTGACAGACCCGCTGACGGCGGCCGGCTTCTTCGCCGCCTGTGACGGCATTGAGCGCTCAGAAGCGGCGCTCGAGGCTGGTGCGACCTGCTCCGATGCCGCCGCCGCTTGCGCCTTCTTCGTCGGCTTCTCATTTGGCGGTGCCTTGGCGAGAAAGTTCTGGCTAGTGGGTGTGGCGCGTGGGCCCTTTGCGGAATCGAATTGTGTGTACGTGTCCTTCGGAGCGCCGCCGCTGTTCTTGCTGTTGTTATCCGCTGGACGTGGGTAGCTCGCCTGTAGCTGCTCTGTTGGTGGGACAAAATGGCCGTGGCCGTCTGCAGCGTCGCCGTGGATGCTGAGCGTTGGCCAGGCCGTGCCCCCGCTGCGCTTCGACAGCTCACTCATGAGCTCCTCGTGTGATTGAAAGCCGCGCAACTTCAGCCAATCCTCGTAGTGGTCTACAAACTCTGACACCAGGCTCATCTGTTGGCCCATGAGACTCATGTCGCTTAAGACGCAGCCGTAGACGGCGACCTGCGCCTTGTGGCTGTGCTGCGCCTCCTCCTCTGACACGTCGAAGGACTCGCCGCGCTGCTGGCGCTCGCGGATCGTCCTCATGAGCGTCGTGATCACCTCTTGCTCTGCCGCCACCGCATTCAGCGTCTCCTCGGCGAGCCCGGCCGTGTCCATCTCCCCCATCATCGAGTCCGACGTCAGCATCACCGCACCGCTCTCGAAGGAGCCGCCACGGGCGGAGTTCTGCGAGTTGGACATCATTCCCGCCGCGCTGGTCGGTGTGCTGTGGCGGCCGCCGCCTTGGATGAGGTGGCTGTTTGCCTTGTCCAGCATCAGTGTGTGGTTCAGCAGGAGTAGCATGTGCTCCGACTGGTTGAAGAACTCCTGGTACATGTACTTCTCCTCCGGCGTCAGGTAACTGCTGGTGGCCACGGTGACCGCCTCCGGCGGTAGGCGGCCGCGAAACGTGCGGCTGACAGAGCGCAGGCGGCGCCGCTCCTGCGCCACGACAGACTGGCGGTCCGTGTCGAGGACGGAGACGGCCGCCGAGAAGGGCAGCTCCTGCAGGCACTGGTCCATCTCCTCCACGGACTGCGGCAGCGACGCGTCGTTCTGCGTCAAGACGTACTCCAGCTGCTCCTTGCAATTCCACAAGTGACTGATGGAGTGCGTAAGGACCCAGCGATAGAACCACTGCAGCGATGAGACCACCCACGCCATCTCTGCGTACGTCGCGTTGTGGCTGAAGAAGTCCAGCATCTGCGTGCGGCTGAGCGGGGCGCCGCCGCGGCTGTGCTGCTTCTGGTATTTCTGTAGGTCCTCCTGCACCTGCAGCACGCGCTGCTTGAGTGAGTCGATCTCGCCCGCTACGTCGAAAGGCACCGGCGGCGGCACGTAGGACGGCGGCGCCTCCTCGCACAGGGTGAAGGGATAGTTGGGTGACTTCAATATGTTCAGCGTCGGCGCGTCCACAGTGCGGTGCACCTCCATGGCGGACGGCGGCTTGCCGCCGTCATTCTTGGCAGAGCGTCGGGCCGCGCCAGATTCTGCAATGTATGCGTCGTGCAGGCTGCGGCGCAGTTGCTGCACGGCTTGCACCTCCCGCTGCAGCTCCTGGGTATGAGGAACGAGCGCCATCGACGTTGCTTTGCTTTGCTTTTGCTGTGGTTTGGTTATATGTTTCCCTTTTCTCCTCCCTTTGTTGCCTGAGTGGATATATATATATGTTTTCCTGTTCCTCTTTGCGTACAGCGTCAGGGGAGATAAAAGAGAGCGTAGCCTACTAGTAGTCTTCAGTGATGTGAAGTACCTAACACGGGAAGAACGTCGTCGCCGAAGCGGAACGGTGAAAGGCCAAATGGAGTAGTTCAGAATGGACGCCGACAAGTGAGGTGAGGGAGGGGGGGGAGAACAAAGCGATAAGGAACGTAAGGGAGTTGACAAAGGCGAACAAAAAGCGGTTTTTGCTGGTGTTCGATTGTTTCAAGTCGCTACGTTGCTTCTTGCGCATTCATGACTGGGCAATGACTCGGTGAACACGGCTTTCCTGCGCTGTCTCTTCTTCTTTTCTTCTTCAGGACTTGTCCATTCGCTGCATCCATCTTCCGGAACAGCGGCGTCAAAACGCTTATGCGGGTTGTACTTTCGGGGCACGCAGAAACAAGGAAGAGCAGAAGTTATGGGTCTCCCGTGCTTTTTCCAAACACGTGCACCGAGCGATGTTTTAAAGCACCACAAACATACAAATAATAACAATCAGCGTCGCCACTTGTGAATAAACGACTTCGTCGAGTACCCATCCACTCCTACGCATTTCCACGCCGGTGACCGCCGCGTGCACCACCACCGCCACCACCACCACCACCTCTCCATGGTGCCCCGCCACGGCTACGTCCGCGTCCACTGCGACCACCACCAGCGCCACCACTTGGGCCTCCTCCGAGGACAGCACGACCTGCGCTGTTGGCTGAATTGACGCTTACATTGTGAATGTTGCTGCTGCCGATGCTGGTCTGTGCTTGCGGTCGCCCTCCGCCACCACCACCTCCGCGACGTGGCGCAGCTGTGCCTGGTGCGCCGCCTCGTCCCTGAAAAGGGGAGGACGTCTGCGACGGCGGGGCAGCCGGACGTGCAGCTTCGTTCGTTCTGCTGTTATTACTGTTGTTCCTGACGTCAACATTGTACGCGCCGACTCCTGCGTTGCCCGAGAGAACACCCGCAGCGTTCGAGAAGAGAGCGCCACCACCAGAAGAAGAAGTATGCGTGGGGTTGGATTGAGCGCTCCAATTCGACAGCCGCGCGTCGTCGGCGCTGCTGCCGCCGGTGCTCAAGACACTCGTGTTACCTACATCGACGTTGCCCAAGACGAAAGTGGTGCGAGGGTTGCGTCCATCACTACGGCGCCCACCAGCACTCTCGTTGTTGCTGTACCCACCAAACAACACCGGCGGTGGTGGTAGTGGTGGCGGTGGATGCGGAGACGACGATGATGAAGACAGCATCGGCCCAGTGCCTCCAAAACTAAGAATACCGTCACCGCCCGGAGCTTCACTGCTACGACTATTAACCCCAAGCCCTTCGGACCCCGCCGCCAAAGGCGACCAGCCAAACGGGAAGCCGATTGACGACATAACAGCGCCGTTGATGCTGCCGTTGGTGTTGCCCTCCGCCACAACGACGCCCCCTCCACCGCCGCCATCCTGAGAAAAGACGGGCTGGGCGGGGTTGAAGTTGTACGGCATTGGTGCACTGGCGTTGCCGTCGAAGTCAAAGAACACTGGCGGGGGCGGTGAGACCATGGAGAAGTCCGCTCCGCTATTCCACACTCTAGGCTGCGGCGGCAGCGGACCAGCATTGGGAAGCGGTGGTGGATGAGGAGGATAAACACCCCAGCGCTCGTTGCCCGGCCCGTGCGGCGCTGGAAGAGGCGCATTCGGCATAGTCGCGTGCTGCGGCCCACTCTGAGCCGTCGATGGCGGCTTTGTACCGCTGTTACCGCCCACTGTTGCTGCGGTGCGATTTCTTTGATCCACGGGGGCTTTGGCGTGGTGCGGCAGCTGTTGCGCTGCCGTGTTCTTCTGAGTTGTCTGTGCCGTCTTTGCGACTGTCTTGGGGGCGCCAGCAGGAGGTGCTGCGGCTTGCGCTTGGGCTTGGGCTTGGGCTCGCGCAGCCGTCGCCGCGGCAGCAGCAGCAGCAGCAGCAGCGGCGGCGGCGCGTTGTGCCTCCAACGTCTTTTCCCGCTGAAGCTGCAGCTGCTCCTCCTGCGTGGTCTGCCGCATGTCGTGCACATACTGCTTCACCGTCTCCCGATCGGTGTCCGTCATCGCGTGAAACACCGAAGAGGCGAACGGCACGTTGGTGTCCTTGCTGGCTGCCGTAGTGGTCGGACTCGGTCCAACAGCGTACATGGGTTCGCTGGAAGGTCGGGTGACGGAGGACGGCGTAGCGTCCGTGGCAGTGACTGCGTGCACAGTGCAGTAGTGCGGAGCGAGAAAGGGATAAAGCGCGTGTGGCACGGCAGCCCGGTGCAAGGCAGTGCGAAAACGATGAAGAGGAGAATCCTCTACAGCCTCTTGGTCTTTGCGGTAGCGCAGTTGCAGCTGTGCGAGAAAGGCGTCCGCCGCGGAGTCCTCGGACAAGCACGGCTCTTCTCCGCCGCGCTCCACTGCGGTGTTCTGATACGTGGTAGGCGGCGTGCCTCCTTCCTCCGTTGCGTCATCGCGCGCAGCAGCGGGATCCACGGCTTGCGAGGAGCGCAGCTCTGACGTTGCCAGCAAGGAACGCAACCCCGCTCTCAGCAGCGACCGCGCACTCGCCGGGTCGTCCAGCGCAGCGACAGCAGTGGTGGCGGCATTCTTGTCGACAGCAAAGCACCTCTTCAACGACGCCTCTGCAAGGCGCAACGCGGTCTCTGCCGTTTTATTCGCGGTGGCAGTGGACGGCTTATAGAGAGGGGCCCCAATTGTTGTCAGCAACTCATTCCGTGAGCCCAAGGCATTCACAAGCGACAGTGCAGTTAAACGACCAAAAGCACCATCGGCCTCGCCGTCGTCCTCTTCGGCTCCCTCGGTAGGCCGAAGTCGTCTTTCGAGCGCCCGCAGGTATTGCTCCATCGCCCCATCCGAGGCCTCCGTGTGTATCGGGTGAAGCGAGTGAGAGGTGCTCCACGTACGCCACAATGGGTGCTGCAAATACGAACTCGGCCGTGTGCGCTCCCACTCCTCGCTGAGCCGCCACGCCGTGATCAGGCGCTCCACCTCGGAAAGAAAGAAGCGCAACACGAGCACCGTGCGATGGGTGATTCCCTCTGCCCCGTCATCATCACCGCCGTCGCTGCACCTGTCCGTTTCTACTTCTCTGACCAGGGCTTCTCCTGATCCCTCTGCATCGTGCTCGCCGGAGAACAACGTCATCGCCGTGCCTGCGACCTCAAGTTGAAGAGGCAACGAGTCTTCCGTCGCGTATGGTTCGTTGCTCACAACTTGGTCAACGGCAGCGTCTGTCTCTCCTGACCAGCTGCCCGTCGCTTCCGCAGTGGCTTCCCCCTCCTCCTCCGTCGTCGTTGTCGTCTCATCCTCGGCCTCGTCCACGACCCACGTGAAGTCCATGCAGCGCTCCGCCGTGGCCAGCGCCGTCGCATCGATCGCCTGCGTTAAGAAGAGCTTGTGCCACGGACAGCAATGGTGATGCCCGGGGTGATAGGGTGTGGTGTTGCGACGCGAGAAGGTAATTGTGATGGTGGTCGTCGACTGCGTTGCTTTAGCCGTAGAGGTTGAGGTCACTGCCTTGGTCACCGTCGTGATCGCGGCCGGTCCTGTTTGGGTCGCCGCGGAGTCAGACGGACGAACCTGCTCCCTCTCGGGTTTTACTGGTGTGCCGACGTCGTCGTCGTTGCCGTCGGCCAGTGGCCGGTTTTCAGGAGCGGATGCAATGTTCAGTTCCACCGTGGGCTCCTCGTGTTCCTGGGGAGAAGGGTCCGCATGCTCCTTTTCGCCATAAACGCCACCGGCCGGTTCCGCGGCTTCGGCAGAATCAGGTCTCTCCACAGTTTCTTCATCGCCGTCCTTGTCTTCGGAAAGTGTCCCTGGAGAAGGAGGTCCGCTCTCAGCTTGCTCGTCTTTCAAACTAGCGGTTTCTTCAACGGATTCCTCGCTTGTAGCTTCGTTGCGCTGCTCCTCTAACGCCTTCGTCTCGCCGATGGCCACCTCCTCGTTTTCCACAACGATTTCAGCACCGCTCTCTCCTGTGTTGCTCTGACTACTATTATTATTGTGATCCAGAGAGGCGTCGTTGTGCGTGTCCGAGACGCCGCTCGCCACAGCGTCATTGCATTTCGAGCGCGTCGGATTCGCCCTTGTAGTCACAACGGTAGTCATCGTCGTCGTGGTCGTCGAGGTCGTCGTCGTCACGTCCTCCTGCTGCACGGCGGTACATGGAGCATGGGCGCAGTAGCGGCAGGTGATGCGGCGGCCCAGTAGCTCCACCGCGTCCGCTGCTGGCAAGGTACGACATTGCTTAACCGTTTCGACGCGCCTGTGCCGATTGCCCTGGCGAGAATCCTCAGAGCTCACGACGGCCGGTGGGCCGTTCCATTTTGGCGCAGGAGGAGAAGCGGAGGGCAGTGTAGCACTGCCGCTGCTTTTGTCGCTTGCATCAACTTCAGCCCGATGGATTCCGCCACTCTTCCTTCCAGCCGCCGCCGCCTCCTCGTCCTCTTGCAACTTGGAAGGTGTCGTGGCAACGGTGTAACCGTACAGGCTCATCAGCAGCCCCATGTACTCCATAACCACCTCCGCAGAGGCGCCGCTAGCAGCACGTGCTGCCGCCGCTCCCGCTGCCTCGTCTTGCCGCACGCGCTTCTTCGGTGTGAAGAAAAGCTGCAGAATGCGGTCATTCACACTGCTGCCCACGTAGCGCAGGCGGGCAGGTCGGGCTTGGTGCTGCTCCTCCGTATCTTCATCATCTGCGGCTTCGTCCCACGTCTCCGAAGACTCCAGCGCACTGACGGTATCCTCCATCCACCCGCGCACGACACTCGGGGGTGCACCACGCGGCAGCAAACAACGTCCCCGCGTCGGCGCATCCTTCACGCCGCCGGCGCCGGTGGACGACCCGGTCGCCGCGCGCGCGTCCACCGCGGCGCAGAAGGCCCGCACCAGCGTTGAGTCCGTGAGATCCAGCGAGGGACCTCCCAGCAGGAGCTGCCGCACGGTGCACGACAGTTCATCCCGTTGCTCGCCGGTGGTGTGACGCGAGAGGATGGGGTCGCACCAGATGCAATGATCGTGATGGGCCCGCGCTAGCAAGGCCCCTACAACGCGCTGTTGATGCTCTGAAAAGGTAAGCTGAGCGGAAGTTTTAGCACCGCCGCTGGAGCGCTGCTGTGTAGTAGGCGACGAGGGAAGAGGGAACACACGCGGCAGTTGGGCCAAGGTCAGTTGCTCCTCTTCGGTCAGCTTCACCGACATCGCACAGCAGGGGGCGTGCACGACGAGCTCCACAGCCGACCTTGCGAGTGGGGAAGGAGAGGCGGTGGCGACGGTACTGCCGATGTTGTTGCCCTCTTCATAGGAGAAATGCGATGGTCGCAAATTCGCCGCTGACAGGAGAGTCACAGCACACTCACTGTGCTGTATCCAGTCCAATGACGCCTCCGAATCGTGCCAGGCGCGGAAAGCAGTGCGGAACGTCTCGAAGTGAATGAGAGCATCTGGTGACCATTCGTTGGATTCGTCGTCGACGGGGTTCCGTGGGTCATAAGAAGCGGCCTCTGAGCTCATCGAGATAGAGTTGCCCGGCTGCCGCACAAAAAAGTTGCTGAATTCTTACGTGTTCGATCTATTCTGCTGTCTCATTTGTTTTTTTTTGTTGTTGTTGGGGGGGGGGACTCGTTTGGGCCGAGAACAACGTAGAAGAAAGCGCGGAAGAAGCAGGGGAGGGTTTCCTTGGGAGGTAGGTGGGAGAGGCGAGCTACAACGATGGAATGCAAGGAAAATCGCGTGTGCGCCGCAGCTGAATTTGGCCTTATCAGACAACAGAAGCAACGGTTGCGTTCACTCATCGAAAAAGGAGGGAGGGAATGAAAGGCAAGCAAAGCGGCGTCGCCTTCGACTCCGGCGAGTATCTCCGTATTATCGCCAACCGTACGGGCGGGGAAAAACGCAGCTCCGCAGACGTCGTTCCCTCCGTGACACTTACACACCGCTCAGGTGTTCCATTGCAACGAGAGCGGCAGGTGAGCAGGTTTCCGTATCACAATTTACGCTGCCGACTGCGTGGTGTGTGGCCTTGAAAAAAAGAGAAAAATCTCTTCTTGTTTGCTTCGTGCTTTCTGTCGCAGACAATTTTTGAGCTCTCACAGAGGGAAAAAGAACTCACTAGATGCTTCAGATGGCTTCCCCTTTTTTATTAGCGTTTCAGTACAGGACAACATACAAACACCATACAAACAACAATAGATATAAAACACGACCATGGAAACCACGTGAGCTGCGGAATAAATAATAAAAACAGTCGCTTTTTCCATCAACGCATGGTGCTGCACTGACGGCGAAACTGATATTTTTTTTTACTACTACTTCCCGTTTCTTTATTCGTTGACGCGACCCGTCGCTCGCGCATGGACTTTAAACTGAATTCTTCTGCTACGACCTCGGAATCGGAAACACAAGAAAAACGCACACTCCGTGTAAAGGGGACTGCTGCCGCACACCGATTGAAGCACGCAGACCCGATTCATCTTTCCTTTTTTCTCTTTTTGCTTGCTCTTTCGAGTCTCGCTTCTCATCCTTCTCACAGCAGTTGCGAAGAGAGAACACGAAAAGGCAAGAGAACAGTTAGTTTGCAGGTCGACGAAACGCCTCTGAAAGACGGGTGATGGGGTGTGAGCCCGAAAAGGTGTGCAATGCGCACGGGCTGCTCTCACAGCTACCATGAGCCCTCTCCAAGACATTTTCACTGCGGAAAAGAAGAAACAAACAATAAATAAGTTGAACAAAGAGAGTACAGCGAAATGGAGAAAAGTAGATTAAGAAGGAAAGAAAGAAAGACAATGCATTCCGATACAGAATTTGAGGTATAGGGAGGGAAGCTTTGGCAGCCCTCAAAACGGTATATAATTGAATAGACCTAAACCGCGGCTTTCAAAATAAATATAAAAAACAACTCATTACAAAAAAGAGACGAGAAAGAACGGAATCGAAACACGCACCGGCGACAAGTACAACTGTGCGCAAAACAAACGAGTAAAAGCGACGTTACGGAAGCTGTCCACATTTTACCCGCGCTTTCAATCCTGCGTGTGTGTCCTCGTACCACTTTGGGTTCCTCTTCTCTATGTGTTTTCTGCTTAAAAAAGCGTTCCTTTCACTGCTTGCCCTCGCGGCTGCGCTGAGACGCGGTGGACTTGGCGGCCACAGACGGCACGTGGCCATCAGAGGCAATGGAGTCGCTGCGCTGACGGTGGCGCGAGACGGAGGCCTCCTCACGCTCGCGCTCGCGTTCCTCGCGGATGGCGTTGTCGCGGCTCTGTTGGGACGCCGTCGGCTTCGAGGCGACGAGCGGGGGCTTCGACAGCGACTGGCGACGCGAGGATTGGTAGCTGGCGGCGTCGCTGTCACGGCGGCGCGACGCTGACACCTCCTCGCGGATGGCGTTGTCGCGGTTCGTCTGCGATTCGGTGCGCTTCAGCGCAACCATCGGCGGCTTGCCGGCGTGCTGGCGTGAGTTGACGGAGTTTGTGTGGGACTGCTTCGAGCCGACCGACGCGCCAGACCCGTGGCGGCCGTAGGGACGCTCATTGGCCGGCGTCGGCGGCGGCGTCGCCTCGCGCTCCTGGCGGTCCTGCAGCAGCTGCTTCGTCGTTGGCGCGTTGTCCATGCCGTAGTGCTCCACGTTCAGCTGGTCCATGAGGAGCTGCGAGTTCGTCGTGACCGCCGCGTTGCGGTCGTTCATCTCCTTGCACTGGCGGGCGTCACGGGCATTGGCCAGCTCGGCGGCACGCATGCGGGTGCTCATACGCTCCTCCATCTTCTTGCTGTCAGCCCTCTCCTTCACGATGTCGCTCTGCAGCTTCGTCTTCATGGAACGGAACTTGCGGATCTTGTTCTGCAGCACGACCGCTTCGTCTTTGTTTTCGTTCGTGTGGTCAATGGCCTTCTTCTCCTCCGGACTCTCCTCGGCGGCGTTCTTCTGGGAGGTCTGGCTCCGCTGGCTCTTCTTCTTCTGGTTCTCCTGCGAGGCCACCACCTTCTTGAGGACAGCGGAGCGCTTGTTCTGGAGCTCCTGGATGTAGGCGCAGAGCTCCGCGTTGGACTGGTGGCGGTCCTCATCCACCGTCTTCTCAATCTCCGCCGGCAGCGTTTTCTCCGCGAACTCCTCGGCGCGCGTCGCGAAATGCTCCAGGCGCTGCACGCGCGCGGCTGTCTGGTACACCTCGGCGGCGCCCTCCTGGCCCTCGATGTCAAGAGCCAGCGAGTCCTGCTCATCCTTGTGGTGCCGCACCTGCTCCGTCAGGCGCACCCGCTCGTCGCGGAGCTCCTCGAGGGAGGGCATCGCCTCCCCATGCGTCACCTCCTCCACACGGGCATCCCGGCGGGCACGCGCGGCTTTCACCTCGGCCTTCAGGCGGTGGTACTCCTTCTCCAGCTCCTCGGAGGACTGCGAGGCCGGCGCGTTGACGGCGGGAGCGTCGATCATCTCGGCAACGGTTCCTTTCGCAACGGGCGCCTCCTCCTCCTCGTGGTTCACCTCTTCCACCGGGTACCCCTCCTCCTCGTGGTTCACCTTTTCCTCCACCGGGTACTCCTCGTTGTGATGCGCCTCTTCCTCCACCGGGTAGGCGGCGGCGGCGGATGAGCTCCTCGAGGACTTCTTGCCGGACACAGACATGTTTTCCGTGGCTGGTTGGCTGTGTTTGCTTGCGTAGCGCAGTAAATCCAAAAAAACTGTGTCCAAAAGGAAAAAGAGACGGCGGAAGCGCAGAGAAGAAATGAGAATAAGAGAAGTAATGTATAAGGAAACCAAATGACGAGCTTCAACTTTTAGGAAGCCGGGGTGTTAACGAGTGGGGAAAAAGATGTTTGCACGTCGGCAGCAACAGCATGAAAAGAGGAAGTTGAGGCAAGTGAAGAAGCGAGACGTCGAAGAGATGGAAGGTGAGGACAAATCAGAGAGCACTTTGAAAAGTAATTTAGAAAAAAATACATGATGAAATCTTCGCGAAATGGAAAAGAGCGAACCGGTAGCGGGATCTAAAACAACTGTCAGTTCTTTCTTGTCGTTTTCCGAAAGCTTCCCTCGCTGCACTGGCAGTGGCAGATAAGATGAGCACCACATGCATTGGGTAAACGTTCAGTCGAGACACCAAACAGAAGAGAAGGTCGTGTGTTCAGGTTACATTTGAAGCGCCAGTTATTTCTCGCTTCCTCTCTTTTGATAACGACGTCAGCGCCCTCTGTGTTGCCTTTCTTTCTGCAGCTCGCCTCTTCTTCTCCTCCCCCCTCCCCTTGCTCTGTCCCGTCCTCCGAGACGCAACGGAGTGGAAGGGCGGTGAACTGCTCCGTTTCAACAACACGAGAAAAGGGGAAAAAACAACGTCGTTGCTGATTTGTAAGAAGCGAAGGTGAGGAGGAGCTATGCAGCACACACACATACACACACACAAGAAATATTAAAGAAACAGCGGCGACCACACATCTTCCCCGCAACACACGGAGACAGAAAAAAAGGCGCGGAGAAACAGGAGTCCATCGTAGCCAAACACACCTCTCTGAATAAACCTGAAAAAGTTGTCATCACAAGCCAAATAATAAAGAAAACGGGTAAGCCAAGTCGAAGCGCGGAAACATGTTGCAGAGCGGCCTTCCATTCATCGACACCGTGCCCCGCCGCCATTTGAAAAGAGGTGCCGTTACCCCTCACAGAAAAAAAGAATAGAACCCCAACAGGAAGCACACGTCCTTACAACTTCGATGGCGGAAGGCGCAGCATCACTTGGTCACGACTCGTGCCCTGCGCCTTCGCGATGGCGTGATGGAACTCCTCTGGCGTCACCTGGCCCTGCACGGCTGTCGGCTCCGTTGCCGCGTAGTGCAGCAACGACGACAAGAACAGCGCCGCCCCCTCCTCCTCGGCCCCCACGTAGTTGACGTTGCGGAAGAGGCGGTCATCCATCATGGGCCCGCTGCGTCGCAGCGTCCGCACTAAATCCACATACGACGGCGCCGGACTGCCATCTGGCATCACCGGCTGCCCTCCGCGGCTTTCAATGTTCTGTGTCCGCTGCAGCCGCCGCAAAATGCGCTTCTGCCGCTCCACCCGCTGCGCTTCCTTTTCCACCGACAGAAACGGCACATCGCGAAAGACGGTCAGCTCGTAGTCGGTGGACTGCGGGTTGTCGCCCATCGCTATACCATGGCAGCGGCGCACGCAGCCAGCGAAGTTGGCCGCCAACGCAGCCGGTGTAGCGTCCGACCCCGGCTTATAGGTGAAGTGGAGCTGGAAGTCGTCCTGCACGGAGGCGACGCGACCCTTTCCGAGCAAGTAGCGTAGCGCCGTCGACTTGCTCACGCCGATCTTGGAGAAGACGACGCTGTTCGGCTGCGGCATGGCACTGACGCCACCCCGCACGAGGTCGGCGACGTGGGCGCGGAAGTACTTGGAAAACAAACGAAGCGGGAGTCCTAATAAGATCACCTGGGCGATGTTCGCCTCGCTTTCATTTGAGGACGGCGGCGGCGGCGAGGGCGTCGCTGGCTTCGCCTCGCTCATGCGCCGCTTTAGATCCCTCGCACTGGGGCCGAGCAGATCCACCAGAAATCTCGCCATGCTGGCTGCCGCACCCGCCACCTGCGTGGCCAAGGTGGGCACCAAATTATCCAGCAGCACCTTGGTGCAGTGCTCCACCAACTCAGCCCTCTCTGCCTTTTCCACCGCGGCTTTCTGAGACGCGCCCGAGTTCGCCGCGCCGGCCTCGTAGGAAAGACGCGCCTCCACGTACTCCATGCGCAGGATGCCCACCGCAGTCAGCAGCTCGCGGCGAGAGCGTAGGTACTGCATTTTCCACGCAACCGCTGCCGGATCGGACGGCGGCTGCGTCACCAGCGCCTCCAGGGTGCGGAAAGCTGTCGTCTTTAAAACCAGCTCGGCGGGCGCGGCCTTGCGCTCAGAGACGTTGTACACGATATCCAAGTACTGCAGCAGACCGCCCCACATGCACTTATAGCGCCTCGACAGCCACTGCATCGCCTCCCGCACCGACTTGTCTGTGCCGGCGAGGATGTCGTGAATGTACGAAAAGTACAGCGTCTCGATATGGCGCTGCAGCCATTGCGCCGTCGCCGCGCTGATGCAGGTACCGCGCACGCACATCTGCGGCTCCTCCATCAGCTTCGTTTGGCTTCCATCAACAAAGAGCTTCGCGCGTGGCATGAGCACTTTATAAGCGGCAGCCAGCTCGATCGACTCACGCGTTGCACAATGCACCGCGCTTGCATAGCCAGGCAGCATCACAATCGCGTCTGCCGTGCACCAGTACAAGACTGCGCCGGTGTACAACGACAGCAGCAGGCACCCACGCCGGCGTGGCGGCGTCGTTTTGTCCTTCGCCGTCGTTGCGGCCACCTCCGCGATGTACTCGGCCTGTGTTTTCAGGAACGGCCGCAGCGGGTGGTACACCTGCTCAATCACGCGAACATCCGCCGTGGTGACAACGCAAATGTTGCCGCCGTTGCTGAGCCACTTCTTCACAGGCTCGTAGCAAGGACTCTGTGTGATGGGCAGATACCTACCTTGAGCCTTGTGCGGCGTGGAAATCAGCGTGCCGTCCAGGTCGGACAGTAGCCAGTAATCTGTGAGCATTTTGAGGTGGATTCAACGAATGTTTGCGTTGAAAGTAAAGAAAGTTTTGGCGTGTTAGATTGCTAATGCGCTTTCGAGTATATTATTACTTTCTCCCCGGAAAGCAGTGCTGAGTCAAAATGTGTGAGGAACAAATGAGTAGAATACCGCGAAACACGGAAAAAAAACGGTTAGCTTTTTGTTGATGTTGTTGTCGACCACAACTTACCAATGTGTATCGGTGGCTCGTCAGGGAGGCGGCGTGGACAGTGAACAGAACAGTAGAAGCAGCGCTTTCTATGTATTGAATTCTTCGTTTGTTGCTGTTTGTGGGTGTGTATGTGAGGGAGAACTGTTGAGGTGCGAAGGCGAAAAATAAATAAACTGCTACAGTAGACTTGAGGTCAGCGGCACAACGCATGTATTACAAAAACGATGGGAAAATCAGTTGTATTCGGGAGAAGAGAAAAACAAGAAGCATGTCATCCTTCGTACTCAATGGAGCTGTAGCAACTTACATTTTCCACCTCTATCTCTCGATTCGACTATTTGAAGTAAAAGGCCAACGAAACTTCCAGAAACCTTTAAGTGTGTACTCTTGGGTACTGCGTATGCCTGAGTGTTTGCGTGTGGGTGGGTGAGTGCGTGGGTGCGCATGAGTAAGAAGAAAACCAAAGAACGCGACTTGCGTTGGTACGAGACAGACGCTCGCAGACACTTTGTCTAAGACGAGAAGAAGAAACTCGTGCCAAACAGCAGACGGAATTCGAGAAAACAAAAACAAAACAAAAGAGAAGAGACTATTGATCAGAATTACACACAAAAAGTATGCCAAAAATGGGAGAGCAGCGACAGCCAGGTAAAAATAATAATAAAACATCAGCGCACCTACATCGTCACTGATAACAGAGTAGCGGCACGCATTCTACTATTTATCCCTCCGCAGCACTCGTTGCTTGAGACTCTTTGCGGCGGGGTAACCGGTAACAATGCACCACATCACCTCTTCCTTCAATATCGTCATACGCTGCTCTTCCTCCAACTTCGGCAACACCATCAGTTCGATGCTAATGCGATCAACGTGAAACTGACGGCACAATTCCGCCCACTCCTTTTGCTCGTCGCTTTCAATCTTGCGCTGAGACGTGGCCGCGAAGGCCAGCAAACTCGGCTGATCGCGAACCGGCGACATCGAGATGGCGGGCGACACGTTGCTGCTGTTGCCGGCACCTTCCGCTTCACTCACCGCGTAGGGATACCGACTGCCTGCTCCGATGATGCCGCTGCTCATCGTCGTACTCTTCGTGAAGCCTACGCTGCTGTGCCCCGTCCCTTTGCTTATGGTCGAACTTGCGTCGGTGTAGCTGCGAAAGTGCGCCGTGGACGGCGACGATGACCCCTGCTGACTGGCGGTCAGGCACAGACTTTCATAAAAGGATTGGGGGCGCGGATGTGGGTTAGGCGTGCGACGCCCCGACGACGTATGGGGGCGGAGCACGTTGCCAACGCGCGACGGAGAAAGCCGGCGCGCCGGGTCCATGTGTCCTGCCACGCCCGTACGCCCTGCCGCTGTGGCAGAGGTGCTGTTGCTGCTCAACAGCGACGCGTCGGTGAGGGCGCTGTCGCCCGGGGCCGGCGAGCCGTGTGCCCACGGCGGCGGCTGCGTGCGATTGGAGCGGGGAAAGGACGGCTCACTCTCCGAGCTGCTGCCCTCCAAAAAGCGGGTCTCGGCAAAACTCTCTGACTCCGCGAAGGCGTACTGCTGGCTAGGCGGCACACTCGTCGAGGCGTAGCCGCTGACGCCGCGGCTATCCAGCGCGACATCGCTGCGCGCAATCGACCGCCGCACGGGCACGTTGATCTGCCAGTGGGCGGTCTGCGTGGCGGCCTCGCGCGTCGTGCGGGGGGCCGGACCACCGAGGAGGGCCGCCACAACCGCCGCACTCCCTACCGTGCTGCAGACGAGCCGATGATAGGGCCAGTCCGCCCGTTGGCAGTCCACGTCGCAGTAGTACACCACACCGCAGGCGCACCTGCGCAAGGTTTGCGAGGCACGGCCGCACCAGTCGCAGCGCCGCCACGACGGCTCCACGGCGTGCACGCTGTTGCCGCACACGGTGCGATGGAGCGACCAGTGGGCGTGCTGGCACACCGTGCTGCAGTAGCGGGCCAATCCGCAAGGGCAGAGATAGAGCGCCGTGTCCACCGCCTTGCAGAAAGAGCAGTGTTCCTTGGACGATCCGGTGGCGGGAAGGTTGGCGAGAGAGGTGGAGGGCGTAGTGGAAATGCCTCCCCCGTTCACGCTTACACTGGCGTCCGCGGGCAGTTCGATCGTCACGGCGGTGGGACGTAGCGGATTTAACGCTGTAGAACGTGCAGGAAAGGTGGCCGGCGGCCCAGCCGTTCCCCCGCCATCATTACTATTCATCGAAGTACAGGATGCGAAGTTCGAGAACAAGGGGCTGCTGTCCCGCCTGGTCATCGCCCCTCCCCCTCCTCCGGCTGCGGCGGCAGCATCTAGCGTGTTACTTCGCGGAGAGACGGAGCGCCGCGCTTTGTCCTCCGCCTGCTGCTGTCGGCTGCGACCTCGCGGGCTGCTTTGATGGCCAGTAGTCCCTGTAGCTAGGGTGCTCCGTCGCAGATGCGGCGTCGGCGGCGTGAGCAGCTTCATCTCGCGTCCATCAACAGCAGAGGCGGTGCTGCGGGGCATGGGCGAGTGGACGCCGCGCCGCTTGGGAGGAGACGACGGGTGTGCGCGGTCGTGGCGGCCCGATCGCGACGCCACCGACTCATTTCGCCGAGAAGCGCGCGACAGAGAATACGACTGGCCAAAATTGTCGATACTACTATCGCTGTTGGTGTTGCCGCCTCCACCATTACCGGTGCCTGCGCTGACCGCGTAGGACGGTTGAGCAAAACCGCTGGGGGAGATTAAGTTGGTGAAGTGCAAGGACCCCGGCCCGGGAATGCCGGATCGCGGAGCATGGGCGCTGTAAGAACCGTTGTGGAGACGATCAAGCTGGGGAACGCGTAAGGGACTTGAGGCGCCGGAACGGCTGCTAACGCGTAGGTGTGGGCTGCCTTGACTGCGATCGCGAAGAGAAGATCTACTGCGAGGCGGAGAGATGGCTGGCATACTCTAGAGAGTGCCTTTTTTTTTTAGTGGAGATGGAATAACTGGGCAGCTGCATGAAACCCGCCAGAAACGGTGCCTTTGCAACGCGTAGACGGGGGGCGCGATGCACCTCGAGCTACGCAATCGAGGTTCAGTACCGACAAATACGAACACTACAACAAATTGAAGGAAACACCAGTGGTAGAATGCGCGACGTGCGAAAGGATGTCTGCTGCGTGGGCTACCCTCAAGAGCCGGCGCATGCACTGAGCATAACGCATAAAAACCTCAGAAAAAAAGAGGACAGAAATTGGAGGCAAAGAGCAAAGGCAGATGAAGACAGCTCGAAACGAATTTGAGAACGATTTGTATTTTTTTGTTGTTGGCAAACAGAAGAACAAAAAATAAAGCGGAACCTCGACCTAGAAGGAATCGTCCAGCAGCGCATATCAAACCCTCCGAACACACCAAAACAAACGGTGTTGCTTGAAAGAAAAAAAGAGAGAGTATCTCCTAGCCCCGTGCAACCTTCGCTCGATCCGTAGACACCTCAAACGGAGAGTAAATTTTTTATCCTCCCTACGGAGCTGTTGCTTTCTCAAAAGGAGAGAAACTTCACGTTTTATCACCCCAACTTTTACTCTGGTGTGAACAAACAAAGAAGAAATTAATTAGACGTTTACAAGCAAGCACATGTTTCCTGCGCGTTTATGACGCGATTAGAAATACCGACGTCCTCTTAGGAAAAAGAACGAAGGAAATAAGGTACCGTGGCAAAGAGAGTGCGTGCATCCAAATGCTACCTGTACTGCGACGCGGGCGGCTCCGCGTGCTGCTCCTCGCGCTCCTTCGCGTAGCCACGAGCGATGCCGTGCTTGCCCTCCATGACCTCCGACTGCACAGGTGTTTGGCCGATGCGAGGATCAAGGCCCACGTACTCTCGCTCGTACAGTCTGGACAGCGCACCCTGTGAGTTCGCCTGCACGGTGAGGGCACCGTTCGCCGCACCGCCAGCACGCACCAGCGCCCCGCTCGACGCCCACCGCTCCTCCTCCTCTTCCCTCCACCGCTGGCTGCTCTCCTCATCGCCGCCGGCGCGGCACGCCACCTCCGCCTTACGCGCCTGCACGGCGGCCGTTAAGACACGCAAGACTGCCTCGAAGGACGTTGTGTAGACGGCAGCCATGCCGTACTGCTTCCCGGCGTCTGTGTCGTCTGCGGTGGTCAGCGCCACCAGCAACTCCGCCGGCGAGACAATCGGCTTCATGAAGTTGTCGCGCTTCTCGGGAAAGTGGCTCTGGCGGCTGTAGGGGCACGCCACCGCCACAAAGCAGTCCACTGTGTCCACAAAGTTGGCCAGCTTAAACTCGTTTAGGTGTCCTACGTAAATGACGTAACTGCGCTTGCCGTAGGCGCGGATGAGCTGATGCAGCTGCTGCGTGAGCTCGTAGTAGCCTTCAATCGCTAACGACGCAACGAGAATGCCGATGGCGGTGCTGGCGCGCACGGATTCGATGTTGAAGGCGCGCTGACGCACACGGCGCTGCAGGGCCTGCTGCGCCACCACGTAGTCGCCCGTGAGCAATGCGGAGACACCGTCTGTCAGCACCACCGAAAGCCACGCAGAGGCGCTGCTCTTCAGATGTAAGCGAAAATTTGGATCTGATGTGGGTGACACGATTAGTGCTTGCAGCGCTTCTCTTTCCTTGTTGCCGCTGGCATCGCAGTCGGCACAAAAGGTGTTGTTCACCACCGTCACAACAGGCACCGACGACGCCCCTTCATCGCCGCTGTCCCACTCCAAAAACGCACGACACGCATCGGAGTAGTGGAACTCGTTGTAGTGCTCTGCTGTCAACACGTGCACCAGCGCGGAGGACCCGGCAGCGCCGACAAAGAGAAGGTACTGCACTTCCTGCCGCGCCTCATCGCCAGTGCGCAGACGACGAAACCGTACCCCGTTGACAAGCCAATCATCGTCCTCGGCGGGGGACATGCAATCTGTCGCCGTCGCGTTGGCTTCTGTTGCCACGGCGGTGGCTGAAGTGCTGTCAGAGCTTCTGCCTCCGCTGTTCACTGGGGGAGCAGATACGATGCCGTCGCGTTCCTCGAACCGCGGCCAGTCGACATCCACCACCGCCGCATCGCCGCGTTCCATCCTTCTCTCGTCCTTCCAAAGCTGCTCCGCAGCCTGCATGACACGCTTCGTCGGATAGGTGCCGACAACGGTGAGACGCGGAGCTACGGTGCACAGATCTGTTGATGCGCCTCCCTTCTCCGCACACCACGCCGTTACGCGGCGGCGCAGCGTCATTGCCACGCGCCTCACGAGTTCCACCATGACGCGGGTCTCCGCCGCAGCAAGAGCGGCATTTTCATACGCAATGTCAAGCTGATCGGCGCCGCGCTGGTCATCACGCAGCAAAGCATCAAAGTGGAACGCAGGTTGAATGTACAAGACCGGCAGCCGCGTCGAGCGACTCATGCACGCGTCACCGAAGTGCACGATGCAGTCCGCCGTGTAATGCTGCGCCGTGATCTCGTCCGGGCAGCAGCTGCCAAACGTGTTGTCGGCGAGCACGAAGAGCCGAACTTCGCCTACAGGGCGGTGCGGGTTGTCCATCGCAGGGGGACGCGCGCTGACTGCCGCACCCGCCGCTGCAGCCTTCGATGAAGTCGTTGCAGCTGCATCCTTGCGCGTCCTATTCGTACTGCTCGTGTCCTCCTTCACCAATGTAGTTGTCATCGCCGCGGTGTAGCGTGGGTCGCTGGTGAGGATGTGTTGAAGCGCGCTAGCGACAGCAACGGAGTCGCTTAGCAGTTCATCGGGGAACTGCAGAGCCACACGCAGGTAAGGAGCAACGCTCGCGCGAGTAGCGCACGACGATCGGCACTGACAGCAGGAAGGTTTCTCTCCATTGGCCATCTCTGCGTCTTCCGTGGCCGCCTTCTTCCCTTGCTGCGTCGATGGCGTACTCGTGGATAACTGTGTTTCCTGCCTGTCGTCGCCCGTGAGCAGAAAGTCAGCGACGCGATGCAGCTGATACTCGTGCAGAATGCGTTGCGACACATCCTGAGAGGCCGCCGTTGTCGCTGCCGGGTGGCGTCGATGAAGGTGCACCGTCACGGCAGCCTCAACAGGGGCATCGTGAAACATTATGGATATGTGGCTGAAAGAGAAGACAGCAATAAGTGACTAAGAAGTTCAAATGGACGAACAAGAAATAAATTGATATAGATATTTATTTGAAGCAACGCAGTGGAAATGGGATGAAATATATCCGAAGAGATGCTGGAAGTGTCGGCGCCTGCAAACCACCGCTGCAAACAAAAATGATCTCGCGGGCGCGAGTGTGCTTGCTACGAGATTCCATTGATGTACAGGTATGTTAAATATAAAAGGCAAGTGCAAGAGGAAATAAGGTACGGAAGAGAGACGCAGCAGGAGGTCAAAAAGTGGCACCGCTGCTTCGAAGAGCGGAACGCCCTCGCAACGCGGCCACGCGGAATCAAAGCGGACACGCCCATCACTATCGGCGTTGTTGTTGTTGTTGTTTTAGCTAAGTTATCTTGTTTGAAAAAGGAGAGTAAGAGCTGTCGTGTAGGCCCCACTGTATTCCCAAAGACAGGCTTTACAGCTCGAGTACAGTATCCAACACCTCTCCTGTTTCTCTTTCCTTTTACTTATGTATGTCTGAATTTAGCTTTGCAATAGGCGTTCTCTCTTTCCTTTAGTCGCGGCTACGCTGCGGAGCTCCTTGACAGTTACATTACGGAGAAATATTAAACGCAGGATTTGAAAGTGTTGGTGAGCAACAGCAACTACAGAGACGAGAAAAGCGATTGCTCCTTCTCCCCACAGACACAACGAAGACACACAACTGCGTGGACTTCCCTGGCCATACGGGGGAACCTGGGAGAAGTGTGCGATCCACTTGCGGTATCGATGGGAAACGCACGTGAATGGGCGCTGGAGATACACCGCCGCGTCCCTTTCCCGACCTCCGAAGAGAGTAAAAGAAAAGGGAAAAATCCTCTGCCTAAAGCATCTCATCCCCGTCCTCGTCGTAGTCGTTGTACGCGTTGCCTCTCGCACTGTCCTCTTCGCCAAGCCCACCGTGCTTCCACCGTTTCTTTGTTTGTCGCTCCTCAATACGACCCATGTGAAGGTGGAAGGTGGGCAGCCCATCGAAGGTGACACCGTGCGCTACGGCCGACACGAGTTGCGCCGGCGCGTCGTCCTCCTCAGCGCTGCCGGCTGGCCGAGCTCGGTACGCGTCATCGCTGCGCAGGAAGAGCTCATCCACCGCGGGCGGATAGGTGTAGTACGGGATGCGGCCGTCATTCCAATCCGTCAAGATCATCCGCGCCGTCGCCTCCTCGTCGACCTGGCCGCCGCGTGTCAACCGCCCGCGTCGCGTGCCGACCTGCTGAATGAAGTCCATCACGTCGTTCTCGCGCACCTGGCCAATTCCGTAGAAGAGGGCCAGCGGATGCAGTCCTTGTGCACGCAGCGCCTGATGCGCGGCGACGTCGACGTTGTCGTGGTCGTCGGCCGGCTGCACGGCGGTGCATCGCTGCAGCAGGCGCTGAACAGGCAAGAAAGGGTTGACAAGGTCGCCCACTTTAATCGCATTCCGCAGCACCACATCACCGTTGTCCTCGCCAGGTGTGACGACCCCAGGGCAGTCCATCACACGAATATCAGAGCGCAGCTCCACCTCCGTGTTACCGGTTGTGAAGCCGGGTACATTGCCTACACCCACCACCTGCTTGCGCTTCAGCGCGTTAATGATGGAGCTCTTGCCGACGTTTGGGTAGCCAATCACGCCCACCACGATGGCTTTGCGGTCGCCCGTTTCGTCATTGCGGGCGAGCGAGCGCAGTCTTTTGAACATGTTCGAGACGTACGCCTGCCCCGCCGATCCCTTCGCCGTGGCAGCGAAGGGGATGCACATGAGATGCTCGTGTTCCTCGAAGTAGTGCATCCACGCGTCCACGATCTCCTTCGACGGCAGCATGTCCGCCTTGTTCAGCACCACCACCATCTTCTTCTTTTCCTCGCCGTAGGTAGATCGGATGCTCTTCTCTAGCTGGGTGAGGCGGCAGCCAAGCGGGTCACGAGCGTCCAACACCTGCAGCAGCACATCGCAGTTATCCACCACGCGGCGGAATTCTTTGAAGAAGCGCTGCAGCGAGCGGTCTTGGCCGCGGCGGTCAACGTCCTCCGCCCACTTGTCGTCCTCCTCCGCACCGCCGTCCTCTCCAGCGTAGAGCTGCGCCGGGGCCTCGAAATCGTGCACCTTCTCCGAGGTGCGCAGGGCGAGAGTGAGCATCTCGCGCCGACGATCCGCTAAGGTGGAGGAGGATGCATCGCTGCTGAGGGTGTGCTGCAGCACTTTCTTCTGTATCTGCGGGCTTGCCTTGCCGATCGCCATGCCACCACGGACAAGGCCGGCGAGACGCATTCCACCGCTGCGGCTCGTGCTGGATCCCGTGTCCTGTGCACCTGCACCGTTGCGGTGCAGGTGCGGGATGCTTAAGACGCTGTGGGTGCGTCCCCGAGCAGTCTGAGAAAGGCGCTGCTTGACATCTTTCAAGTCCGGCACGCCGAGGTCTTTCTTGAGCACTTTTCGTTGGTTTTGTTCGCGGCTGCCACGCGCGTGGGCGCCGCCTCCGCCCTTGCCGCTCTTCTTTGAGTGGCCACCCATGGTGCGAAATGGCGCTCCCAGATAGACACGGAGACAAGCGAAGGAGGAGCAACTGTCGGGAGTGCTTCCCTTCACTATTGTACGAGAGAGCAAGAAAAAGCTGAGTATTTTATATGTAAATGTGACAAAGGAAGACGATCGTAAGGGAGAAAGGAGGTGAGTGGATCGTGCGTGCGCATCGGTGTATTAGAATGCTATAAACGCAAACACCCATGCGATGACGGTTGTTACGACAGAAGCGTCAACTTCTCAGAAGAGTAGCAAGAGACGAATTTAAAAAATATATATCTTCATCCTCGTACTGAGCGCAAGCAAACAACACACGAAAAAAAAACCGGCGACGAACACCAGCAACCACGCATTTGCTGCCGTTTCCTGTAAACACAATAGAGATAACAACGCCGAAGTGGCACGTAATACGACCAAAGAGCGCCGTGTCGGTGCTGTGCGGTGCTTTGATACGCATACGCGTTCTTTTTTAAAGGGTTTTTTTTCCTGTTCCTTTCGTGATCTCCTGTGAAAGTTTGCTTAATAAAGAAAGAAGACGAAACTACAAAGCGCGACAAAATGGAGAGCGCAAAAGAGCTGTCTTTCACCTTTGTGTTTCGAAGCTGTCTTTTTTTTATTTTCTTTTCCTTTAATAGTTCTTCCCGTGTGTAATGTGTGTGCCGTCCCTTTTCCTCTCGAATTCGCTGCATTCCGACAAGAAAAAGGAGGCAACACAATGACATGAAGATGACAATATATATATATATGTATGTATGTATATATGTATTTTCCTTTTTCCCCGCTCATGCATCTCTGGTGAACACAATAATAAATAAAACAACGTTATCGGTTGTACTTCGACGAAATAACTTAGAAACAATAAAAAAACATGCGAGCACCACAGCAAAGCACGTACACACCCACACACCACAAACCGGACAACAGTTTTTAAAAAGTGTGAAGAATTACTTAATAATAATAATAATAATAATAATAATAATAATAACAGTGGAAACAAGAATAAAACAAGCTCTGTCAATCTGGAACGGAAAAAAGACAAATCAATAACTAGAACGCTGTAGAGAAACACAATCGCTTCTGCAAAGGCGGAATAAGCGCACGGAGCACGCCTCGCATCTGCACAACGGCACGCTCACAAGCCCGCCCTCTTTACTTGTCCGCGGACGGCTCAGGCACCTTGTCCACCATGCGAGACATGATCGTGTTCAGTCGCGAGACGATGCTGCGCGGGTCCTCCAGCAGCCCAGCCGCAATCACGGCATTATCAAACACCTGCTCCGCCAGCAGGCCAGCCGTCTCCACCTCCTCGCTCGACTCGGACTGCGACAGCGTGTATAGTTTGCGAATGAGGGGGTGCTGAGGGTTGAACTGCAGATTGTACTTCGGCGGCGGGCCGGCGGTCTGGCCCGTCATCCGGTAGATCTTGCGCATCTGCGCCGACTCGTGATCGGCCAGCACGGCCGGGCTGTCCCGCAGACGGTTGGTGGCCTTCACCACCCCGACGCGGCCGACAAGCCGCTTCGACATGAAGTCCGCCAGCGCCTTCACTTGCACTTCGTTCAGCTGCTTCTTGACCGACACGTCCTCCTCCTTGTCGCCCGCCAGCTTCTTCTGGTGCTGCACGTAGCCGTCCATGTTCGCGTCGTACATCTCAATGTTCTGCAGTTTGTGCTTCGCGTAGGTGTCGAGGTGCTGCATGACGAAGTCGTCGATCGGCTCCGTGCAGATGAGCACCTCCAGACCGTGCTCCTTGTACTGCTCGAAGTAGGGAGACTGCATCGCCATCTCCTTGCTGGGCGAGTTGAGGTAGTAGATGTGCGACTGGTTCGGCTGCATGCGATCGCGGTAGTTGTCCAGCGACACGAAGGGGTAGTCGATGTCCGATTTGGTCGTCTCAAAGCGCAGCAGCTTCGCGAGCTCCATCTTGTGCACCTGGTCGGTGCAAATGCCCTCCTTGAGAAACGGTCCGTACTCCTGGATGAAGCGCTCGTACTTGCTGCGGTCGCGCTTGCTCTCCTCCTCGAACCAGCGAATCGTGCGTTTGGTGAGAATGGTGCTGAGGCGGCGCATCATGCCACCGTCTTGCGTGTGCTCGCGCGACACGTTCAGTGGGATCGACTCGCTGTCCACAGCGCCTTTGATAAAGCGCAGCCACTCCGGCAGGACACCCTTCGCCTTCGATTGGATCAGCACACGGCGCGAGTACAGGCTCACCCCGCTCTCCATGCGGCCACCGCCGTACTTCTCCGTGTGCGACTGCGGCACGTACAGCAACGCCCGCACGCTCATCGGCGCGTCGATGGAGTAGTGCAGGCGGAACATCGGACTGTCGTAGGAGCCGGAGATGAACTTGTAGAAGTCGATGTGCTCCTCATTCGAGATGTCGTTCTTATCCTTCATCCAAAGAGCCTCGACGGTGTTCACCTTTCCGCCGTTCAGTGTGATCTCGTAGGAGACAAAGTTGCTGTACTTCTTCAGCACCCGCTCCACCACCTGCGGCGTGCAGAAGGACAGCTCCGTGTCCTTCACATCCAGCACGATCTTCGTGCCCTTCTCCACGCCCTCGCACTCGGTGATCTTGAAGGTGCCGGTGCCGTCCGACTCCCACAGGTAGCCCTTCGACCCTTTCTTGGCGCTGCGGCTGTACACCTTCACGGTCTTGGCGACCATGAAGGAGGCGTAGAAACCCACACCGAACTGACCGATAATCTTCTCCGCCGCCGACTGGCCACTGCTCTGCAGCTCCCGCACAAAAGCCTTCGAGCCGGACCCGGCAATTGTGCCCAAATTCTCCGCCAGCTCCTCCCTCGTCATGCCAACGCCCGTGTCACGAATGATGAAGCGGCTCTTGCTCTGGTTGCACGAGAGGGCAATGAGCGGGGCCTCGTCATCCGAGTCACGAGCGTACTCGGGATTGCTGAGCTCGAGCAAGTGACGCTTCTCGAGGGCGTCGCTCGCGTTGGAGACCAACTCGCGAATGAAGACCTCCTTTTCGCTGTAGAGGCTGCAGGCGACGATGTCCAGCAGCTGCCGCGTCTCCGTCTTGAAGCCCATCTCCTCCGCCTCACCAACGGTCCTTTCCGCACCGGCGGCGGCGCCCTTCGGTGCGTCCGCCTCGCTGCCGCGGTGGCCCACGTTCTCCGGCGCCGGCTCCACAATGACGTCTTCGTCCATCTCATCTGCCGTCACTGTCGGTTTCGCCTCCTCCCCCTCCGCCGCCTTTGCCGCCGCGGCAGAATCAGCTTCTGCCGTCACCGTCTCTACGGGCTTCTCCTCAGTCGAGCCGTAGCGGCAGGTGGTGTGGAGGGCAGTGAAAGACGCCGCCCCCGTCGTTGCAACAGCCGTCGCACGTTGCTGCATTGTGGGAGATGCCGCACTCTTGTCCAGGGCACGGAAGAGGATCCTCGACCCAGCCGCAGCCGACGCCACGGTGACCTTCTGAGCGGCGCGACGCATTTTCTTTTCTTTTCTCTTTCCTTGCCTTCACTCCGCCTCGCAGCAGGGATGAAATAAAAGAAAAGAACAAATGTAGCTGGAATTGGAAAGCGACCTGTTACGAGAGAAAAGAGGGGCGCGACGGCGCTCTACTGCAATTTCGTTGTGTGTGGCTTGTGAAGGAGCGAATAGACTAACGACGGTTGGCCGGGGGGGGGGGAGAGAAGGAGAAGACAGGATGAACAAAAACAAAACATTACAACGCACGAATGGTGAACTTTTCCTTTTCTTTCTTTTCTTCTTGTGGTGCATGCATAGCTTTGGAACGCCACTCCTTCCACTTTGTAGATCACGCACCTCACCATGAAGGTCGATTGAGCTTTGTTTCTCCACCACCGCCCTGAGAAGGGAGTAATGCTGCGTCGACAGAAGCAGCTTCTCATTTCTTTCTACACTGCACAAGTGGACACGAACCTGCAAGCCTGAGAGATGAAACATCTCACAGAGCACCGCTTAGCTGACAATTAGCGGGATTAGTCCAGATTGGCGAGTTCTTGCGCGTCGGCGTTGTTATTGTTCTCGGTTAGACGGTTCATCCCTGTCCTCTTTTGAATCGCTGCCCGGTTAAAAGGTAGTGAGCTCCGGGGGAGGACAATGAACGGAGAAAACGAGAAGTACAATGTAACGTAGGGAAAAAAGGGGCACAGTTTTGTCACCACAAGGTTGCATGTGACTGCATCAGCACAAATCAAGATAGAACAAAGGAAACACTACTCCACGTGAACGTGGTGGCAGCTTCGACGGAGCACATATCCGCTGACAGACTTTTTTCGAGTCGCTTCATTCCGCCCCCTTCGACAACTCAGAGTCGGCGCCTCGCCAACGGCGCGAACAGTTAAATAGGAGATAAAAAGGCGGCGGCAGCGGCAGCACGCAGTAGCAACAGCGCGCACCAGCGGTGCTGGTGTGCATGAGCACCTCAAGTCGCCGCAGTTTTCTCCAACACCACTGTGCTCACAGCAAATGTGTCACTTCTGTTGATGCTTCATTGCGGCACCAGGAAAGACAGGGTACTTCAACGGAGGAGGCATGTTGACTATACTAAACGCACCGCGTTGCGCTGCCGACAGTTGTGGCTGCTGCTGTTGCCGCGGAGGCAGTGGAGACACGGAGGAGAGAATTGGGGTGTCGTGGAGGCTGACGATCGGCGCAGGGGATCCCGCAGGTGCTGCCGTGTGCGGGGGAACTACCGGAGGGGCGACCTCTTCCATGGCCATTGCGTGCTGCTGCTGTGATGGTGGTTGGGCCCCGGATGGCGGTGCCCGAGATTCCACGTGCGGCTGAGGCAGCCGAGGTGGAGGAGGAGGAAGGTGGTTCATTGCCGCTGCCTGCTTGGAAGGAGGCGGCGCGGAATCAGTAGGGTGAGCGACAGCATGGGGCGGACGTTCGTATGACTCCACGGACGCCAGTGCGAGACGGAACGAGTTCCTCTTCGATGAGTTCGCAGAAGAGGTTGTCGGAGGTGGTGGTGGAGGGGGCGGAGGGGGGAGCGCGGCAGCGTGGGACGAAGGTTCTACGGAAGCGGTGGGGGCGTGATTGCACGGAGGTGGGACGACGTCCTCGTTGAAGAAGGCCGGCTTCGCGTACACCGGCGCGTGCGGCTGGTGTTTTTGGTGCTGTGGTGCTGGCGGGGTTGGAAAGAACGAATTGTAGTGCGGTGGAGCACCAGCGGAAGCGGCAGAGGCATTACGTGGTGGAAGAGGAGGCTGCGCAGAAGCTGCCGCTGGAGCCGCGGCGATGGGCGCTTCATAAGCTTCCTCTCCCTCGTGGTAGTAAGCTTGTGGCACGTGATTCTCCTCGGGGTGCGGCTGCGCATCTGGTTGGGGATACTGTTGGTCTTGCTGCGGCGGTAATTGTTGTGCGAGAAACGACGGGGGAGGCGGCAGCGTGGCCGGCGCCGGAGCCCCCGGGGTGCTGGTGATGGCGCGGTCGGCCTCCAGCCGCACAAATTTGTTCATGATCGGCAGCGAGTCCGCCGTGGCCGCGTCACCGGTCGTGGTGGCGGAAGGAACGATATGCAGCAGCCCCGTCGCCACGCTCATACCCAGCGCCGCCTCGGGGTTGGTGCCCATCTCCACCGCCACCTCCTTTACTGTGTTGCTTTCGCTGTTGTACACGAGAAAGAGAAGGATGTGCGGGAGGTCGACCGCCTCGTTTGGAAAGCGCTGCTGCCGCTCTAACGCCCACCGCTGCTCTTCGTGCCAGTCCTCGAGTCGGCTGTAAAAGTCCTTTTGGCTCTTAATGAGCGAGATCAGCGGCTCCTGCGCGGTCTGCATGCCAATAATGTAATCGCGGTTTGCCTGCAACTCCCCGCTGTAGGCCGCAGGGCTGCCTTCCAGCACATCGACGACGTGCACGCAGCGCTCCAAGCACCCTTCAGCGCGCGACCACTCAACGCTGCAACCCAGCAGTCCGCCCCCGCCCCACGCATCGGACGGGACGCAGTACACATCCCGGTAGGCACGGATGTGCAGGTTGAACACGGTGAAGCAGATCGGCTGGTCGCGGTGGTTGGCGATGTAGCTCTTGAAGAACTGCAGAGCCGGCTTGCCTTCTGACTCGAGGGGGACGTGGTCGAGTGAAGTGATGAGGTCGAAGTACGGCACCAGGCCCGCTTTATGAGCCGGGCTATACGGCAGCAAGCGCACCACTTGAAAGCCCTCGATGCCGGTTAAAGGCACGGTGGCCACAGCGGCGCCTTGTGAGCCCGCGACGCCGGCGGGCACCTGCGTGCGCGTCGCCGCTGCCTGCCCATTCTGTGTGCGACTTTGATCTTGACCCATCGTAACTCTCTTCGTTGGCCTAACAAATTACCACCCGCGCGAGGGAAAGGGAAACAGAAAGGAGAGACACAGTGGAATCAACAGCAACCGGCAAAGAAGGGACCGGAACTCCCCCCGCGTAAAGAGTGCGTCCTGGGAAAGGGAAAAAAGTCGAATAAAAACCGAAGGGATTCGGAATGAGCGCTACGGTGAAAACGTCCTTCTAAATAAAATAAATACTTACGGCTTCTCTATTCAGACACAGAAGAATATTCAAAAAATCTTACGAAGGAACGCCGATATGAACACACAATCCAGAAGGTAAAAAATAGCTCTAACGCCTTTTTGTTTGCTTTGTTGTTCCTTCTCAGCCCCGTCGTAAACGGTACAAATGGCCTTACTGCAACGCGCAAAGTCGCCAACCCGCTGCGCACGGCAATTACTTTGAAGTGACGAGAGGTTGCGTTGGTAGCGTGTGCGCGTAGGACTTCCCTTTTAACCGTGCTGTGCCGTTCAGCGTGTGCCATGTGGTGGAACGTGATGAGCGGGGGGGGGGTGATGTGGTGAAGATAGTATGTGAAGAGGAGCGGAATGAATGGAGTGGGTGAAATGGAGGGAAAAAAAGGTGCGTTGGGCCTTTCCGTAACCTCCCTCCATTCTGTGCGCAGTAGCCAGAGGTCCTCGCCATTCCGCTCGCTTGTCGCACGCTCACGTTGAATGGGAACGCACTGGTGATGACACTCTAAAAGAATGTTGCTTCATGATTAATCGCTGCGCACGTTTCTCTCCTTCATTCCTTAACGATCGAAAGACTAAAGGTATGTTTCTTTTTCATCAACGAGGTCAACACAGCGTCGCCATCCAAGCCTGGATAAAAAAGGAAAGGAAAGGAAAGACGCACCGATCATGTGCATCAGAAAGCAAAATGAGAAGAAAGAAGGCGAGAGAGGCAGCTGCTCGTCCGCAGAACATCGTGTGTTCATTACTACGACAGCGGCTCCGCTCCGCAAAGCAGAGGAGTCGATGAAAATTGTTGGGGGCTGACAAAGAAACAAAATAAGAGGTCAATGGCGAGAGGGAGAAAAAAAAACGGGGTGTGTGCAAAGCTCGTGCTCGATAGTGCATGATGAAAAGCTCTCCGCGAACTCTAAACAGCAACAGCAATAACAATACTAGTGAATAGTGAAACAAATACAATGATAAGTCTACGGGAATTCTGAATAACTCAAGAAAAGAGTATAAGTGACGTTTTCTGTGTGTTTCATACAACATCTACCGCGGTAGCTGCGGCATTCCTCCTTAGTATTCCTGTTGTTGTTGCTTACCGAAACACTGCAAGGAAAAAGAAAAGAACTTTCTCTTTTCCCTATTTTTTTAGTACAAAGAGAAGAAACAGAGAGAGCGTCAAAGAGCACCGCAAAGCGTAAAGCCCAGCAGACTCGAACCAGCAGTGCAACGCGAGAAAACAGGAGAATGCTGCGTATTTGCACAGCTCAGAAAGTCCCCCTCCGTTTCGTTTCGAGTAAAGTCCTGTACGCAGGTCAGCACCAAGAAGGACATAAAGCGAGCATGTTGAGTGCTCGCCGGTGGAGGGAGAGGTGGGGGACTAAAAAAAAAACACTATCAGATCGGGAAAACGCGTACGTAATAAAGAGCAGCGCCGAGGGCGCCGTGTCACGCTCTCTCGCCTTCCCTCCTCGGCCTTCATTGCGACCGAGAAAGGGAAGCAGCGAGCTGCTCCGCCAAGACGCTCCTCTGCAGCAAGCCGATGCTGTGGCTGTCACATCCTGACGCAGCCGTACCCCGAATAAACAACGACTGCGGTCCCGGAAGCTCCACACACGCTGGAGGGATGCGCATCTGATCCGCCGCGAGGGCATCCGCCGCGGACGTTGTGCCAGAAAGCGGGAAAGAGGCGGTGCTACGGGCGCTGGTCGCCACGGCTGCCGCCTCCATCATCGCCCACGGCTTCACGGCGTACACCTCCTCCGACAGCGGCGCCATCAACGGAGTGGACAGGCGCGGCGTGGACGTGGCTGAGGGAGACAAAGGACGCGGTGTTGTGCTTCTCGAAGATTCCCCAAACCGAGTGGAGTCGGCAGCCACGCCAGTATTGTTGCTGCTGCCATTGGACGAGTCGGCGGAGTGAAAGCGGCCCATTTTGGCGTCCGTTGCCGCCACCGCTGCCGCTGCTGTCGACCTGAAGTTTACAGCGGTGGTCGCCGGGACGGCAGCCGGTGGGATGTTCGCGGCGTTCACGAAACGTTGTCCTTCACTGATTCCTTTCCTTTCCTGTTGTACGATAGAAGGAGTAAACGCAGCAGGGACGCCGGGTGATTGCGTGTTGTTTGCGGGAAGAGGTGAGCTGGGCGCGCTTGTCTCGTCAACGACAAAGGCAGAGGTGCTGTCGCTCAGCAGTGGAGAGCTGTCCAGCGACGACGAGGAAGGCGGAGGTACACATCGTGTGGAGAAGAGCACGGGCATCCAGCGCAGCGACCACCAACTTTTCCAGGAGGAGAGCGAAAAGCGGCTGCCGGACTGCTGCGGCGTCCCCGGCGACGGTGTAGGTGTGTCCATTCTAACGAAGCGTAAAGACGAGAAAGAAGATAAAAGGAAAGCAGGTGGAAGCAACGGCCCTTCAAACGATGGCAGTGTCTTTCGATTTTGTAGAGAGAAAAGCCACCTGTTTTGTGCTAAGCAGCGCTGGGATGCGCCGTTTTTGAAGCAGTGCGGGCGAGGGAGAATTTCCTATGAATTCATACCGATCAAACATGTCAAGAAGAAGAAAACAAGAAAGAATAACAACGAAAGTCGTTGCTTCAGTACCGTTAAAGAAAAATAAGAGTTTCAGAACCACAGCCTTGTACGTGTGTGCTTACCGGGTTTTCCTCCGTTGGGGGAGGGGGGGGGGGGAGGGAGAGAAGAGGAAGGGCAAACCATGTCAACAAAACAGCATCGAGGTGGAGAAAAAGACAAGAAAGGGTGCGTCGCATTTTTAATGAAACGGCCTGACCGTTTCACCGTGCCGCAGCGAATTCCACGCAGCAGAAAGCGCATCTGTTGACGACGTCCGCAGCGTTGCGTGAACAACCACCACACTTCCACGTATGCTCTTTGTTGTTGTTGAACGGAACTTGAACAGAAACATGAAAACTGCCATGTCAGCTTGTCCCTCATACTGCAGGCGGAATTACTGTGTGCGGGTGTGTCCCCCCGAGCATGCTCTTCAATCATAGCGCTGTTTCTTTGCGAGGGTAAACAAACAACATAAAAATGGAACAAAAAGAAACTTATGAATCCTCCGGACGCTTTAGGAGGTTTACCAGAAAAAAGGGAAAAGAAAAACAATTCCGTTACACCGGCATTTTTGACAACAACAAAAAAAAGGAAGGAGCACCGGCTGTCAGATAAAGCCATCCAGGATACACTATTCCCCTCTTCCTTTATCTCCCTCCTCTTTCAGAATACAACGCCATCGCGTCTACAGAGGCTTTCCCGTGAAAGGGTTGATGTTCACGTGCGCCGGTGGGACGCAGACATCGACGCTCTCCCCCATCTCCGAGATACCGCTAATCTTGCCAAACGGGCGAAACCGCAACACATCATTCTTCGCGTAGAACTTTAGCAGTCGAAAGGCGCTCTTCTCGGCCAGCTTGTGTTCTTTTATCTGTTCTGTGATGGCGGCGATCCGGTCAAGCTCAGCATCGGCGGCCGACAGGCGCAGCTTCACGATGCGCCGCAGCTCCTCTTCGATCTTGCCGTGGTAGCGCTCGCAGATCTGATGAAATACCTCCGACTCCTCCGCAAGTTCGTTCAGCTGACGCTCACGAAAGGCCTGCAGCGCCGGGGCCAGCGCCTCGTCGTACACAGGGCAGTCGTCGATCCACTTGTCCATCGCCCGCACATCGGGGTCCTGCTTGGCGAAGAGGCGGTTCAACAGCAGGCGACGCGTCGTCGTCGCCACGTCGTCCTTGCGATCGTTCTGCATCACCAGTTTCATCGTGGTGCTCGCGTCCAGCGGGAAGTCCTCGCGGACGATGCGGCTGCCGGAGCGGATCTCCTTCGCCAGGTCGGTGAGACGCCTGCGCGACCACAAGGCGAACAAAATCTCAGACGTCTTGAGGGGCTCCACCTTCACCTCGCTGGTCACCGCCGGTGCGGGGGCCGTTGAAGGCGCCGCGGGGGCACCAAAACCAAACGAGGGGGGAGCCGGCGCAGCGGAACTCTGGCCAAAGCCGAAGCTGAACGCAGTCGTTGTGGTGCTGCTACCATTGCCGGCAGACGGCGCCGATGTCGGGATGGCAGGGCCAAAGCTGAAGCCGAAGCCTGAGGCTGCGGCAGCGGTGGGAGCACCATTTGCCGTCGGTGCAGCACCGAAACCAAAACCCAAACTCGATGTTGCCGTCGATGCAGCTGTGGAAGATGGCGCATCAGCGGAAGGCGCAGTGACAGTCGTAGCAGCGGCAGTCGGCGAAGACGCGCTTGGAGCACTCGCGCCAAAGCCAAAGGCGGAGGAAGCGAGCGCCGGACCTGTCTTCGCGGCACCGTCGCTGTGCCTCTTCTGCAGGAGGTACACGTTCATATCACTCCCATCCGCCTTCACGACGCGGCGCCAGCACATCTCCTGGCTCTCCAGCGGCAGAATGCGCTCCGGTGCGTTGTCCTCGGCATCACTGTAGGGCCAGTGCACCTTCACAATGTACTCCGCTGGTGCCAGGGTTGGCTGCGCCGCCTCGGCAATCACGTAGCAGTCCACCGTCACCCCCTCCATGCCCTCCGCACCCGCCAGCAAGTCCTCTTCGCGTAGCTGAATAAACCAACGCGGGCTCGTCGCGGAGCGCTCCGCCAGCACCTTTCGAAATTCCGTCCAGTCATAGGGAGTGTCCCCCACGCCAGGCTGAGCGAAGGTGCGGTGCACCAGCTTAGATGAAAAGAGCTCCTCCAGCTGGATGGGCGTGTCTGCGGCTTTGTCCAGCAGTGGGTCGTGGGTGTCGATCCATTCCGCGAGCGCCTGCTGATCGGCCCTCTCCTTCAAGGCGCGCTTCTCCTGTGTCTCGCGACGCTTCTCTGCCGCACTGACTTTCGGCTCCTTCTTGGCGGCCTTCGGTGCCATTTTACTGTCGGACAAAGTGCGTGTGTGCGTGTCTCTATGCTTAAAGAAAAAAGAATAATAAGGACGGTGTGCCGACTATCCCTCCTTCCTTTTCTGGCGTACAACGAAACGATGAAAGCAGCAAGAAAAACAAACGCCTAAGCTGCTGCGACGACTTGCGCTCCTTCAGTGCCTGCTTTTAACAAAGACTTTTTGCTTATGAAGTGTGTCGGCTCTCTTCCTCTGGGAGTAGGCGTTCCTGCGCACGAAAGAAACACGATCGGGGTTTTGCTTTTGTTTTGCTTCTTTGGAATGCGTGTCGTGGGTTCGGGCATGTGTGGTCGATGAAGATAGAAGAAGAAAACACAAGAAGGGCGAATTTAAAAGAGGCAGTGTGTGAGTGTATGGGTGACTTCATGTGGAGCAGAATTTCGAACTCAAACCACGTCCAACACGCAGGCAGAACAGCTCGCTGCGGGCACTTCGGTGATGGAGGGGTGTCATTGCGAGACAACGGCGACGTTGCATTTACTTATGCGAGTTAAGCGACACCGTCTTGCGAATGCCTCGTAGGCAACCCTTCTCATCCGAAGAAATAAACGCATGATGGAAATATACATTCCTCTTTCTGTACCATGGAAATTGTCCGTTACGCTCACTGGTGTGTCAGAACAGGGAAGCGTGGGTGGTGCGCATGCGCTCCAACGTAGCCAGGCGTTGATGCCGCGAGCTCTGCACGCTCTCCAAGTCGTTCAAGTCCTCCACCAACTCGTGGAAATACTCATACGAGCGAAGATACTCTGCCGCGAGCGATCGGATCACATGCGAGAGCAGCAGCACCATTCCTTGTTCATAGTTGTTGAGCTGACGCGCCGAGGCGACGCCGTCATGCGAGTTCATCGACGCAGCGAGAAGGGAGTTGCTGTCCTCGCCCGCCTCCGTACAACCAGCAGGGTCGAAGACCTCTGCGTGTCCTTCATAGACTGGCATTGTCAGCATGCTTGCTGTCGCAGTCCCCACCGCACCAGTGGCTGCAGCGGTACGCCTGTCGAGCTTTCCGCCGTCGTGGCGCAAATGGTTGTAATGATTGTTGCTGCCCGTCGCTGGTGGCTCCGTGTGGACGTCTCCCGCAACACGAGCCCGAGCTCGAGTCTTCGGGAGGTTGGAAGGCTCTGGCAAACGCGCGCCCACCACGATGTGCTGCGGCGAACCTCGCATAAACGGCGGTAGGACCTGCCGCCCACTGCCGGCAAAGCTGATTACGCGGTAGAGAGACCGCCAGAGAAGCTTCATGCGCATGTGGATGGGCTTGTGATTGGCGCGGTACCGCAGCAGCCCCCACCACGCCAAAAGGCCGCCCGCGGCGAATACCGGCAGCAGCGCCATCACCTTAAAATTGAGGTCGTTGCCCTCCAGCACCTCATCCACGCCATTCGCGACGCGGCTCATCTCCAGTGCCTGGTATGACATCTGTATGAGAAGGATGCGAGGCAGGTCCCCGAAGAATACGCTGCGGATCGGGTGGCGCACGGAGTGGCGATATTGCTGCTCAATCAGCCCAAGCCCTTCGGGGTCTGCCACACCAGCACGTAGGCGGTCCAGCGTACGGTCGCGCATCTGCTCCAGTCGACTCAGCGGCATGTTCGGGTACATGTCTTCGTGAAAGTCGCGAATAATGTTTGCCAACGACACAGCGTCACGCTCAAAGGCGCCACGGCGGTCCTCGACGCCGGGGCGGACGTAGAAGAGCGACTCCCTCAGCTGCGCGATGGGGTCCAAGAGGTACGACTTCACGATTAGCTGTGCGAGGTGGTAGCGTCCACGCCCCAGTTCCATTAACTCAGCGGGGGTCTTCCGGTAAAGCCAAATAAACGGTGGGATCGTCGTCGCAGCTGCTATCACGATACGCTGCCAATGGCGTGCGGCAGGCGGGTTGTGCGCGCGCTGCACGAATACCTTCAGCCTCAGCACGAGATGACGGGACTGCTGCACACGTTGCAAGAGCGCCACTGCCCCGTCGCGGGCGGTGACCGGGCACCCACTGCCCCTGTCCTCCGCAGGTCGTCGCGCCTCATCGTATACACGCGGCGACGAGCCGGCTGGATAGACCTCCCCTGTCACGGAGGCGCTGAGCAGGCTCTCCGCGAACACTGGTACGCGGCCACCGGCGGTATGTGTCGTCGAGGCATTCCCAAGTGGACGCCCATCCGCGTGCATAAACTCGCCCGGCCACCCGAAAAAATCGTTCGACTCCAGCGCCTCGAGCTGCTGCCCGCTGGAGTGGAACATCGATCGCTGCTCTTTCAACATGGACCAGACAGCCTGGCGAAGCTCGTCGAGCACACAGAGCGCCGCCGCTGCCTCCACCTCCTCCGCTGCCGCCTCTCCCATCGCGGCGCCGTTCGCACGGTCCTGCTCACACGCGCCGTCGAAGACCGATCGATGTGCGTTGTGTGAGTCAACAGCCGCACCGGCACGACTGTCCACGCCGTCTCGTGGTTGCGGTGCGAGTGGAGATAAGTCGTCGTTCATCATCGACACCGGAGCGGGACTCCAAAATACGCTGTTTTGATTCGACAAGAAGTCTCGCCTGTTCGTGATGTACGCACTACGGTTGATGCTGCTGTTCAACTCAGGGATCACCGGCATGCTCACACCAACGGCTCCAATACTGGCCACGCAGGAGCGCGCTGCCGCGGCTGCTGCCGCTCTCGGTGGTGTCGTCATCTCGCAGTGGTGTTGGACTTGCAAAATGACGGAGTTCAGATGCTCCAGCGAGGTGTACGCCGCGCCAATGCAGCTGACGATGAGTCGAAAGGCGTTCTTCAGGGTGAACATGTGACCACTGGTCTCGTACTGCACCTCACTGAGCTGCGCACTGAGACCACGCTTCCACAGTCCCCGCCAGAAGCGTCGCGACGACAAGGCCTGGTGCAGCGAGGCCTGTCGGGGGTGTTCTTGGGCCCACGACCAGTACCAGGCACTCCACGCCACAAAGCCCTGCACGCCCGAGAGGTCGCGTAAGAAGTAAATGACCTGGCAGCGCACCCACACCAGCAGGTGCAGCCAGCCGACTAACTCGACTGCGTAGGCGTGTCGGTCCCACCGGGCCAACGTATTTGTGCCATGGGTGCCGCGAGAAGCAGCGGGGTGCTGCGTCGCCGTGGAATGAGGACAATTTCCACCTTTCCACGCTCCGTTGTGTCCTGTAAAGGAAAAGGAAGCATTGGCCCTGTGTGGCTCGTCCGTGGTGGTGATACTGTTGTGAGCGTGGGAAGCAGCAGCAGATTGGCCTCTGTGCGGCAGTGACGGCGCGGATGCGTCGCCATCCCGTTCACCGCTGCTTTCCACGCACGGCGGTGCTTCTGAACTTCCTGCTGTGGTTTCCGTTCTGATGGTGGGCGTTACTGCAGTAGATGCACCACTCTTGTGGGTCGGGCCCCGCTGAACATCATTGCGTGACCTGGCAGCGTCTCCGTCTTCGGCAGCAGAGGCGTTGGCGTGCGCGAGAGACCCACAAGGCGAGGCGACCCAGAAGTGGCTGTCCGCTGGAACTTCCGTGTGAGCACAGCTTCTCGCCGTATCATCCCCACTGCTGCCGTGCACGGCTCCGCTGTCACTGCGGCGACACCACGATTCCAAAAGGACCTCCGCGGTTGGAAGCGAGGAGGGCTGGGAGGATGCCGAATTTGTTCCGTCTGTGTCGCCGGCGGGTAGCTGACCATTACCCTTGCAACCACTACCACCACCCTTATCTTTCGGCGTTGCAGCTACCCCTGCCGTGTGCCCAGCGAACGCATCGGTGGTACGACGCAGGGAGGCGGAGTACACCCCACTCGCGCCGCCGTCCACGGGCATTGCACCGTCTCGCGTCGACGGCAACGACTCCTCCGCGGCGCCGGCGCCGGTCTCGTGAGTCGAAGAGCCAAGGGGTGTGTGTACAACAGACGCGTGAACGTTATCGACAGTGGCGGCGGCGATGGCGGAGGCGGTAGGTGCGAAAGCGGCCCGCACCCACTCCGGCACACCGGGCAACGACGGCGCTTTCTTCTCCGGCTGCGGCGCAGACGAATGACAAGCGAGAGCGGCAGCCGTTCCTGTGGTGTACTCGCGGCGGTAACTGCGTGCACCGACGCCCCCTCCGCCTTCCATTCGCCTTTCCTCTCGCGGCCGCACCGTTGGGGAGGAAGAAGGAGCGGACGGACTCGCACCGCGCCGCACCCACCCACGCACCCAGCGCCACAGCCGAATTCCCTTCGACTCCGACCGATGTTGATCGCTGACGGCGTCTCGGTGTACCAGCGGGGGCACGCAACACGCATCCTCGAGAAAGGAAACGGAGTGGGGCATCTCTCGCGCGGTGGGGCGAGACAGGCCACCACCGTTATCGTTGCCATCGATTTCTGTTACAAAGAGGGCATCCGAGGCTGGCGAGGGGGCGCACGGCACGCCACTCTCGACGTCCTTCTGGGAAGTCTGCGTGTGGGAGGACCGAACCCGTGCAAGCGAGGATGGCGAAATCACGGTGCGCTCCATCGCCGCCGCACCGAGCTCGCGAGTGGAGCAGTGGAGTACGGTGGCACCACCACCGTCGCCACAGGTCGTTGGCCCAACCTCTTCCAGTACGGTGTGCAGCAGCTTTTCCAGTTCGTCCAAGTTGCGCAGACGACTCGTGCCGAACTGCGCAATACGCGCCCCACTCGCCGCTCCGCGAGGCAGGTGCTCTGCAACGACGGGTGTGTGTGTCAGGCGGGCATAGGCCTTATTCGATTGCGTCTCCAAAGCACTGGCGAAGCTCTGACGGTAGAAGATGGGAGTGCGCACGTCCACATCGTAGTAAGGCATTTTTATGCAGTGAAACTAATACAGAAATATATTGCCGGGGAAGGAAAATGGCGCTTCTTTTTAAGGCGTATGTTGTCTCTCTCCTCCTCTTTCTCTCTCAGATAAATAATAGCTGCTACAATTTCGCTGGTGGGAGGCAAAAGCACATCGAGAAACGCAGAGACACCGAGAAGAACCTCTCTTTTATAATTCAATATTCAAAAGAGAAGGTGTAGAGTAGGTGTGAACAGATACACCAACTGACAGCTTATAACAATAAGAAAAGTATTTCCAGCAAAAACCTTTGTGGAACGCTAGGAAGAACAAAAAAACCTCCGCGGCAATCATCAGTAGTAGTTGAGCTAAGGTGGACGGGTAAACATCGATACTGCTGCTGCCGATTCGTTTATGGAGCACGCAAAAGAAAAAAAGGGTTGCTTACAGAAGTAGAGTTAAAAGAAATCGAGCTGTTAAGAACCTGCTACAATTGATTTCCACTTGTAATACTGTGTGGAAGTAGAGAAAACTCGGAAATGTCAGCCTGCGTAGTATGCTGGTCTAATGAGCAGTTGACCTGCAAGCACACAGCGACAATCTTCTGACGCTGCAACCTCCCTTCCTTACTGGGAGTACGTTGTGTATGGTTGAAGTTGTATAGTACCCATACGTGTCGGCACACACGTGCGATGCTTTGGCACGCAGGACGGAAGAGAAAAGTCGTGAGGAGTGTTCTTCTTCTTTTTTCTACTATTAAGCTTCCAATGAAGCTACGTCAAAGAACGCCAACTACGGCAAACTCATGCGCCAACTCAGACAAAAGGAAAAAGATTGCGTGTGGCTGTTCGTGTGTGCGGAAGGAGGAAGAACAGAGAAGACGGAAGAGCAAACAGGCATGGAACGGCAAATACGGCATTCTTCTTCTGCAAAACAAGACGCTGCAGGCGAAAATCCGCATCTCCGTTAAGAGCACAGCTGGTAGCCATTGACTGCATATATGTCTGTCATCTAAATAGATGGAAAAGAAGCAGTCGTGATCACTCGGCATTTCTGAGAGCTTGCCGCAGCTATCGCGGTCTTACCCCCACCCTCCTTCCCTCCCCATCACAGTGAGAAAGAATCGTGTTTGCGAGTACTTCGCATGACGCAACGCACAACACGTTGAGCGTAGAGCAAACGCATTCCTTCTCTTCTTTTCATTCTCCAGAGAGAAGAAATGCGTGTACTGGAAAGCGCGATATCAAATTGATTTCATTCCTTGTTCTTTTTCTTTTCTTTTGCTATTGTTGCTGTTTGCTTTGTGCTCTAATCCTTTAGTGTTCAGCCTTGCCGCGTGTCGGCACTTTTTGATACAGGTACCATTGAGGAACAGCTCGAGAGATGAACTCGAAAACGTTCGCCAAAATAAAACACAGCACGCGCGCTGACACTGGTGGTCGGTGCCCGTTGTTGATTGCGCTTGATCTTCTGTTTTTCTACACTAATACTCCCCTCAAAGAACCGGGGGGAGAACAGTCTGCCGAGAACAGTGAGGGGAAATACTATTGTACAGATAAGCGCCCGAGCACATTACACCTGATGGATGACAACTCGACGAAGATGAAAAAAAAAGGAAAAGAAAAGTAAAACATAAAAATTGGTTAGAATTTACGGAAAATAAGATATAGAAAAAGAGGATCAAACAACGTTTTATGTAATTCGCAGGCACAACACACATACATAAGAAATTTGATGGAGCCCCCAAAACCAAGAGCAGCGTCGCCGTTTGGTGCATCCACATACCAGTCAACTCAGCACCGCACGTAAAAACCAACGTGCAATAACCGCATATGCGCGTGTGTGCGTGTGAGTGTGCGTGTGTGCGCGCGCTTGCATCATCGGTTTCTCGATAACCGAAAAAAGAAAAAGCAAAAGAAGAGAAAAAATGAGAAAAGAAAAGAAGAGGCCTTTTCTTTTTTGTTTTTCTTCGAGCGTAACACAAGGTCCCTCTTGCAACGAGGCAGATTCTTGTCGAGTGACAAAGAGAGAGAGAGAGAGAGAAAGAAAATGTATGCTTCTTCCGTCACTTTTGATATTGCTTCATTTCTTCTCCGTCTTCAACACTAACATGATGCGATGCCCTCTTTTGGTCATCTTTCTTTCCTTTTGTTGTTGTTGTTCTCCCGTTCGTTTTTTGCCCCGCACGCTTAGGCACCCGGTAACACGAAAGGCGCGTGTGTCTACCGTCGTGCTCCAATTGAGAAAAACAAAAAGCGCGTCTCGCGTGTATAAAACAACAATAACAACAAAGTGTGGATACCTCTCATTATTTGAGAGGAAAGCGAGTCAGCAAACCAATAATTTTACGTTTTTTGGCGGGACGCGCTTTCCAGTTAAATTCTGCATCCACAGCGACACGGATTTTTGAATTTGGCAGGGAAAGGGAAAGCAACGTGCGGAGGTCGGGAAAGGAAGAACAACGTGATGAGATGGGGAGAAAGCATGCGCATGATCAGAGAAAAAAAAAGCCAACAAGAGCAAAAATAATCTTGCACGCAGCTTTCAGACAAGAAAAGAAGAAGAGGGTTCTGGCGAGATGACACCACTACCCCGCTCTCAGTTTGCTAACTCTTCTTTTCATGGGTGGAAGTGCATGGCTCGCACGCGTACATGCAAGCATCGCTCCGTGCCTGCACCTCGCGCGAGCTTTCCGCGACTCTAGCCGCAATTCTTGTAGTTAGAAGGAACGAAGAAGAAAATAAAAATACGCTGAATGCCGTAAAAATAAAAAAGAAAGAAGAGAAAAGCGTTAAAACAAAAAGCGCTAGCTCCCTTCCGAGGGACGGACAGACAAAAATCTGCACAAAGCATCACACACACACACACACATATATGCAAGTAAAAAGAGTCAAGAAGCAGTATTGAGACAAAAGTGGCGTGCAAGAAGAAAAAAAAAAAATCGGTCAGATGCCATTTCTTGCCTTCCAAATCGGGGAAAGAGGGAGAAAGAAATTTCCTATTTTCTCTAAGATAGAATAGACGCATAACAAATTCCACCTCAATATGCTATCGTACTAACTACATTAGGGCCCGTTTTTATTCACCTTACTTCGTGCTTCAAACCTGTACGTTTGTTTGTTTTTATGTTTTGTTGTTGTTGCAAACCTCTTGGTTTCATTTATTTTCCTTAGGCGCGAATAGGGGCGTACGTCATGGGCTTCACGTTGTCGGCGTGGAAGTGGGCACCCGTGCACTTCTTGATGTCATCCACGGTCAGACCCTCCGCCACCTCCTTCAGCACCAGCTGCTTGTCGATCACATCAAAGACAGCCTTCTCCGTCACGATGCGCGAGGTGCAGTTCAGGCCCGTCACCGGCAGCGAGCATTTATCCACGATCTTCGGCTCACCATTCTTGTTGCAGTGCGACATGGTCACCACCACACGAGTGCCGCTCGCGACGAGGTCCATGGCGCCGCCAGGACCCTTGATCAGCTTGCCGGGGATACCCCAGTTGGCCAGGTCACCGTTGGCGGCCACCTCGAGCGCACCGAGCATCGTGAGGTCCATGTGGGCACCGCGAATCATGGCGAAGGAGGTGGCACTGTCGAAGCATGCCGCACCCGGCAGGAAGGAGATGGTCTGCTTGCCGGCGTTAATCCAGTCGGCGTTGACGTTCTCCTCCGTTGGGAAGGGTCCCATACCCAGCAGGCCGTTCTCGGACTGCAGCGTCACCGAGACGCCGGCCGGGATGTAGTTGGCGGCCTCAGTGGGAATGCCAATGCCGAGGTTGACGTACATGCCGTCGGCGAACTCGAGAGCGGCGCGGCGGGCAATCCGCTGGCGGTCATCGTTCGGGTCCACGTTGCTCTTCTTCGCGCCGCTGCCGGACACGGTGCGCTTCTCAATCGGCACCTTGTAGGAGGCCTGCACCACGTGGTTCACGTACACGCCCGGCAGGTGCACTTCGTCAGGGTGGATCTCGCCGTTCTCGACGATGGTCTCCACCTCGGCAATGACGGTCTTACCGCACTGGGCGGCCGGGATATTAAAGTTGCGGGCCGTGCCACGGAAGACGAGGTTGCCGCTCTTGTCCGCCTTGAGCGCCTTCACCAACGCGTACTCGGGGCGCACCGTCGGCTCCAGCACGTACCAGCGCTCGCCGAACTTGCGGGTCTCCTTCGGCTCGGAGATCACGCACGGGTTGCCCTCCTTGTCGTAGCGCACAATCTGCCCACCGGTCTGGCGCTGCGTGCCGTAGGCGGTGGCGGTGTAGAAAGCTGGGATGCCGGCACCACCCGCGCGCATCCGCTCCGCCAGCGTGCCCTGCGGCACAAACTCGAGCTCCACATCCCCCTCGAGGTAGCGCTTCGTGAAGACCTTGTTCATGCCGACGTAGGAGCAGCACATGCGGCGCACCTGCTTCGTCTCGAGCAGGCGAGCAAGACCGAAGCCGTCGATACCCGCAGAGTCGGTGTAGAAGGTCACATCCTTCACGCCTTTCCTCACCATCGCCTGCACCACCGCATCGGGCACGCCAGGGCAGCCGAAGCCGCCAACGGCGACGTGGATGCCGTCGGTCATACCGGCCACGGACTCATCCAGCGAGCAGACCTTGTTGAGGCCGGACAGGCGGCAGAAGTTGCGACGAAACATGGTGGGTGTTCCTGTTATTGCTGCTTTTTGTTGTTGTTGTTTCTCTTCAGAGAAGTGCGAAAGACGATGGAAAACGAGAGAATGAGAGCCGTAGAGGTGATGGATACTTTCTCACTATGCGACGTATTAATAATAATTGTTTAAAAGCGTAAATGAGAAGTGTGGTGAAGAAGAAAGCAGAGGAAAGAAGGGCAGAAAGTGTGCGTCTGAGTGCGTGGTACTCAACGCGCAAAGGAATGCATCGTTCGTAGGCTGGCATGAGAAGAAGGTTACACCTTGAAATGCTCCTGCCTCTCCTCCTTTTTTTCTTTTTGGTTATGCACTGCGGCATGTCCGTTGGCGCAGCAATGACTCACCGATGGACCATTAGTTTTTCCCCTTTCGATTGTTTGCTTGTGTTGTGTCTTGTGAGCTAAGCAGGGAAAAAAAAGAATGGAAGAATTCCAGTCTCTCGAACGATCGTTCTCACGCACTGTACGAATAACACACCGCGCCAGTCGATGCCGCTTCACGCACCATCGGCTTACCGGCCAAAACACCCGCGAGCCGTCCCTGCGGTGAGTGTCGCGGCGAGTCCTCCGCACCCTCCGCGGTCATTCCACTGAGCGCTGTTGGAAAAAGAGCCGTTGAGCCTCGCCGGTCGTGGAGACCACGCCGCTGGAGGAGCTCGAGAGAAGCGAGCGGCGGACGCATGGCTTGCAACATTGCAGTCACTTTGTCCAACCCCTCCCCGACGACTCGTGTGATTCGCTCTTCCCACCGTAGCAGGCTTGCCTGCTGCAGCTCCACTTGTGTTGCCGCGTTCTCGCGCAGCACCTCCAGCAGATTCCCTACGTTGCGGAGTTCCTGCGCAGTAGTCATCATGCCCTCCAATAGCCGCAGCGCCGTGGATGAAGATCGTGTAGACGATGACGTGGTGCCGTGTGGGCGTGTGGGCGCCGTGTAGGTGGATAGAACAGCGGCCGGTGCCCCTCCCAGTGAGCGGACGTACGCGCGAACATACGGCGAGGGGACAGCAGCAGAGGTAGCGGCTGGTGAGCGTGCTGGCGACACGACGGCTCCAACTGGCAACACCGACGACGACGAGGTTCGCTGCGGTGGGGGGCGGATACCCGCCACCCATCGCGATCCGTCGGGCGAGTACCGCGTCACGAACGCGGACGGTGGCGGCGCGGTATACGTCTCGCCGTGCGCAGCACCGCTCACCTCCACGTGCGAACGATGCAGCAGTCCTTTCAGGTCCGCGTAAATACGCTGCTGCTTCTCCGAACGGGATGCGGCGGAGGGCGTCGGTGCACCCCGGCCGCTCGAGGCGACGCCTGCCTCAAGGCCGGAGGGCGTCCCGTTTGTGGAGGGAGCCTCTGCCGCAGCAGCGGCGTCGAGGGCATCCACGAAGCGGCCTCGTCGGGTCTCACCGAGCACCTCCTCCCCCACGCGCTCCACCTGCGCCTCGGCCAAAAGGACGGCCTTCCGTACCGATAGCAGCAGGGCGCCGTCGATATGCACGGTTTGTGCACGTGAACCAGAAACGGTAGCCGCGGTAGGCATTGCGGATCGGCGAGGGCTCTCCGTCTCATCCTCCCTCAGGCGCCTCCACCGGCTCTTCTCATCGGCGGGCTCCTGCTCCCTACTGCGCCACTGGTCATCGTTGGTCCGCATCGCCACGCCTTGCATATTATCCACCGCATCGCGTACGAGCTGGGCAATAGAATCACGCACGTCTTTCAGCGTCTCCGCTACCTCTGCGAGTGCCGTGGTTGTATAGCGAGCGTGGTGCAGGTCCTCTACGTCTCTTCGCAGCAGCGCGGTGTGACGCTGCTCCAGCAGTAACGCGCGTTGGGCATCCGCAAGAGCTGCTTGGAGCGTATAGGGGTCGGCTGCTGAAGTTGGTGAGGAGGTCTTCACGAAGTCCGCAGCGTTGACTTCGGCAGTACTGCTCATCTTTTTCGAAGCAGACAGCGTATTCGTGGCTAACGCAGCGACACCATCGTGCACGGTTGTCGAGACGTCGCGAAGGCTTGGCGTGGCATCGACGGCGACATCATGTCGTTGCCCTTGCGCCAGGGTCTCTTGCTGCTGCTCGGTGATTTGTGATTGAAGGTGCCGCAGCTCAGTGGAGAGCACGCGCTCCATCTCGGCCGCCCGGGCGTCAGCGGCTGCCCGCATTTCTCGAACGCTGCGGTTGCGATGATCCACAACGAAGTTCAACACGTTCTGCACTTCTTGCCGGCGCTGCGTCAGAAATGCACGGCACGCGGCAGATAGACTGTACGAGCGATTCGAATTATCGTTCAAGTGAGATGTAATGAGCGCTTCGTTGTCTTTAAAGGGAAGGACGCCATTTACGTCACCTTGGTTGATTGTCGCGGCTGCCAATTGCGGTGGAGAGCACAGTTGAGGAAGGTCGAGGTATTCCTTGGACAGCGCGGCGTCCACGGCAGCCGCCACGTCTTCTTCGCTCATGGCGGCATACAGCGTGCTCGCGACATCGCGTACAGGCTGTGTCGCTGCACTTTTGTGTGTGCTTGTCGTCAAATCTCTGCCATCGCCAACACTTGGCAACGCGTGTCCAGACGTCGACAAGGCGCTGACATCGCATGAATCCATGGGAGGGTTTCGCTGCTTTAGAACAACTGCAAGCTGTTCACACAGTATGCGAAATGCAAGCTGCGACACGACTGCGCGTTCTTCTGCGTTCTGCAAGCCTGCTCTCAGATGTTTAACTGCTAGGCTCTGCAGACGCGCAGACTGCGCAGCCTTTACGCTGTCCTCCGTCTTTAATTTCAGGGAGGCACACTGCTGTGCTGCGTCAGCCTGTGCATGTCTTGCTTCAAGTAGCTGCTGTTTTCCGTTCAAGTACTCCTCCATGAGAGCACGCAACTCCTCGTGTACCTCGGCCAGCTGTAAACGAAGTGTCTGCACCTCGTTGTTCGAGTTCCCCAGTTGGGCTCGCAGGGCGTCGACTACGTCTTGCGTTTCTCGAAGTTGCGCATCGTGTGCCATCTGCGGCTGCGACAGCGTCTTCTGCTGCTCTGCCTCCCACCTCCGCTTCTCCGCGGCGTGTCGCTGCTCGGCTTCAGCGAAAGCCACCTCATGCAGCTGACTACGTCGCTCCAGCTCGGACTGAATGCGCAGTAACGCATCCAGTTGCAGCTGCACGTCTTCCTTTTCATGATGGGCCGCCTCACAGAGTGCCTGTTGCAGCGCCGCTGCTCGCTCAGCCTGGTTGAGCTGCAAACGTAGTCGTTGCAGTGCACCTTTGGTTGCCGGTGAGAGCTCCTCCGCCGTGTTCGTGCCGCCGCGTGGTGTATCGGGCAGTTGATCCGGTAGTGGTGACGGTGGTGAGAGGGCAATTTGCTGGCTTGGTGCCGTGACAGAGGGCTGCCGTGGCTCGGCTGATGGGGAAGACAGCGTTGACGAAGTGAGCAAAGGAACAACAGGCGGCTGCGGAGGGGAGATGAGGGATGCACTTCTCCATGCACCGGTATTCGATACACTTCGAGAAGGCACGGCTTCGTTCGTCTTGCGAGAACGAGAAGCGGAGGCGCGCGCTCCTGCCTGGTAGGGCTCTGTCATGTCTTCCTTGCTGTTGTCTTCTAATGTATCGTTCGTTGCGCAGCAAGTTCCGCGGCCTTGCTCCTCGTCTCTTCTCTCCGCCGAGGCGCGTGTCGGACCGTCCACGGTGTCCGCACGTCCTGGCGAAATCCAGGCTTGGTTGTCAGGGGAATCATCCGCCATGGCCGGTGACACGAGAACAGCGGGACGATGCGACCGTGAAGCAGCGGTCGCCCTGTCCGCATATGCTTCCACCTGCTGCGTCGCTTGGGCGTTGGGCTCGTCCCGTAGTGCGGCAGGAAGGGGAACTTCGATGAGAGGCGTCGAGCCCGACGAGGACGGCGTTGCGTTTTCTTCTTCGCTGTCTGACGTGTCGTTCATCCCTGACAGCAAGGAAGAGTCTCTGAGCGCAGCTTGCCTCGCCCGCGGTGACGTGGCTGGCGGATGCGATGGGTCAAAGACCGCCTCAGGGCTGCTGGAGGCAGAAGACCCAGAGCTGCTGCGCTGCGACACGTCCTTCACCGGAAGCGGTGAGGTGTGCGCTTTCACGGCGCAATCGTCTCCTTCTTCTTCCATGCAAATCGTGTCGAACGCGGGCTCAGCATGCATCACGTTTCCCTCAGCTGTACACACTGCGTTGCCGTAGTTTTCCAGAAGTCTGTCTTCCTCACCGACGTCTGCTTCTCCTTCCTCCACCAAGGTTTCTTGCAGCATCCACTGCGGAGGCGGCAGCTGGTCAGAGGTGTTTTTGCTCTCCCACTGATGCAGAGCGTCTTCACCTACGCAGAACGGATGAAGCTGCAGTGTGGCCGGTGGAGAGGGCAGCGTGTCATCTCCCGTCTGGTACGGCGCTCGCCCAGGGATGTGACGCAGTGCATTCTCATCCTCATCCTCTGCCATTGTATCCGAAGCTAGCGAGCTCTGTGTCAGTGTGTCTCGCAAATCACAAAACGTTGGCGTTTGCGTGTCCATTGCTCGATGGTTTGTAGAATACTTCTGTGAGCCCTTCATAAAGTACAAGCAGTTGCGTGCACAATAAAAAGAAGGCCCGTTCCACCCCGTTGCGGCGGCGAGAGGAAAGACGCGTCGTGTGAGGTGTGCGGCGCCTCTGACTTCAACGACATGCACCTAATCTGAAATAAAAAACGGGAATTATACGTCAAAGTCAAAGGTGTTTTGCGTGTCAGCCTGATCCATCAACACACACGCACACCAATGTGTATGTAAACCGCTGCTTCTCTATGTGTATAACTCCAATGATGTAAGATATGTTCTCTTCTTTTTTTTTTAAGTTTCGACACGCACCCCAAATCAACGGTAATTCTTGTTGGGTTTCTTCTTGTATTAGGACCTCTTTTCTATGTTTGCGGCTATGACGCGATAGCCTTACTTCGTTTTTAAACGTCCACTGCAAAACTCGGCAGGTGCGCCACCTTCCAGTGGTAAAGCAGCACGGTGCAGGGGAGGGGGGGAGAAGAGCAACAAGTACAAGAGGGAGGAATAGTACCAGCGGCAGCGTGTTGGACAGCAAACGTACGAGGACTCCTTTGGTGAAAAAAGTGACCCTACGACTTATCAGCAGTATTGCTTTTAACGCGCATTCCTCAACGCAGCTCCTTTGCTTTACACGCCACTGCAGCCAGAAACTGACATACACATCTTTGCTGATTCTGGAGCACATCCTCATAGGACACTCGAACCACTCTGCCATCGGGATGGCTTCGTTTCTGTGAACCTCTCTCTCTCTCGCTGTCGCCGTAGAAATGTCAACCTTCCCCTTCAATTCTGTGCCTTTGTGTTGATCGTGTCTATGAAGCTATGGAGAACAGATGCCTTCGAAATGGCCAAGAACGAAGGGCAACGCTCTCGACATTACGTTACAAACAATAAGGAAGAAAAAAGACGCGCGCTTAAGATGGAGAGAGACAGATAGAGTAGCGCTCGCACGCTACGTGCCCGCTCAGTCGCGCGCCTCTACAAAACCGTCCGCAGCACCGCCATCTTCGCCGCTCGCGTCTCCCTCGCCGTCTGCCTCCTCCTCCGCCTCCGCCGTCGCCTCCGCTTTCTTGCGGAACTCGTGATTCGAAATGGTCGCCTTCACCGACAGCAGCAGCATGCGCTCTACCAGGTAGGTGGTGTTCTCGCGGCCGTGCACCTGCGCCACGTTGCGCTCCACGTAGACCTGACGCGGCGCGGTGCTGAAGTGCTCGTCGCGCATGCACTGCTGAAAGCGGAACATCGGCGGCAGCGGCTCCATCCCGGCGCTGGTGCCGCCGGCGAAGGTCAGCACGACGGCGTACTCGGCCTTGTCCTCGACCGGCGTCGCGGCATCCATCACGGTCGCGCTGGTCGTGGTTGAAGGGGTGGCCGCCGCAGAACCGAGGGAGCCCGCGCCTCCCCCGTTCACGCTGGCAATGTCGCCGCCCGCCGACCCAGCGGCGCCATTCGCGTTGGAGGGGGGGAGCGAGCTTCGCTTGGGGCAGGGCGCAGGACAGCACCAAGGGGCGCAGCGTCGTCAGCGCCTGCCGGTCACGCCGGCGGCTCATCGTCAGCGTATAGAAGAGTCTCTCCGCCAGCACGGAGAGGCGTCGCGGTGTGCAGAAGCCCTCCAAGGTAGGTGAGGTCTTGGACGGGTCGGTGGGAAGGGCGTAGTGCAGACCGGTGCTGCTCTGCACATTGCCGGGCTGCATCATCGAGCTGGTGGCATCCGCCACGGCTTGCTGCAGGGACAACGCCTCCGCCAGGGCTTCGTGGAAAGGCTTTTCATTGGGGTCCATGTCTAGTAGCGCGTGAGCGCGCCAGAACTGTCCACGCCCGAACTCCACCAATTGGCGCTGGGCAACCGCCGCAACGTCCTCCGCAGAGAAACTGCCGGTGCTGCTATCGCGCGGTTTCTCCACCACGTAGACGGAGGCGGGCGGGACCGCCGCCAGCACCGCCGTGAACAGCTTACACACGTCAAATGCCGACACCTCCGTGCTGTAGCCGACCTTACGCGAGATGCAGCGGATTTTGTTGCGGTACGACGTGGCGTTGCCCCGCGCGTTGACCCAGTTTTGCAGCTCCGTCTGCACACGTCGCAGTGCCTCGCTGCCCACGTCGGCCGGCACCTCGCGCCACGGCCGCCGGGCCATGGCCATCGAGACCCCGCAGCGGCTCGCGAGCAGCTGACTAAGCCGCGGACGGCCGTCCTCGACGTGGTGCAGATCCAGCGCACTCGCCACCTGCGCATCGTACCAGATGGCGTCCCACAGGGAGGAGTGCCGCAGCAGGTACAGCTGCTCCTCTTCGCGGTTGTTGAGCTGCATGCTGTTGGTGGTGGCCTGGCGGACTTGGTTCACGGCCTCGTCGGTGCGATCACGCAGCACACCACGGCGGACGCTCTGCTGCAACGACACCGCCTCCTGCAGCGGGGCCATCTCCACGAGGTAGCTGCCGTAGTCAATCAACCGACGGAGGTACAAGTCGCACACCCCGACGGCGGCGTGCCAGAGAATGGAGTCGTTGAAGCGATGCAGAATGACGGAGAGATCGTACATCTCTACCGCACTGCTGCGACCTGCGCAGGCGCAGGCATAGTAGAGCGTCTGCAGATGTGGCGGTACCTCGCCGTCCTCGGCGCGCCAATCAATGCGGTCTTGGCTCTGCGACGGTGTTGCGTCGTCGCCGTCGCCGTCGAAGAGTTCGGCCTCTGCATCCTCGTCGTCACTGCTGCTGGAATTGCTGCTGCTGTCTGACAGTTCCGACTCCTCGTCGTACTCCTCGTTCCTGTCGTGGCCCACGTCAGAGTCGACGCCGTCGTTGCTGTCTTCCTCCTCCTCCCCTCCATCGACGTCATCAGCAACGCGGGCAGCTTCTCTGCGCGGTCGACGATGAGGACGAGGAGGAGAACGCGGGTGTTGCCGACGGCTCTCTCGTGCGGCCTTCATGGCGTGCCGGCGACGGTGACGACGTCGCCGCTGCGCCTCCGCTGCGCGCTGCGTGCGGAAGAAGGTGTCGACCTCTTCCTGGATGCGCTCGCTGCCCCACACGATAAGCCGCTCGCCATCCTCGCGGCGGAGATTGTCCAGGTGAAAAGGCCGGTAGGCGTCGACGACGATGACAACATGGCGGGAGAAGTCGAAGTACTCCCCGAGCGCTACTGGTGCACCGAGGCCAACGAGGATGAAGAGGTCATCCACCAAGGGGCTGTCCTCGTCTTCGCGTTCGCTTTCCTGGGCAAAGTTGGTCTGCCCGATGAACCGCCGGACGTCGTCGTAGGAGCCGGTGGGGTGCAGCTTGAAGGGGAAGAGAAACACCTTCAGCAGGTAGGTGAGGCTGAGAGAGGCGGCGGCGGCATCGGCTGTAGGCGCAACGAGAACGTTGACGGCCTTGAGTGTGGAGAAGTAGTAGGTGGAGATGCGCTCCCACGGCTCCGGCGCACCCGTGCGCTCGCTCATCGTCCAGAAAGTGGAGATCTACACTTTCGTGGTATCAACAGATGAATTCTCTATCTACCCTACCGTGATGATCTATGTATGAGAGTTGTGGATCTTAGCGCGAACCTGACGAGCGGTTCTAAAAGCGAGAGTGACAGTTGCTATTTTTCCGTTTGTGCGTGTGTGTGTATGACACTGCTCGCGCCCAAGCTTGAGAAGGACGTGAAAGACCGCAGAGAGTGCTCTTCTACGGAAAGCAAGTGCGATGGGGAGGGGGGGGATCTATGATTACTCAGAAGCGATGGCGGAATGTCTGCTACGCAAAAATACGAAGAAAAAAAGGAGTTGAAAAGCGGAAGAGGAGGGGGGGGACTATAGTGAACAACGAGAGTAAACAATACTAGGCGACAGGCAACTCTTTTCTTCGAAGCTGTGATCTTTGAGAAAACAAGAAAGAAACGGGGCTATGAAGTCCTGTAAGATCTCAAGAAAAAAAAGGACGGCAGAGGCGGCAGCGTCAAGTGTTCCTGTATAGCTCTCCTTTCGCTGTTTCTTCAGTTTTTTTTTGTTGTTGTTGTTGTTGCTGAGTCACAGCAGCTTTTGCATGTTCTCATCCATACATATATGTTTGTTTCGAAGTTCCATGCGTCCGATGCGTACCGCCCTGTGATGCCGTCATCAATGCCCGTATGGAAAGCACAGCAGGATCGTTTCCTGGATGAGGATGCGATCTAGCGGCTGCACCGCCTCGTCTAGCTTCGCACAACTCTCCTCGACTGCCGCCACCACGATCGCCTGTGGTAACTCAAAAACGCCATCATTGCTTGCGGAAGACTGCGCGGTGGAGCCGGCACTTGGCATCGCAGAAGCCAACGTCTCGTGGTAGTGCCTCCACGCCTTGTTCACCACATCCTGACGTCGGACGTGCCAGCGCCGCATCACACGAAAGAGTCGCGGCGGCACCACAACGTTCAATAGCGTGTCTCCGGTGGTTTTGGCCATGCGGAAGGCGTCGCTCATCGTATTGTCCATGGTGGTCCACGCGTCACGCGGCGTCTCTGCATCGACGTCGGCAGGGCGCCGCTCCATAGCAGAGATGAAGAATATGATGTCTTCAGTCTCCCAGTGCATGGGGTCGGTGAGAGGAATTTGTGCGTCGCCGTGCGGAGCGCCAAGGGCGCGCAGGACCTGGTGCACGACGGAGGTGGGGATGGTGGAGCTCGGCGTGGCGGTTGATTGAGACGGTCGTGCTACGGAAGTGGGAGAACTACCAGTTTGGGTTGCGAACGGGGGAACCGATGCAGTAGCAGGCATGTCGTCTATTTCTTTAGCGTTGTGCTTCTCAAGAACACTATCCTCGTTTCCTAACTCAAACGCGGATGCTGTTTCATTCTCCACCGCGCCAGCAGCTGGAGATCCTCTCCGAGTATCGGCGTCAAACATAAAGTTGGGCAGTGGAACCGTCTCCTCGACCTCCGCTGCCTCAATGGTGTCCAGCGCCTCTCGCTCGATGTTGCGCTGCGCCATGCGATCGCGGCCGTCCACACCCTCAACGGCAGAAAAAGCGCTCTCCATCGAAGCTGCAGAGTACAGCTCCGCTCCCGCACCTGCGCCATCGATCGTCTCGCTTACCGTGTTCTCTGAGAATCCCTCCCCGGCACCCAACTCATGCTCAACAAACGCTTCGTAGCTCATGTAATTGCGCTCCAGCAAACGACGTTTCGCCTTCAACTCCGCCTCATGCAGCTCCTCTGCGGAAGGGTAGCGCTTTGGAGCGGTAGTCGCAGTTGTTCCTGCTGTTCCTTCTGCATCGCCCTCAGTCTCCGCCGCGGATGACGGCAGTTGGTGCGGTTGGACAGCCTGTTCCTCCTTCATCTTCTTCACCGAGAGGCGGCCTACAGTGGTGAAGCGAGCCCATTCCGGACCGAAGTGCGCGTGACGCACCGACGCGCTCTGCGTCGCGTTGACGAAGCCCTCCTGGTCGGCGTCTTTCCAGGCGGAGAAGAGACCGTCGCTGGGGTCCTCCCAGCTGCTCTTCTCGCCAAAGGGGTCGTCAGGGGACAGTGAACGAGATTTGATCGAGGCGCGGCTGCACTGCAGCGACGGCGGCAGCGTAGAAGTGAGCAAAAAGAAGCAGCTTGCGTGTGCGCTACGATAACAACGAATAACTCCGGAGTTGGTTGAGGCATTGTGAGATGCAGAAAGCGCTGCTAGGCGGGAAGCGCCTACTGTGAAAGGAGTCGCACTGCGCTGCGACACCGACGGGGTCACCGCCCGCTGACACGCTCGTGTGGGGCGCATGTACTCAGATGTGAAGTGACCTGAGAGCGAACACATGAATAAAACAGCGAAGAAAAAAATACAAAGAGATGGAGAACAAAAGAAAACAAAGAACCTCATTCTTAGCTTTTTTTACATGCCGACGTTCTACGCTCTGCGCAAAACCAGGAAAAGAAGCCAAAAGTGCTAGGGAGGAGCGTCTTTGAGAGGCGAGGTCAAACGCTGTACGCTGCAACCCCTCTCCACCTCTCTCATTAGAGCCGATTTCGTTTTTACAGCAAAGAGCCGAATCTCCCTGTGACGTCTTCTTCAGCTTCTTCTTCTTTTTTCAGTCTCGCTTTGCCTCACAAATGTTTCTCACCGATTCATTTACGCTGTCCGCTACGCGAAAAGAATAAAAGCTCTGCAGCCGTTTTGCCTTCTCTTGTTTCCAAATCGAGATGCGATTTCGCGGAAATGAAAGGTTAGACAAATCAATCCGTTAAACTATTATTTTTAAGACGCAATTTGATGATAGTAATGTCTTCAACACCAAACTTTTAGCTATGTGAGGTTTTTTGAATGTCACTGTTGTCAGCTTGCCCTTCCCTTCTCTCCAATTGTGTTTTGTAGCTCTACGTATCCGTCGGTTGACGCGGCCGCTCTTCCAGTCGTTGAAGCTCGGGAGAAACAGAGAACCACTGCAAAGAAAGGCGGAAGCAAAGGTGTCCGAGAAACAGCTTAAGCAATAATGTTTTTGTTCTGTTTTGTTTTCAGCTTTCCTTGCCTCTCATGAATTTCCCTCTCCAGTAAGGTCAGCAGCAGCACAACGGCAGGAGAGCAAAATCTGAGAAAGGACACAGTCTGCTTCACATATAAAGAAACAAGAAAAAAGAGGAACAAGACAATGACAACAAGATAATGATGAAAAAGAAGAGGAGAACAAACGGCAGCAAGGACGTATATGTATCAGCAACGAGGGAAACAGCGGGCGCGCAACGACGGGAGAGAGAAACTCCAAAAATCCCTCACCGTTACACATCGATTCCACACAGGTTGTCACCGTGCGTGCAATGAGTTGATCACACCCACACACATGAAGAAGCCAAGAGCCAAAGCGATTTCTTTCATCTTCTCTCCTCTTCTATCGATGAAGCGCGCAACTCCCTGTTCAGTGTGCGTCTGTGGGTGCATTCTCTTCCACTTTTAATGGCTGTGCTTCCCGCCGTCCGAGCCCTCGTAGCCGATGGGGTGGCAGCTGTGGAACTTCCACGCGGACTCGATAATTTTATCGATGGAGTCGTACTCTAGCGTCCAGCCCAGCGCGGCAGCCGCCTCCTCCCCGCAGGCGACGAGCACCGGCGGATCGCCCTCGCGGCGCTGCTCCTCCTTCGCCGGAATAGGATGGCCGGTCACGCGACGCGCCGCCTCGATCACCTCGCGCACGGAGTAGCCCTTCGCGGTGCCGAGGTTGAAGGTGCTGAAGAACTTGTCCTTGTCGGCGGGCGTCAGCTTCGCCAGGTAGTCGAGCGCCTTCACGTGCGCCGACGATAGGTCCTTGACGTGCACGTAGTCGCGAATGCAGGTGCCATCTGGCGTGGGGTAGTCGGTGCCGAAAATGGAGATGAAATCACGCACCTTCGCGCGCTCCGGGTGGTGGGCGGCGTTGTACGCGTTGATCTTGTCCGCCAGCGGCACGCGCAGAATCAGCGGGATCAAGTGCGACTCCGGCTCGTGCGTCTCGCCGATGTCGCCCTCCGCGTCCGCCCCGCAGGCGTTGAAGTAGCGTAGACACACGCTCTTAATACCGTAGGCCACCGCACAGTCCTGCAGCATGTACTCGTCCACCAGCTTCGTCGTGCCGTAGGGACTCTCCGGCAGGCGCTTCGCATTGGGGTGGATCGGCAGCATCGGATCCGGCTCGTCCGTCGCCCCCGCCTTGATGCGCGCGTACGGGTTGCCGAAGAGGGCAGCCGTGCTGGACAGGATGAGCTTGTCACACTTGAACTTGTGCATTGTCTGCAGGATGCGCAGCATGCCAATGACGTTGTTGTCGTAGTACCGCAGCGGGTCGTGCACGCTCTCGCCGACCATGATGTACGCACACATGTGCACCACCGCGTCGATCGGGGCGTGGGCCGTGAAGACGTGCTCGAGAAAGCCCACGTCGCGCACATCCCCCACCTCCAGCGTCGCGAAACGGCGCCCGCCCTTCCTCGCGTCGTCGAGGTTCGCCCCTGGGTTCTTGAGAAGATAGTTCTTCGCCGTGTCCACGTGGGTGTCGGAGCCGTGCGCCGCCTCGAGGCTATCGGCGATCACGACTTCGTGGCGAGAGTGGCGCAGCAGCTCGCGCACAAAGTGGGTGCCGATGTATCCCGCGCCTCCGCAGACTAGAACCTTCATGATGATGATGAAGAAGAAGAGCAAAAGAGAGGAAGAGAACTAAAGAGGTGAGATGCGATAACAAACACAGAAGACGGAGGAATGCTAACCTTTAGAGAACGATGTTCCGTTTTGGTTGTTGTATTGTTTTGAAAGCGACGCAGACGTATGACGGAGGGAGTGGAGTGGAGAAACGAAAGAAAAGGAAAGAGAAGGGGAGGTGCAGAGAATGGAGAAGAAACGCAGTGCTATCATTTGTACTTTCTCTCTACGGTTGTCATGAAGGAAACTCAACGCTCGAGCACATTTGTGAGGGGCTTTTATTTCGTTTAGATAACGTATCGAAACAGGAAATTGCAATTGAATAATATAGAGAGTCGACTAATTGTAGCACTAGCTAAGTAGCTGCCACCATCTGACAGGCCAGCTTTCGCGCATATAGTGCTGAAACCACATCCGTTAACCCTCCCTTTATTGGTACCTCGCGGTCTATTTTGGCTTCTGAGTTTCATTCCATTCAAGAGTGACACATTAGTAGGGCACATCGTACTGGCACCGTGTCCTCTTTTCCAGGTTCTGGTCTTTTTCAATTTCAAAAGAGGGGCATTGCTTTTCTTTGCCACGCACGCGACTGCTTCATGGACAAACGAGAGGAAAGTGTGGGCAAACCAAAATAAAACCCAAGAAAAAAACGCACATGGATTAAAGCTACGTCCGGCAGAAGTGGCGCGGAAGAGCCTCAAAACTCGGACGGAAACACATCGAAGAGGTAGGAATTCGCATAGTGGGGCATCGCGCCTCCCGCGCGTGCTTTCCCCACCTCACTCGCCGTGGCAGTCGCGGCAGTACCACCCGCGCCGTCCACGCCATTTGTTGTCGGCGTTCCCGCTGTCACCTCCCGGGCGACCGCACCGCCGTCGTTGAACAGAATCTGAAAAGGCAGATGCCGCCCAGCGCTCGCCATGTACGCCGGTGCGGCGTCATCCTGCACCTCCGCGCTCTCCTTCTCCTTTGCGCGACTCACGAGTTCACTCGCGCGAGATTTGGCGGTGGCCACGCATGCGTCACTGCTGCTGATACGCGCCATCAGCGCGTCCCGCGTGCGCGCGGCTCCGACATAGGAGCTGTCAACAAGTCGCAGAGGCACTACCCCCACGTCTTGCCCGGCAAACACTTCCAACGCAGCGTTCAGATACGTGCAGCCCTCTCCGTTGAAGGGCCCGAACGAGATAACGGCGGATGGCCTCTCGCCGAGCCCAGCGACATCGTCTTTACCGCTCCCGCGGTCCACGTTGTGGTACTTGACGCCACAGCACCGAATCAACGCGACACACGCCGCTGACCTCGTTTCTGCTTCATTGCCCCCCTTACAGTGCCACGCATCACCGAGAACGCCAGTGCTGGGGGTGCGCCAGACACGCGGCTGGCCCAGCCCCGGGGAGCGTCGCACCGCCCACACCGCGTTGCGCTGCGCATCGGTGAAGGTGTCAGCGCAGAGGAGAACACGATACTGACGTGTGCCGTCGTCGAAGCAGCTGAATTGGTCCATCGCTGCACGAACAAATTCGGCCAGGCAGTTTGGCTCAAATCCGGCCACGTGGATACTCCAGACGTCGCCGCTGAAGCCTCCCGGACGCGGCACGCCACGGTGGGAAGAAGCTTCAGCCCCCACATCTTTTATGAACTGCGCCACCGTGGCCGCGCAGGACCACCCGCTGCCCTTTTGCACGAGTTCCTCCTGCGTGTCTCCGGCGGGTTCCGCAACGCGCCACGTCAGCGGCGTCGACGCAGCCCAACGCTCCACCACCCGCTCGTGCAGCTCTCGCGCGTGCCGCCACAGCTTGCACTCGGTCTTGTGTGTGCCCTGCCTCCAGTCCAGCTCCTGGTGCCGTTTGCAGCAGTACGTGACGGCCTTGCAGCTGCCGCAGCGCAGGAGCACCTCGCGTCGACGGCTGCACCATCCACACTTCTTCGGCGGCACCAATGACAGATCAACCGGGGGCACCCTGAGTGTGTAGCCGGGTCGGGGCGGAACAGCCGACGGCGGAGCCGCCACAGCAGAAGAGGAGGGCGTCACCGTAGCCGGCGAGTCCGCTTCGTTGTTGATCTCCTCCGCGTGCGCAGCCAAAAATTGGAGCGCCGCTGCGGCCGCCTTCACCATCTCCGTGGTAGGCGGCAGCACCTCCACCCCCGCCTGCGCCGTCGCGATTGGGTTTGCCTTCTCCGCCTTGCCGGTGGGACGTCGGTACAACACACGCGGCACCACCACGCCACAGCACGAGCCCGCACACCGCGACGCGGGCGCCGAGTGGAGGACGGGGGCGTCGTCCGCGACGCCCCGGAAGTACGTCTCTAAGTCGCAGAACGGAGTCCCTTCCACCGGCGACAGCTGCACCAACACCTCACCGTCATCCGGCAGGGTGTCGGAGTACAAAAATTGAATGTTCGCGCGGTTGCCCAGCTGCTCCAGCGTGTACAGCACATCGCCGCGGTCCTGCAGCAGGTGCAGCTCAGCTCCAATGGGCTGGGGAGTGAGCGGACCAGGGTCACGGTTGTCGACGTCGACGTGCCGCTTTTCAACAATCGGGCGCTGCAACAAGATGACGTGCTGGAAAGCGCGCGTGGAGGAGGCAGGACAGTCCGGTAGGGTGAAGGTGGTGTATTCGCCGATTTTCCCCTTCCACTGGGCAACGCCGGCGTCCCTCTCCGCGCGCAGCCTGGCGAGGCCGGTCACCGACGCGGGGTCCACCAGTGGCGCGCCACGGGCCGCCTTGACGTGGTCGGCCTCCACAAACAAGGACGTGTAGAGACACGGGGGGAGCATCGCCACGATCGGGTGCAGCAGATTCTTGCCCTCGTCCGGTAAGGAAGGCACCGACGCGTCTCCCGTGAGGGAGCGCACGGCGGTGCTGCTGGCGGTGGACAACATCCACTGCGCTGCAGCGCGCACCACCTCCTCCACGAAGGAATGCACACCAGCGTCCGCTGCCACATGCCGTATTGGGTGCAACGACGTGAAGGCGTTGTCGCGCGTTAAATCGATCGTCTTGACGCAATGTCCATCGTGCACGTAGTGAGCGCTGGTGACGACAGAGACGAAATCTTGCTTCTCCTCTCCCACGACGGAGCCGTGCCGCGGCTTCCAAAATCGGATCAGCGCCTCTGCCACCGCCGGCGCCACCGTGTCTTCGAACACCGGCTCTGACATCAGCCCCATTCGACAATACGCCTGCCCATACACCACGCTGAACCACTCCAGCGAAGCCGAAGGGTGTAGAAAAGCAGGGATCGTGCGCAGCAGCGTGCGCAGCGCCCCAACGCCCCCGCCGCCACTCGTCACGCCTTCCCTCACGCCACCGCTGCCGCAGTCGTTGATGCCCTCACACTCATACGTCTCGTGCGGAATGGCACCATTGGGCAGCACCGTGTAGCACAGGAGGTGCCACGCCGCGTTGTCCATCTGATGCAGCGACGCCGCATGCGAGCTCGCCGCCTGCGGGCTTTCCTCCCATTGCTTCTTGGCGGCAGAAACAGAAGAAGAAGAGATGCCGGCCGACGCCCTTCTCTCGGGAGCGGCAAAAACGAGAAAGTAGAGCGGTGCGGTTGTGCGGTTTGCAACGTCGTCGTGCAGCCACCGCTGCGGGTAGTACGCAACGAAGCGCCAGTGCTTGTACGTCGTGCCGATGGAGCTCAACACTTCCGCCAGCTCCGGCACCTCGGTGCACGGCGTGCCTCCGCGGAGAAACGACTCGGCAAGTGACATGTTGCAGAATGCATGGGCGAAATGGTATGCTCCGCTATTTTGACGTAGGAGTTTTTACCTGCTTGGGTTGTTGACGAAAGCGGACACCTGAATGCAGCTTTTCTTCCGCAGTCTCAACAACAAAACCAACAAACTATCAAGTTATGCGGGTGTGTGAAATGGAGCTGTCGCGGAATGCGCAAATGTTGTGTGAAGCGCTGGCCGCCGTGTATAACTTGCGCGTCCTGATGCCGCGAAAGAAGAACAGATAAAAAAGAATTGTGTATATGAAATGAAAATCGAAGTACATGAAAAAAAAAGGATTCGAATGATAGAAATGAATATTGCTTGACAACTACCGTGAAGTTCGGAACGTAAATGTACTGAAATAGCTTGAGAGGGTGCGTGCTTTTGTGGTGGTGGTGTGTGTGGGTGGGTGGGTGGTTAAGACTACGTGTAGGTGTAGTTGTGCTTTCTTCATGTGCACATCGAGTGAGAGGGAGAAAAGAGCGGTAGAGGAACGTATCCATAATGACAAAGAGGCGAGAAGTCGTGGAGAACGAAAATGAGAGGATTTGCAACGCCTCTGTTGAGAGCAGCACCTGCGCAAAGGTGGCGCCATCAGAGGCAGCAATAAACACCATCTCCTTCCCTTCTTTCACGCCTTGCGGTCGTTTTCGCTAACTGTTAAAACAAAGTGAAAAGGACGCTTCTCGTCCCCCCATGCCCGCCAACGAATAACCTCCGACGAGAAAAACACAGAAAGTCCTTCTGCTATAACGATAGATGACAGAACGCTCCGTTCTGCTTCCGTCCGTCGGGGAGAACCCCGACGCCTCATCGTGCCTCATCGGCACGAAAGCGGGTACGCGAGCTTGCCCCGTTGCGGCTGTTGGTTTCGCACTGTGTGTGGTTTTTTTTTTTTGATGGTGCTGTCGCCCCGACGTATTTTTTGCTGCTGTTATGTCACACCAGTTAGAATATTTTGAGTTGGTCGATAAAACAAACTTAAAACCAGAAGAAAAGAAAGGAATCATGTACATCCTGCAAAGAAGGCGGATAATCCGCACACTTCAGCAAGGACCCTCAAAAGAAGAACAGCGATGAAAAATAAAAAGCACACCCTCCCAAGTCTTCGTACACGTAGGCAGTTTTTAACGAAGAAAAAGAAAAGGAGAAGATAAGATCAAGACAAATACAACGAAATGTACTCTAACAGGAAAAAGTGCGATGAAACAATCTAGAACTGTTATTTTTGAAGTGAGAGCTGCTATGGAGCGCAGCGGAAACAAAGCCCAAGCCAAAAAAAAATGGTGTTCTTACTACTAACTTGGAAAGCGAACCACAGAAAAGCCTTTATGAAAATGCATCAAGCCACGCAAGCACCGGCTACTCAAGCGCAGGAAGAAATACAAAATAATAATAACTTCAATTCTTCATCAGCCCTAACGCACACGCTAAGCACACACTCGTCGCGGTGGCCACACCATCGCGCGGTCAAACACGCCACGCAGCAAAAGAAGAAAGGAAGACAGGCTCCTTACATCACCGCACAAACTGGGCACCGCGTTCGCCGCTCCTTCTTCTCTTGTCCGTTGAGAAGCCCCGTCTTCTCCGTAGCCGCAGCACGGCGGTGCACGTCCGTGTCCACCGCTGCGCGCATCCGTACGGCTTCCGCCTTTTCCGCCTCCGCCGCCGCCAGCGACTTCTTCAGCCGCGCCACCTCCTCCGACAGCTCCTCAACCTTCTTACGCTGCCCGTTGATCTGCACCGTGAGGCTATTCTGCAGCTGATGCATGAACGCTATCTGATCCGCTGTGCGTACGGCTTTGTCATCCGACAGCGGTATGTTCGCATCTTGTACGTTGAGCTTCGCTGCCGTTTCTGCCAAGTCATCCACGGCTGTTTCGAGCATCTTAAGCCGGGAGACGTGAGCGGCGCTGATCGAGACGGAGGCCTCGAGCTCTCTGATCCTTCTTTCCGCCTCTACCTGCGAGGCCTCGGCCTCCTGTCCCTTCGACTCAGACGAGGCCCTGGCGACTTCCCCATTCGAAGTAGGAGGCACAGCCCTCACTGGTGAATCCTCCTGGATTTTGACCTTGGACTCTGACGCGGCTTTTGCGGCTTCCAATTTAGAAATCGTAGCCTTCTCGTCCGCCAGTGTCTGTTCCAGTATTTTGACCTTGGACTCTGACACACTCCTCGCCGCCTGCAGTTTTAAAATCATAGCCTCATCCTTCGCCAGTACGTGCTCGAGGCTTTTGACCTTGGACTCCGACGCGGCTTTTGCGGCTTCCAATTTAGAAATCATAGCCTCATCATTCACCAGTGTCTGTTCTAGTATTTTGACCTTGGATTCTGACACACTCCTCGCCGCCTGCAGTTTTAAAATCATAGCCTCATCCTTCGCCAGTACGTGCTCGAGGCTTTTGACCTTGGACTCCGACGCGGCTTTTGCGGCTTCCAATTTAGAAATCGTAGCCTCCTCGCTCGCCAGTGTCTGTTCCAGGCTCTTGACCTTCGTCTCCGCTGCGGCCTTCGCGACTCCCAGTTTTGATATCGTCAACTCATCCCTCGCAAGTGCTTGCTCCACAGTTTTCACCTTCCACTCTGCCTCTGCCCGTGCAGCCTCCGTAGCCTTCACGCGCGCAGCAGACTCGGCCTGTGCAGCCTTTAGTTTCTTGACTTGAGTCGAGTGTTGTGACGCAGCAGCAGCCGTAGACGCCGCCAGCTCCGCGATCTTCGCCTCCGCTTGGGATCTGGCTGTCTCAGCTTCTGCCTTTGCTGCCTCCAACGTCTTCGCCTTCGCCTCCACCTCCGCCTTGGCGGTTTCCATCTCCTTCATCTTCGCCAGAGATGCCGCATGTGCGGTTTCCAGCTGCCGGAGGCGAGACGCACGCTCAGCTTCCATTGCGGTAGCACTCCCTAGCTCCCTCGACTTCGCCTTCGCATCTGCAACGGCTGTCTTCAACTCTTCCATGCTGGCCTCCGACTCTCGCCGCGCTGCTTCGGCTGCCTCGGCCCTCGCGTCTGAGGCCGCCTTCGATGCCGCTAATTCCGCCATTCTCGCCTCTAACGCAGTGTTGGCACTTTCCAACACCGTGACACGCGCAGAATGCTGCGTGCTGGCAGCGGCCGCAGCCGCCTCGAGCCCCGCCACTTTGGCGCTCGCCTTGGCGTGGGCAGCTTCCAACGACTTGGCCCTCGCCTCCGCCGCCTCCTGTGCGGCTTTTACTTGGGCCACTTTTGCCTCCGCTTCTGCCTTCGCGGCTTCCAGCTTCTCCATCTTCGCCGATGTCGCGGCCATCGATGCCGCCAGCTCCGTTGCACGGCTCGCCTGTTTGGCCCCAGCTGCGGTGGAGGCGCGCAGTTCTGCCAGCTGCGCCTCCAACTCCTTCACCCTTGCCTCCAGCCGCTCCGCCGCAGCCAACTTGTCCTTCGCACGCTCCATCTGTGTCCGCAGAAGGTCCAGCTCATTCTCTAGTTGACCTTTGGTGTAGCTCGACGTTCGCTCGAGATCCTCGAACTTCTGATGCAGCTCTGCGAGGTTCTCCTGCGCGACGTCAAGCTCTAGTCGGAGGTTTTGATAAACTTCGTTGTCGGTGGTCGCCGAGGAGTTGCTGTACGCGCTACCGCTGGAGCTGCGGGAGTTCGTTGTGGTGTACGATGACTGGGAGGCGGAGTCGTCGTAGGGGGCGTCGACCACGTAGGGGTCCTCCACCTCGGGTGAGCCTTCACGGAACCCAATCGCCGTACTCATTGGACCACAGGTTAGTGATGTAGAAGGAGGTAAAGGAAAAGAACAGAAAGGTTAGAGTTTCGAATTCTAAAAACTAGCTTTTGACTGCAGGGTCTTCTTGTGTGCGTTTTTTTTAATATGATTTTTTTTCCCCTTTACACGAAGAAAGGTATTTTTTGAAGGGTTCCCTCGTAAGACGATCCCACCTAAAGCAATGCTGACCCACGGAAGAAGTGAATCGAAGCAGTGCGAACTGCGGATGATGACGATGGTGTAGAGCAGTGCTGGAGTGGGTTGGTGCCTGTCAAACACGCAGTTTCGACGCTTGTAAAGTAGAGAACGAGAAAAGAAAAGAAAATCTATCCGCTCATTGAAGAGAGAAAAAGGATTAGGCGAGATGCAAAGCCACTACAAGCGGCGAGTATCGGGCAGCTGCGAAGGGAGAGCGTAAAAGCGGGGGAGAGTGAAATAGGGAGAAGGGGAAGTCAGCGAAGAGAAACCTTCGTTAATGGAAAAAAAACTCCCGCGGCAAAGAAGCGCTTGATTGTGTGAGACTCCTGTCTGAGTCGAGAAGCGGCTCAACGTGCAGAAGACAGCACAAGGCTTTCGTGCTGTGCAACGAGTGTGGAGGACCGTAAAACGCCTCTTCTTCTTCTTTTTTCTTACAAAGGAACAGCGAACGGTTTATTGCTGCGCTCATTCACAGAAAGGTTTCTTTCCCTTCTTTCATCTCTCTCCCGAGGAAAACGCAATAGACCACGACAAAATGGTAACAATAGGATTTATGAAGAATGAAACTCGAATGGCACCGCGAATGCGTGATGGAAGCACAAACACGCACGCATCACTTCTTGGAGTGCCGCGAAGAGAGCGCTGTCGCACTCGCCGTGCGAAACGGAAAATAGAAACTCTCGTCGCACTTCTCCCGCACTTGCTTCTCAATAGCCGTTGGGTACAACGTAATAATAAACCTGCGCCACTGCGCTGTCAGCTGGCAGGGAAAGCGGAACTAGCAAGGAGCCGTTGTAGGTAGTTTCGTCTGCAGGGTCCACAGAGTACTGGCCGAGGTACATGTGGTGTCCGTCACTGCGAACGCTCCCTGACGCTGCTGCTGCCAACACCTTCCCTTCTTCCTCCTCATCTGCGGCCTCGACTGGGGCAACGCTCGAATTAATCGACGCGAACAACACCACAGTAGATCGCACTCCGTGTTGTTGGCGCACGTCGGCAAACACATCACCTGCACTGCTCAAAGAAAGAACCTGCTCACTGTCCTTGCCAGTCGCATATGTTGTGTGCTCAGCCCAGACGTGCGGCCCTGCAGCGCAGAGCACTGACACGTCCGACTCTGCACCGTCAGCGTTCTCCGCCTTCCCCGCCGGCACAGGCGTCTGATAGACCGCCACGGCGCCGACACACAATTGCATTGTTCGACTCGCATCGCCGTTGACGACCGCCACGGAGGTGAGATGCAGATTCTCGTTCGATGTGTTATGCAACTCGTAGTGAACACGGCACCACTCGTCCGAGAAAGAAGAAGCAGTAGCGTTACTATGGGTACTCGTGACACGCACAAGCACGCCTTCAAGTCCAGCCACCGCGACCGGTGAGGCACTGGTCTGAAGCGATGTCTTCTCCCACACCACAGCGTGAAAGGCACCACGGGACGCTGAGTAAAGCCCAACACGCAGCCCCCGCTGCGTCGAACCCGGGCCCTTTGTTGCGCGGCCCCCTCCCATCACTGCCGCCGCGGATACCTCTGCCTCTTCCAGCATCAACTCAATGTGAAGAGACGGAGAAGATGGAGCTGAAGTCCATGTGCCTTCGTTCTCTTCGTGCGGTGCAGAAGCGGCAGCCGCAGGCAGCGCATTTTGCACGTACCACCGCAGCACCTCCGCCGCTTCCATCGACTGGATGAGGCAGCACAGACAGCGATCACCAAACCACGCCTTGTCGTAGCGCCACACCGCACGTACCGTGCCGCCGTACATCGAGCGTTGTAGAGAGGAAGCGGGCAAGCGCAACGGCAGCGCCGCGAAGGCACCCGCCTTCTCCACATCGAGCCCCAACGCGGACACGAGATCGGCGTGCGCCCCGCCGGCGGTGGACGAAGCCGACGCGGAGGAGGGAGGAGCCTCGTACAGGAACGGTGGGTGGGCGTGTGCGGCGGAGAGCTCGCACCAGGCGCCGGTGGTGCACCGAGACCCCGCCTCTGTGACTCGGCGGCCATTCACGTGGAAGTCGTAGCCCACACCCGACTGAAACGCCGTCCACGCACGCCCCAACGCGCCGCCGCCCTTGCGTTGCCCCCACGACAGCAGCGGTACGTGGTAGGCAAACTTGTCCTGCAGCCGCGACCACAGCCGACTCTCCGCCGACGCAAACCCATCGCGGGTGCCTTTGCTCTCGTACTCCATCGTCCACCCAGGGGCGAAGAGGGCGACGGACAGGCCGGCGTGTGCAGCCTCCTCGACGGCCACGTAGGTGTTGTAGCCGCCACCACCGAACATGTGGCGACCAAAGACGTCCACGCCGACGTACACGTCCGCGCCGCGCGGCCCGGCGGTGGTTCGCGTGAGAGCGACGTGGACCGGGTTCCAGAAATAATTCGTGAAGAGACCATCGCAGACGTCGAAGAACGGTTTGTTGCGCGCCGTCAGCGCGTTCTGGTACGCCAGCGAGCCATCTATTGTCATCGCGTCGTACCAGATAACCAGCCGAGCGGTGCCTTGCGACGTCTTGCGGTTTAGCTGCTTGCGTAGCTGCGTGCAGAAGATTACCAGCCGCTTCGCCATGGTCGGCGGCAGGCTGTTCTCCACGTTCAGCAAATAGCCGTCAAAGCCGTAGGCGTCGCACACCTCCACAAGGCGCACGATGATGGCCGCCATCCGTTTAGCGTCCGATAGCAGCACTTCAAGGTCCGCCGCGCCATCGGCACCTTCCGTGATGATGGTGCCCAGCACTGCTACCCCGTGTCGATGCCCGTCGTGGATCCACTCCCGCGGCGGAACACTGATGCGCTGGTGAGAGAAGTACACGAAGCAGTCCGTGCGGTCCCAGTAGCTCACCGTGTAGGCGCTCTCCACCGCAGGAATGCGTTTGTTTGGTGTACAGGTCTTCGTGTGCACGTTGCGGTCCATCGCGGCGCTCTCGCGCTCCTCCAGCACGTAGAGATGCCGCTCCCCAGCGGTGTAGCCGCCTCCGAAGTCGTGGCACACAAGCAGGCGCGTCGGTGACGTTGCACTCTTCGCAAAAGGAGATGTGGGAGTGCCTTGGCTGGTGTGGCGGTCTCCGTCAGCCGCTTCCGTCGCTGCCTGTGAAGGAGGATAGCCGCCATCCCAATCCACAGCGGAAGCGGCGAGCCGGCTGCGGCTCCGCAGCAACTGCGGCTTCACATAGAAAACGGGTGGCTGCCACTGGTGGAGTAGCTCGTCGAACGACCCGATCGGCCGCCCACTGGCCGCTCGCAGCAGCTTCGACAGGCGTGCGCCGGTCTCCAACGCCCGCAGCGCCTGCATCAACGTCGGCGGGAGTTGGGCGTTCTCGCACAGCACCTCCGCCGTATCCGTCACGACGACTGCGTGGCCGCCGTACGGGATGACGCAGCGACCGGAGGGCTCCATCACGCCGGGGTGCACCCCAGACCCGTGCTCCGCCCGCGCTACGCCAAAGCGACCGTAACCGCAGAAGATAAACCGCGGCGGCGTAGAAGGAGTCGCCGCAGCGGTAGCACTCGCCATTCGTGCGGGAACCCATGTGACGCTGCTCTCCTGGCCGCGTTGCACACAGAGTACCTCGTACCCGCCGCGGATCTCCACCTCGCGCCCGTCGCTGCTGCAGTAGTACGCCTGCAAAAGTTGCTGATTGGGGGAGAGGCGGCACTTCCCAAAGCAATACGGGCCCTCCGCACCGCCGTTGCTGCTGCTGTGGAGGCAGTGAATGGAAAAGAGGGGTGCCCCGCCTTCCCAACCAACAGAGAGGGGTGTCCAGTCTTTTGGGAACGGCGGGTAGCAGTACCGAAGCGCCGGGCTCGCCGTCGCTGAAGATCTCGGCGGAGGAGGCGCTTTAAGAAAGCCTCCCTGCGCCTGTGCTTCCTCGTTCACAGATACGGAAGAGTTTGGTGCTGTGGCGTCTGCAGTGGATTTCACCCTCTCCTTGGCTGCGTCATCGGCCGCCCCCTCGATGCTCGAGATAGTCACGGCCAGCATCTCTCCTACGCGCTCCAGCAGCGCAGCGTTACCCGCCGCATCGGACAAAAACCACTGTTCACCGCCGTTGCCATTGCTGTGCGGGCGACGCACGAAGCCCGCAATGCGCAAGACGTCCGCGACACCGTACAGCTCCAGTGGCTTAAGCTTCGTCTTGTACGCGTTGCTTTCGGTTGAAAGCGCGCGGTACTTTGCCTCGGTGGGGTGCTCGCAGATGTTCGCCAAGGCGGTCCGCAGCAGCGTCAAACCGCTAATCGCCTTCTCGAAGGCCTCCGGTGGGCTGCGCGACCCGTCAGCGATCGTCTCGTTGCTCTCTAGCATGGCCTGCGCCAGCATCAAATCCTCCTCGTCCGACTCTGTGACGGTTTGATGAGGACTCAAGAGACCCACGCACGTGTCGGTGTGCGCCGGCGCAGCGGCAGCGGCAGTGGCGGCGGCGGTGGCGGAAGAAGGGGAGGAAAAGGAGAAGGGTGGTGGCGGTGGCTGAGTGAGTGGGACCGCCTGCTCTGCCACACCCCCAGCACCACCAGAAGTCGCCTGTTCCAACATGGGCCGCAACATCTGTCCTACCGGCGACGAGAGCAGCGTCGGGATCATCTCTAGCACATCCCGCGGAATGTGACGGCCCAGCAAAAAGACGCTCGCTGCGTCTGTGAAGCTGTTGCAGTTGTTATTCAGCAGGTGGTAGTCGCCGGGGCCGAAACCGGACGTGCGCTGCCGCTGCGTCCACGCGAAGAACTCCTCGTAGCGCTTGGCCGTTTCACCCAGCGCCTCGGTGCGGTGCGGGGCTCCAAATCGAGTACGGCCTGGGTTGGGGTCAGCCACGATGCCGACGCCGCCGTCGAAGTAGTACTCCCTGCCAAAGACGACGACGGAGGTGTGCCAGATGCCCTCGATAGGGCGTCCCAACAGCATAGGGCCGAAGTTACGGGCCATTCCCTGGGTCAGGTCATAGCGGTACAGCGAGACGGTGGAGAGGGAGGAGGAAGACGGCATTTTCGATTGCTTTTCTCTGCTTTAGGTCCCCCACCCGCACCGCTTACGATAGTAAAGGACAATAGTAATAACAATAATAGTAAGAGGCGTAGTAGAGCGCTAAGCCGCGCATCTCGTGCGGAAAACAGAGCGCGAATGCAAGTGGTGGCGCCGGACGAATTCGGTAGGAGGGGGAAGAGGCACGATAGCACAAACGAGGAGCCAAGCAGACACGATCGTGAAGTAGAAAACAAACGTGTGACCGATGGAAAAAACAGTAGGAGCCGCAGCAGCGTGTCGTCATAAAAGCGCATGTGCGGTTTCCCAGTGTTACCGCATCTGCCCGCGCAGAGCTACGCGACGGAAACAACAAGGGAAATGAAAACAACTTCTTCTTCTTTTGTTGTTGCTGCTGTTCATAGTGTGGTGCTGCTTTCTCTTGTGTGAAAAAGTGGACATTTGGAAGACCAGATGGCCGCGAAGAAAAAAAGCAGAGGTCGTGTTGCCTTCTTGCCGTGCTCCCCGCCTCACGGACGTAGATAGACGGCCACGAGAACTGTAGAATGACTCACCCCCTATCAACAACAAGAAAGACACCGTGCTTTCATTGCTCGCACAAGGCGGCCAATTCAGCCCCGATCACGCGCTTCGCCTTGGCAGCGGCGGACAACGTGTCCGGCCCGTCCAGCGCGGCGAGCGCCTTCTCCAGGCCATGTCGCAGCCGCTCTTCGATCTGCAGCACCTCCTTCGACACGGCAGCAGAGGATTCGTGAGGTGAACCAGATGCGTCCCTGTTACTCGGCGAGGCACCACCGCGACGGTGAATGTCGCCCAGCTTTTCATCTAGCCCCAAACTGCGCTGCAGCACATCTTTGGATTCACCGGCGCCCTCACGTTTCCACCCGACGCGGTGCGAGAGGTCACCCTCGTCCCTCGCCCGCTTATGACCACTGCCAACGTCGCCACTACCACCGCCATCCAGAGTTGTGGTCTCCTCCGCGGAAACACCATGACTGCCCTTCTGCGGCAGCGCGTTCTTGGTGCCACACACAGGGCACCGTCCCTCCTCCATGTCCATCTCCGCCGCGGAGGCGTAGCAGCTCGCACACACGCAGAAGCGACAACAACTGGTCAGCTGCTCCTCAAAGGCCGGGAGACGGCACAGCACACATTGGTGCGTATTCGCAGAGTCATCGATACCGCTCAATGTGCTGTGCTGACCCTTCATGATGGGGAAGAGCTGACTCGCAAGGGCGGCGGCGCGCTGCAGGCGAAGCGGGTCTACTGAGGCGGCAACACCACGTCCGGGAAGTCGTGACGAGGAGTCCTGCGCCTGCCCCAATATAGAAGAGGGGGGAGGCGAAGGAGTGGCACTGTTGCTGGGCGTGCCCTCATCTTGCGCAGCGAGCGGCGGCAGCACGGCGTTCGTTGTGGCCAGCAGCTCCTCCTCCGTCTCTCGCACACGCCGCTGCCGCTCCAGCTGTGCCTGTTCTTTGCGCGTGGCATCGTCGTCGGCGAGTTGCCGCTGCGAAACGGTGATGGTGAGGCGGTCGTAGGTGTGCAGATCGGCGTTTTCGTGCAGGACAACAGGGACGACGGCGTCACGTGGTAGCGTGCCGGTCAAGTTGCTGTCCTCGGAGCTGCCGGCATTATTGGTGCCGTTGCCTGCTGCATTTATCCCTCCCGCGGGTGGTGGCGATGACAGAGAAGACGTATGTTTGCCCCCAGCTGCGTCGCGCGCGGCCACCAGTTTGCGCACCTCGAGCTTGTATCGGCTGGTGTTGATGCGGTGCTCCTGGATTAGCTGCTCGACAACCTTGTCGCGTGTGGTCGTCTCGCCGGGGAAACCGAGGGTGAGGTACCTCCCGGAGGCGGCGGGGTGGTCGCCCAGCAAACGATACTGAATGACGCCCTCCATCTTGATGTTAGCGTCAACGTAGTTGCGTTATTCCTTCACCAGTATATATTAACGCTCTCTTGTTTGAAGCGACTGTCCGAGCCGAACTAAGTCCTTAGCGTGTGCGCTTTTTTATTGTGATTGCGTGTATTGTGAAACAAGCAAAGGCGTTGGGATGTGTGGGTACGTTGCGTGTACTGCCAGTCCTGTTCGTCTGCAACGGAGATGGACGTGAGAGCTGCAGCGCTGGTGGAATTGCACACACAAGCAAAAACAGAACGAGAAAGTAAGAGCGTGTTGAGGGGAGAGGAGAGGGGGGAGAGGCAATGGAAGGTACAAGTCTTCAACCAACAAACACAAAGACAGACAGCTTTGCTTCTTCAGGGTAGGCGTCTTCTAAACGAAAGCGTCAGCAGCGTCGAGTTGCACGTTGCTCGCACACAGAGTTAAGACGTCCACGTATTGGATTCGATCTACGCATGTCGAATAACAGCACAATGAGCAGAAGCTTTGCTGAAACACACACACACACGTGCGTGAGCTTACCCAGGAGGGCAAATCCGAATCACCCATGAACGAAACACACCCCCCCCCTCCCAACGCCCTTTCAAAGATGAAGCCTTCTTTCCCCTTTGCTGTTGATCGAGCAGTAACCTGCGTTGACTGCACATACGTTTACGTTGTCAAGTTGGGGGGACAGTTTTATTCTATATAAAGCCTGTGTAACTGTGGTGCTCTGCTATAGTTCATCAACGCGGTTGTTCTCACCTCGCTCGATGAGCACAGAAACACAAGCAAAAGCGCTCGAGTAAATATGTACTGTACATCATTTTCATATGTTTTTTTTTCTCTCCTCCCTCAGTCGCCTTAGGCCAGGTTGAAGTTGCTAGGGCGACGACACCACTGCAGTGGGTGGGGAAAGAAACTGGAAGAAAGCGAAAGATGGTAGTCATCTTATTTTTACCTTCTTCGCCCTCCCCCTCCCACCTTAACTGCGCCTCCAAACCTAGTCGCATGTTTTGGTCACCCACCGTGTCATCGGCTCCCTCGTCACCGTCGAGAGGATGCCGCCATCTTCGCCAGATCCCGCCGCGGTCCCGGCAGCCGGACCACCAGCGTGTCCCTTCAGACCCTTCGCCTTGTACACGGTGCAGCCGTCTTTGTCTACGTAGTACCACTCCGCGTCGCGATCGGCCTCGCGCTTCGCCTTCAGCCGCGCAATGACCTCCTCCGCCGGCGCGTCGGTGTACCCGAGAGTGGCGAGCACGTTGACGCCGTCAAACTGGTTCTTCGGCTTCGTCGTGCGCGGCTTCTGGTGCTCAGCGTTGCGTCGCTCTGCCTCAATGAGCGAGGGCCGCTTGTCGAGATCGCTCGCCACTGCACCGCCACACGCACGCCGCTCCGCCTCCAGCGCCTGCATCTCCTCGCGGCTCTTCAGACTGTTCCAATCCACCGATCGCACAAAGTGGGTGCGGTCGATCGCGTAGTTCTCCGCCTCTGGTGCGACGTAGTCGGTGTGCATGACGCTGCGCCTCTCATAGCTCGTGCCGCAGCCCGCAAAGACGCTACGAAAGCCGTTGCGGTCGCGCCTCGACGTGCCGCAGTGCAGCAGCCACGTCTGCGCCTTGGGTTTGCCCTCGCTATCGGACAGCACAACACCGTAGTTCTTCAGAAGGAGTCGCACCTCCTCTTTCTCCACCGTCTCAGTGAGTGCGGCGGCATAGGCAGGGTCGGGCTTGGCGGGATCTTGTTCGTAGATGCCCTTGCAGATGGCACGGAATTGGTCGCGCTGCATGCCGGTGGCAGCCATGTTGTACCAGTACTCTACGTGTGCGCGTTTGTCGGCTTCGAAGATAGGGTAGAAAGACTCTTTCATCAGGTGCCACTGCGTCGACGGGTGCTCCGGCTTCGCCTGCACCAACTTCCTCCGTGTATTCATGGCTGCTGTAGGCAACAACACAAGGACGGCAATATTTAAAAATGAAGAAATGAGGAAGAGTATAGACCCCACTCCTTCTCTATTTTTTTTCTTCCTTGCGAGCTTTTTGCTCCGTTCAAGGCGTGCAAGCTATGCGGCACTGATGTTGTTCTTTGTTGTTGAAAGAAAGAGACGAGAACAGCAGCAATTCATTCACGGTTGTGACGGAAAGGGTGTAACATGGAAATGCAGGCAGCCAACAGCAAAACAAGAACGCTTTCGCACACACACACACGCACACGCACTCAAGGCGCAGCCGAAAGAAAGCGCCGTATAAATCCCTCACGCGGCAAGCACAGCAGTTGTGTCCTCTGACTTTCACAGCAGAAGGCCGTAAGTAATAAACCGAGCCTTTTTATTATGGTTTCAAAACGAATTTCTCCATTTGCAGCCACCGAGTGACACCTTTCTTTATGTACACCCGCAATGCCACAGTTAAACGCGTGTATGCGCAGTGGGCGGCAGCGTGAATCTAATGTGTTTTAGCGCCCAATTCATCTAAAAACAGAACATCCCAGAAAAGGAAAGAACATCCTTTGCCTCCCTCTCTCTCGATCTCTGGATCCCTCGCCCGCTCAGTCATCCGTGAATTTGCCTTTGCGCTCACCGTGGTCGATTTCACTCTGCTCCTGCGCCGCTTGAGCCAGTGCTGAGAGCTCCGCAGAGTCGCCCTGCGGCGTCATGGCCACCTGCACCACGGAGGAGCTGTTCACGCTGACCAGACCTCGGAAGGTCTTGGTCCAAATATCAAACACCTTCGCATCGCAGGTGAGAATATCAACGCTGCGCGAGGTGTGCTGCGCGACATCGTAGAACCACAAACTGAAGGCGCCGTCCACCGGCATCCGCGCGCGGTGTCCGCGGCCCTCGCGGCATCCAATGATGGTGTTCGGCGACTCAAGAAAGGGGCGGAAGCACGCCGCCTGCGGACTGACGGTAACACCGACTAAGTTGTCGAGCGGGATCGCATCGAGAATGTGCACACCCGACTCGTGAAGCGTGATGACGAGGTGGGGCACCGGCTCCGTGGCCGCCTCCAGCCGCTTTACGGGCAGCATGCGAACACGGAAAAAGCGCTCCTTGGGCCACTTCGATGGTGCGTAGTAGACAAAGAAGGCCCCCTCACGGCATAGATCCAAGTAGTGCAGAAACAACTCCGCCATGTGGTAGTCGACCAGCTCGCGGTAGCGCGGCAGGTAGATACCGCGATGCTGCAGCAGCGAGAGAAGGACGCCGTGGCTCGGATGACGCATCCACACAAATGGTGTCTCCTGCGCCTTGCGAAGCAGCTCCAGCGGAACGACGGGCCGCGCATCCATGGCGGTGACCACCGCATCCGCGAACGAGAGAGGGTCGGCGTCGCCGTCCCACGAGTCATCGGAGTCTTCGTCGTCGTCGTTGTTGATGCTGCCGTCGTCGCCATCGTGTCCGCGGCGCCCGCGTCGACGACGGGACCGGCGCGCGTGGCGCCGCGCACTGGAGGAGGATGAAACAGCATCCGACGGTGGCGCCACCGCATCGAGACTTGTGACGTCGTCGTCGCCGCCGTCTCGCCACGGGCGGTCTATGCTATCCGTGTTCTCATCCGTCCAGCGATCCGCTCGTGCGCGCAGGCGACTGTTGACGAGCCCATCTATGCCGTCAACACGGTACGGTCGCTCCTCCTCGCGGAAAGGGGCGGTGTTGGCTGTCGCAAGCGATCGCGTGCCGCCACGCCAGACGAAATCCGACACCCCCGCGCCATTGCCCCTACTACTGAAGTACGTCGACTTGTTCCGGGGCATGGTTCCCGTCGAGGTCCCTACATAGGTGGAGGTGAACGCATTCGTGTTTGGAAAACTGCCTCCGAACACCGTAGAGCCCCCACGCCGTGCTTCGTAGCCTTGTGATGATGCGGTTGGTGCGTTAGTGAAGAGCCCATCAGCTCCGTAGGAGCGGCGGTAGCGATTTAGAAAGTCCTCTCGGGGTTCAAGATCAGCACCCGGGGCAGAGGAAGGGGCAGTACCCCACAGCGGCACACGTCCGGTATCGCCCGCGATGACGTTAGTGTCGCGTGGACTCGACGCGGTTGCCGAGGCAAAGAGAGGACGCATGGTGGACGGTCCCGGCGTGCCACGGCTGCCGCTGCCGGAGACGGGCTGAAAACTGCGACCCTCCATCGGGTCTGTATAGCGCTGCGGATACTGTCCTGGCCACCCTTGCGACGACGAGGAATAGCCGTTGGCAGTGCCGAAGTCACCGTGGGTGGCATTCAGTTCATTGTAGAATCGTGGGATGGGCGAAGGCGGGGCAACGCCCGCCGCAAACCCGCCGTCGGGGATAGCATCGCTACTCATCGTGTTGTTCGTCATGGACGTATTGTTGTTGCTGCCGCGGCCGGGTCCGGCGCCAGCGCATCCCACGCCTGACGCGTCCGACGTATTCAGTGGAGCCGCTGTGTGGTTCAGCCGTGAGGTCGCCTCCGCTCGGACATCTCTGGCGGGGTACCGTGAAGGGTTCAGGTGCAGATGTGGGACATAGGAATCCATTCTAACAATTCTAAAACGGTCGTAAACTATTAATATGGCGCGTCAGTTTTCTTTTCCTAAAAGGTTTCTTTCTGGTGTGCGAATCAAACCCTTTCTGGTACGCTGCAAGGTTCGCATCGATCGCACAAACGTAAGATTTTGAGGGGAAGAAGCGGTAACGTGAGATCGTGACTTGCAGTGGGGAATTGGACAGCTCCATCAACACCTCGATCCCCTCTTCCATGTTTTTTTCTAAATAATCTGAAGCTTTTTTTTCACGGTTTTTCGCACATCAGCTTGCATGTCCCGCTACAGAAGCTGTTGTCGACCAACAGTAACTCCTCCGTGTACACAGCAGGACGGCGCTCTGGTGGACGTGAAAACCGAGGTGGGGAAAAGGCTGGTTTCAACACGAGCGTTCATCAGAGGTGGTCCCCGCCAGGCGGGTAGTGGCGGGCTGAAGGAAATACACACGTACTTCGCTTTTTGGTAGTGTTAGTTATTGTCAAACAGAAAGAGAAAAAAAGAGAGAGGCACACGGGCACCGTAAAAAGGCGAAGAGCAAGGAGTACTGAACATCGGAGGAAAAGAAAAAGCCACCCACATCTCGAAAAAGAGACGGTTGGAAAGGTCAACAACAAAAGTCGCGCAACAGATAAATATATATATATATATATATATAAACAACAAAAGGAAAGTGTACATTCACACACGGCATAATAATACATGGTATCACAAACGGCAGCAAATTGTCAGAAGCTGCTGCGTCCAACTTCACTCGTACGGGGAAAGACCACACGCCATTGAACGGCGTCAAGAACAAAAGAGTAGGAGAGAAAGAGAGAGAGAAAGCGATGTGAAACGCGGAAAACGGAGAAGGAGAAAAGACACACACTGTCAGCTCCATCGGCTCTCCTCATTACGTTTCCTCGGGTGCACCGTCCTTTTGAATAGCCGCGTGTGCGGCATCTATCGCGGCCTCCGCCCCGGCCTTCTTCTGCAGCGTGCGGTGCTGCAACACAATCGCTTCCACCACGGTGGGCAGCAAAAACGTATCCAGCATGTCGCACACCACGTCTTGCGCCTCCGCCTCGTTTTGCGGCTCCCGTGGCGAGGGCCGGGCTGCCTGCCGGGTCTGCTCCTCCGCTACCGCCACATCGAGTGCCGTGTCCTCCACCGCCGTGCCCAGCACGTCGTCCAGGAAGCACCGCACCGTCGTGTCGGTGGCGCGCATGAAGGCGGTGTAGGCGACCTCGTTGCGGTCCCGACGCTGCCGCACCTCCGCACGCCGCGCCAACTCCGCCGCCTCGCGGGTCTGCCGCACCGTCTCCGCCTCCTCCTGCAGATGGCGCAGCTCGGCGATGTCCTGCTGTCGCAGCAGCTCCTGCGTGAGAAAGCCGAGGGTGTCGTGCACCACCGCGCCGAGGGCGGTGTCCACGACGGCCTGCAGATCCGCCTCCCTCTCTGCTGCCTCCGTCTCGTTCTGCGTCTTCTCCGCAGCGAGCACCTCGGCGGTTTGGGCGGTGGAGGCGGCTTGCAGCTCCTCGATGAGCCCCCGGCAGCGCTCGCGGCCCTCGAAGAAGTCGTTCTGCACCGCACGGCCCCGCAGCAGCCGCTGCAGCAGGATGCACGCATCTTCCTCCTCCTCTTCGTCGTCGCCGTCCAGCTCCAGCACGGGCGTGTCGGGTCGCTGCAGCTTCGGCGTTGCTCGGTAGAGGTCCAACACACGCTGCATCTTCGTCTCCGTCGTCTCCGCGGCCTCGTCGTCGGCTTGGTGCAGCTTCTTGTGGGCGTACTCCAACGACTGCAGCACCCGTTCAGCCTCGCGGCGCTGATACAGCGTGGGCAGCCGCTGCACTGCATCGTTCTGTGGTACGACAAACGTTTGCGCCGACACGCGATCCGTCCGGGCGCCGCGCTTCTCATCCACCAGCTGCGTGCCGCCGACATCCGACAGCAGCTGGGGGCGGACATCGTAGTTGAAGGCTTGGCGGGACATGCGGTTCTGCTCATCCAGCCCTGCGCCGTTGCTGGCGCTGGCGGGGCCGCCCAGTGTCGCCCCGACGCTTCCCATCGGCGGCGGCGCCCCGCTGATGCCGTAGCGCGAGTAGGATGCAATAGTCGGTCCACCACGTGTGCTGGTGCCACCAAATCCAGTTGCGCCAGTGCCGCCTTGTGTAGCAGGCAGTGTCGGAGCCCCTCCGCGGCTGGCCTGCTGCTGTGCCTGCAGCTCTGCCATCTTCTCATTGCCGCGCTTGTTCGATGCCGCACGACGCTTCTCCAGTGAGGTGAGCTTGCCGCCGAGGGAGTCCAAGTACTGCGCTTTGATGCGCTCCAGGCGTGCGCGGTTTGACTCCTCCCGGGCTGCCTCGCGCTCCAGCATGGATTCCTTTAGGCGGTCAAGCCGGCGCTGCTGCAGATGCCCCACGTGCTCCTCGCGCTCTGCCCACTCCATTTCTTCAAGTTCGTGCAGCGCCATGTAGCGCGCCTCGACCGAGGCCGCGTCGGAGCCGGTGGGCAGCGCCGCCTCCACCTCGCGCCGCCGCCTCAGCCGCTGGATCAGCTGCACCTCCTGGCGGCCCGCGGGTAGCGCCCCGTTTTGGTAGGTCAGACTCTGCAGCGAGAGCACCTCCGGCGTCGGAGCACCTTCGGGGATGAAGTAGTCGGGAGAGTAGGGGTCTGTCTGTGCTTCGTTCTCGCGCTGCACCGTTTGCACGCTCACGGCGACGCGGTGGTCACGCTGCGCGCCGCCCTCGCCGCCCCTGCTGCCGAGACGGACAGCGTCGTTCTCGTCGTCGTCAGCATGGAGGCTTGGTAAGTGATGGGGCCGCCGCCTGCTGGGCTCTTGACTGCGGCTCATCGAACCCTGGAAGTTTGCGGACATGGCCTGTCGGGGGTGGACACCCATGGCAGAGGAGGAGGAGGGGCGACGCGGTCCGCGCACGTGCAACCCGTTGCCGCGCCCGCGCGACTGCATCGACGACCCGGCAAAGGCGGCTGCGTTCGACGGCATGGAGAAGGAGGGGCAGGACGCGGCGAACTGCACGTTGGCCGTGTCCGCTTGACGGTCAAGCACCGTGTTGTCTGGCTCGACGGGTCGTCGGAAGAATTTGACCCGGTCCCGCCCGTCCACCTCCGTCGGGTAGCCGCGACCACCTGGCACATTCTGTTGTTGCTGCCTGTACATGTTGAGGGTGGGGGTGAGCAGGCTCCGGAAGGCACTACTGCGCAACCGTATAAGAGAACGAAATGGCGTCTTTAGAAATAAGCCAAAATCTAAACTGCAAAAGAAGGAGAAGCAAAAACAAAAAAAAGAGGCTTTTTTCTTCTATTGGTTCCTTCAAGACCACCCAAACAGCACCGTATTGTGATTTAACGGTATCCCGACACAGACGTACTAACTTTTAAAACAGAAATAGCCACAAAGGAAGGGGAGGAAGGCGGGGAGCACGGTGGGAGATGGAAAAAAGTGAACGAGAAGCGAAATTGCGCCTCTCGAGAAGACTTCTCAGGAGTGTACCGGAGGCGCAACGCGATTCCGTAAGACCTCAGGGACACAGAACAAAAAAAGGGGGGAATGGTCACAGCGAGACATTTGGACGCAGCCACGCACAGAGGAAAAACAGCATCTGCGTGGTCCTCGGAGGAACGCGTCTTTGCGTCTCCTTCTTCGTTTTCCTTACATGTAAATGAATGCATAACACTATCGCTTTGTGTGACAACAAGTCTCAAATATAAACCAATGAACAGACAGACTTTAAGGCCCCCCAACGAACACCAACCACGACAACAACGTCGGATGACATCATCACGACCTGGCGCATTTTTTTTATTATTTTTACTGTAAAGAGGAGAGAGGGCGAGGAGCGGTGGAAACGAAACGCTGGGCGCATCATCCACGATGCCACAGAAGAAAAAAAAAGAGTCGTTTCACGCCTTAGGACTCTGGAGACCAAAAGCGGAAGATCGACGACTTCACACGCTGGTTCACGCCCGTCAAATAGGGTCGGGCTTGATAAAAGAAAAACATCACTAACGGGAAACGAATGAACTCCAGCAGCTCATTGATGACAAAAGCAAAGCCCAAATTGGTGTACGTGTCCCACGCCTCCACACGCTGAAAGAACATTTCGCGATCTAGGTACTGCCCGAGGAACAGGAACATAAACTCAAAGGCGGCCTCCTTGTGCAGCAGACCGGAGGCAAAGCCGAGGTAGAGAACACCCAGTGTACCAAAGTAGGCAAAAAGATAGAGCAGGGTAAAAGCCTTGCCCTGCCGCTTGAAAAAGTTAAAGCCTTTCTTGAATCGTCGGCTCTGGTCATCACGGATGCGGTCCATCTCCAGATCGAAGATGCGGTCCGTCTCGTCCGTCACTTCACGAAAGCGCTCTTTGCGGCGCGCTAATGCCTCCCTCCGCTGCTCGCGGTTCTTTGAAAAAACAGTCGTGCTCCCTTTGCTGGTCTTGGAGTCCGCCTCACTCATGTACTCCTTGGTGCTCTTCGTCACCCACCGGTTGTGCAGGGCGCGCTTGTTAGTGTTGATACCCTGCATCGTTTCACTTGTCTGCTCAAACTGGACGAAGCGTTTCGATGTCAGCACGTGAACGCTGCTCGCGGTCGCTGTCGCACGAATGCGGCTGCTGGTGCTGCCCGCTACGGTACGTAGCGCTGCGGTGCGGGTTAACGGTGAGGCGACAGCACGCGACGCACACGCTGCACCAGTTGCCAGGTGCGTTCTTAAAATGCGCGAGAGCATTGTTGGGTGCCACTGCGTCTTTGTGTCGTATTTCCCTTTTCCTTTTTCCGGATTCAACGAAAGAAACAGGTTTTGGTGGCGAGAGGGAGAATAATATGCGTCGACGGGGTCAGCGCATTGAGAAGGCCGCTATCCAACGCAACCGCGTGCAGCGCAAAAGTCCTTCCGTCCTTCTTACCCTTCAAATACTGACCGCATTGTAAGGCGCAAGCCAGAAGAAAAAAAAAGGTAGAGGAACAAAGAAGTACGTGAACGTTAGAGCGAAGCTTATCAGCAAATAAAAGCACGTCGCAAAGCAGCAACAAGACGCTTTCCTCTCTTCTACCGCCTGAGAAGACACCCGGCAGGTAGGAATGAAGAAGAATGGACCCTCACTAAAAGAAAAGGAGGCCACGGTCATTTTTCGGCCTGAGACATCATTTTTTTTTTTTAGTGTGTGGATGACGGACAGATAAGCAGCATCTCGTGCTTTCACCCCCACGTAATTACTCATATGCTTTCGCGTGCTTTCTTGTTTATTGTTCCGGGTTTGCTGTAAGCTGTTAAAGCAGGTCGGAGTGACTCTTCGAGGAAGCAGCACCGTCACTTCTCCTCGGCAGATTTCGGCTTGGCGCGGCGGAAGCGGCGCATCACTTTGCGTACCCAATTCGCAAAGCGGGTCGAATACGGCTTCATCGCGTAGTAGAGCAGAACCACCACAGGAAAACGGACCACCTCCAGCAGCTCGTTGATCACAAACGCGAAGCCCAGGTTCGCCCACGTGTTCCACGCCTCGATGCGGGCGTACATCTTGCCGCGATCCACGTAGTCGCCCATGCAATCCAGCACGCAGTCGAGGATGGACTCTTTGTGCAGCGCGTTGGTCACGAAGGCGACGTAAAGGATAACAAAGGTGGCGGGGTAGAAAGGAAGGTAGAAGAGGGAGAAATCTTTTCCTTCGCTTTTGAAGGAGTGCCACTTGCGGCGCCACCAGCTCTGCTCCTTGGCCTCCTCCTCTTTGGAGCCCTCACCGGTGTTGGCGGTGGTGCCGTGAGCGGACGCGTCCTCGTTGTCTTCCTTCGCGTGCTCCCCTGTCGGTGCCTGCGCGGATGCCGTCTTGATCGCGGTGGCAGAGGACGTGTGCAGCAGCTGCACACCGCTGTTCCGCCTGAGCGCCGCATGGCAGCCACCCCAGTACCACCGGAGGCCTGCGCTGCCACGCCGCGATGGCGACTGGACGAAGAGGTTTGTGCTGGTAACACTTCTGCGGCCAAAGCACAAAGAGCCGTCGCGCGTAGTCCGCGTTTGTGCGACGGAGGTGGCGTCGCACACACGAAGCGCACGGCGCCGCAACGCGGTGGCCACGCCGCGCGAAAGCATCAAACAGAAGAGAAAAAGGGTCAATGAAAATAAAAAAGCAAGGAAGTGTATTAAGGCTTTTTTAAGCATAAAGGATAAAAACGAGAGAAGAACGCAGATGTGCAACGAGGGGAGGAGAACAAGAAGAGGTATTCTTTGTTTCTTTCCAAACCATCGCTCCGCGTATTCGAGCCTCGATTTAGAGAAGGCAAGGCGCGTGTGGGCGCAGTTAAAAAGCAACTTTCGATAATCGCAAAACAAAGAAGTAGCCCGTGAAGCAAACCGGCGCAGAGGCGGTTTCACGTGGATCTCTGCACATGAAATACATTTAAAAAGCCAAGCGTGTTAACGTGTAAAGGCAGCAGAGAATAAGAAGTGGGTGCAGCAAGGGACGTTGATGAGGCCGTTCTTTGTGAAGCTTCTTCACGTAATTGAACGTGTGAGACCAATTACACAGGCGGTAAGAGCACAAAAGCAAAAGATCCAGATAATGCTAAAAAAGCGAGGCTTCGACGTCTTTACCTGCATTCTGTTCTGTACAAGCAGTTGGCGACGCCCTTGTTCGTCCTTCTGGTAAAGCGCAACACAGAAAAAAATGGGTTTCATCAAAGGTGTTTTTTCTTTCCTTTTTAGTTGTGTTCTTCTTGTTGTTTGAAATGTGACAACTTGGGTACGTATATGGTAACCTGAGCAGCTCAACGCTTCGACGTCTCCATGTTAAGGCCTAAGCTCTCCATCTCCGCCGCACGAACGGCGTCATCGTCAAAGTCAGCCTCGACACCGTTCGTCTCAGCAGCAGCAGCAGCAGCGGCAGCAGCGGGGCCCATTCGCTGAGAGCCGCTGGTGCGGGCTGCATCTGCTGCGGACTGCTCTGACGCCGCCAGCAACTCCTCTGCTGCCATCACCGCCTCCTTGGAGAAGAAAACGTAGCCGCCTGATCCGCTCATCTGCGGGCGGCTGGCAGTGGGAGTCACAGCTGCGTTGGCGGCGCTTTCCTTCATCATGTTGGTCAGCGCCGCCTGCAACATGCGATCCGTCTCCTCCTCCAGCACGGTATCCATTGACTCGTCTTCTTCGTTGCTCTCCTCTGCGAGCTGCACAGCGTCCTCCGCTGCATCCGTCCCACTTGGGCTGACGTCAACGGCTTCCGATACATGAGCGGTCACAAATGGAGCAGAGCCTTCGCTGTCCTCGATTGCTGCTCCATCCTTCTGATTTGTATGTTCAGCAGAGACTGCGGGGTTTGAGGACGGCGCCGCGTCACTTCCATTGACGGAAGACGTCGTGTGCGGCGAAGCTGGTTCAGATCCTCTACGGTAAGAGGAGTTTGTATGGTGGATAAAAATGTTCTGCAACGCCTCGTCGTTGCCAGTCTCCGCAGCTTCCCCGCCCTCCTCGTTGTCTTCCACGTCGTTCTCCGCCTCATTCGTCGAGTTGAACGAGGCTTGCTGGAGCAAGTCTTCCATGAGGTGACGCTCCACGGACGCAGCTGAGCCGGCGATACCGTACACGTCCGCCTCATCATCAGTTTCGTTGACCTCCTCACTGCGCAAAGTGAACGAAGCGGCAGCAGCAGAAGCAGCAGAAACGGAGGAGCCTTCAGGCAATGCACTGCGCACGGTACTGTGATTCTTTGGAGATGCGGGAGCAGTGCCTCGCACGTGTTCCTCCGTCGACGCACTCGTGCTACGAATCTGTTGCTTTGCGGTTTGCGAGGATACGGACCTCTCTGCAGCGTCGCCCTCGTCAAACAACAGAAGCTCCTCCACGCTGAGGCGATCTGCAAGCGGATCCTCTTGCTTTGGTTCCGTCGGTTTCGCCATTGATGCCTCCGTGGCGTCTTCTGAGACCAGAGGCGTCTCAGCCGTCGAAGCCGAGGTCGGTGTCCGACGACTCCACCGTGACAGCAGATCGCCCGCGGCCGTGGAGGCTACCGAAGACGACGCTCGGTTTGGTGGAGAACTCAATGCGCGGCTGCACGTCGTGGTGTGAAGACATAGACAGCTGCCACCCAACGCACGCTCAGTTCCTGGTCCACTAATAGAAGTGCGTGAGGTATTTCGCAGACACCGCACTGCGCCAATGGAGCTACGAACATGAGATGGTGGAATCTGCAGAAGTACCCTTCCGGCATCGCGTCGAGAGGAACACACCGTTTCCTGTGCCATTGCAAGGGTCGAGAAGCTTTTAGGATGCCTTCGAAGAAGCCACATGATGTACAAAGTTAAATATAAATTGCTGAATGGGCTTGAGGCCAGAGGAAAATAGCGAACAGCACAACGATGTGTACAGGCGAGGACGTGAAGTTGGGTTGTACGCGCAGGCTAGACCGCAGCCACGATTCCCAGAAAAACAAAAGCAAGACAACAGTTTGTTTGTTGCTGTTGCTTTGCAAGAGGTTTAATGAAAAGTATTGCGGCGAGGGAATTGTGACAGCCCAACTGCGAAGGTGTATACTGGTGCTTCCACAACTTTCCCTCTGATGGGTTATGAAAAGGAAAACGCAGAGTGTCTAGGACGTGTCTGACAGAGCTGTCCAGGTGAAAGGTACAGAGAAGATGCGAGGAGGCAGGGAAAAGAGGCAGCAGCGAATAGAAACAGGCGGGAAAGACACCCACAAGAGAAAAAAAAACTCCTCACGAGCCCCTCCAAGCGGTTACGATGGTGCAATGAACATATTGTCAGCTCCCTCACCTCCAACAAGGAGAACTGTTTTCAACACGTCTCGCTTAACAGTCGCCCTCCACACACACACACACACACACACACACACACACACACACGCACACACACTTTCATGGGAGCACTTTTCCCTGGCGATGTCTGCGCTATCGTGATGGCGATGACGGGTGGAGGAAGAAGAACAATGCTTTCAAAGAAAAGGTGAAGTTTTAATTTCCGCTTTCCCAATTAACAGTCACAGACAGAAAAGAGAAAGAAAGAAGAAAAACGTACGCTTCTCATTGGGGTTGGTCATCCTCACTCTTTGTCGAACAACACAGCAGCGATACGCGTCTAAGGGGAGGAGGAGGAAGGCACAATGGGAATAATACAGCGCGTGAGGCGCACAAGGACGATCCGGTAAAACCCGAACCAGCAAAGATGATGAGATCTATGAAAAGAATGAAATGAAAAAGAAATGCATCTAGAGAAAGAATGATTGAAAAATAAGAACTGTATTTTAATATTATTACTATTTGGGAAAAAAATCAAGACGTCACACCTCGTCACGCATGAGCTTGACAAGCCCTTCGATGAAGTCGTCCATCAACATCTGCCATGCATTCCGCTCGCTCCCGCAAGGAGCGTCATACGTCTCCTCTGACGGGTACGTTAACGGCGCAAAAGCTGCCGCGGGAGGAGCGGAGAAGGAAGCGGCTAGAGTTTCAGCATCTGTGACTGGCAGTGCATCTGTGGAAGTGCTTTCCGGAAGCGCGGTCACGTTTGCCGCGGAAGGACCCGCCATGTCAGATGGAAAGAGTAAAGTAGGAGAGGCGTCGTTCAACAGTGCCGATGATGACCGCAACGACGACGGACTCCGCAACAAGCAACCGTCTTCGTCAAAAAACTGCGGATCCGGTGCGTAGCGACCCGTGGCATTGTACTCCCTGTCAACGTCAGCACCGTCCACCTCACGCAGTCGGGATGAATCTCTCTCACCGGACGGCCACACAGCGTGGCCGCCGTCATCGAGGTCGGCACAGAAACTCCTCAACACACCATCGCGGTAGCGCTCACTGCACTGCCGCTGCCGAGATGTCGACCGGTCACCGTCGCACGACGCCGACGCCTCCGATGCCATAGCTGCGAGCGGCTTTTCTGGTACATCCTTCCTTCTGGAAACCTCCCGCGCGGTTGCAGGAGACTCTAGCGAGCGTCGGTCACTCTGTGAATCCATGCACAAGTCGATCTCCAGAACTCCCATCCCTCTCTTCGCTGCAGATTGCACCTCAGTCGTGTGTATGGTGGGTTCGCTCGCGTCCGGACTCGGCGTCGAACCTTTCTCGTGCCGCCGCTCCTCCTCTCCTCCCCCGGTCGTCTGCGCCGCTGTGTGCTGCTGTTCACGTAAGAAGCGATCAGCCCACCGCTGAAACACGTGCGGTGGGGGACAGTTACCGGTAAGCAGGTAGCGGGCGTCCTCTTCGTCGCTCTGCACGTCGCGCAGAAGACAAATAGAATGCGCGGTTCGATTTAAGATGCGGCGCAGTGGTGAAGGTCTCCTGGCGCTTGCAGGGGTATTTGCCGCCTCGTCGCTCTCGCGGGACGCAGGAGAATACAGAGGTGGCTTCACAGACGCATCAACAGTGTCTACAGCGGAGCACTGAGTAGCGTCGGCCTCGCAGTCAGGGAGGGCGAGAGCGTCACCAAACTCCATTTGAGATGTTGATGCACCTTCGCCATCCTCTTGTTGTTCGTCCTCCTTGTTCGCGTTCTCCGTCTCCGACGCATCTTCCCAGTCTCCGCTGTCATCGCTTCCGTAAAGTACTTTATCGGGGTCCTCTCCCGCAGCGCAGCTATCGGATGCGCCAGCGGCGTCGGCGGGCGTACCCCTTGTCACAAAGCTGTCACCGTTGGGCTCATCCTCTTCCACCTTCACTGGAGAGCGCGACGAGGAGTGGTTGTCCAGCCGCTTCGCAGCAACGCCGCTCCCGCCTTCCTTCGCGCTATCGCACGCTTGCTCCTGCGAAGATGAAAGCGAACACGCACCGGGCGATGATGGGGGCGACACACCATTTCCCGCGTCTGTCTCTTCACTCACGCATCCATTTCTCATCTCCTCCTCTGCGGGCGGTGTCTTTCGGCAGGGACTGAGCGGTGGCAGTGAATTTGCCGAAGGCATCCGTCGACGCCGTTGCACGCACGACAGCGGTGAAGTCGGCGATGCCGTGGAGTCACTTGCTCCAGCACGTGGAGTTCCTTCTTCCGAGTTGCGCTGCTTGCGGGTTGGTGGGGTGATTAGATCTGCTGGAGTGATACCGTTGAACATGGGGTGCAAGGAGGCGTCCTGGAGACGGCGGTAGTACTGCACAGCCTCGGCGACGCGGTAGCCCACCCGCTCCTCGCACGCGAGGTGGTGCAGGTGCACGCTGGCGTCCACCTCGATCCACTCGCGGGCCGCCAACTCTTCCTGCAGGACCCGGCGACAGTGAAGAAAAATGAGCTCCTGCGTAGGTGGGGTGGTCACACTTTCGGTGGGCAGAGGCGATACGAGGACGGAGTCAAAAGGCTGCCCGAGAGAGGAGGAGTTCAGTGCAGACGAGGAGCTGGGTACGTGAGCCGGCTGGTCTCTTTCCTCAACTTCATCCTCTCCCGCTGCGGCATCAAAGGGCAGCCGGCCGCGGAGAGGTGGACTAACGGACAGCGACAGCGGCGCGGGAACGTCACCTGACACGGAAGTTGGGTTGCCGCTGCGCAACGCTGCCGGCGATCGACGTGGCAGCCCGCTATGCGAATCGCCAATCGAACTGCATGCAGCGTTCTCCGCTTGCGGTTCGCCAAACGGGTAACCGGCACGCAATCTGTGCGCTTTGCCAGGCGGAGGGGACGATGTGGCCAAGAAGTCGTCGGGTGTCAGTTCGATCTTGCCAAGACGGCGTCGCACCTCTTCGTGGAGCGGAGAACATTTCTGCGGTGACGGCGACAGAGCGGAAACGCCGGTCACGTCCAACGCGGAGCAGGTGGTTGGGTAATGCAAGTCACGCTCTTCCGCATGAGCGCTCGTCGTCGACGTCGTTGCGGAAGCGTCGTTCTCAAAAAGATGCACGGGCGACGGCGTTGACGACAAAATTTCGGCCGGGATGGGGACGGTGGTGTGGCGCTCTGTGCGATGGAACGTGTCGTTGTGCATGGGTGAGGCTTCATAAGCAGTGCGTTCTTTAACAGAGATGATGTGCTGTGCATCCCCTTGGTGTTCTCTCGCAGCTGGATGGGCACCTTGATGCTCGCCGCCTCCACACACAACAGAAGCGGGTGCATCATGGCTTTGTGGATCCTTTAGGAGAGGGGAACGGCGATACGTTGGCGACTGGGGGAATCGTTTTTGACCATCAGCGTCATCTAGTCTGCACTGCTGTTGCACTCGAGGAGTGTGTTTTTTCAGGCGAGCTACAGGCTTCGTCGCAGTTCCCTGCGCACGTGTGGATGCACATGTGCTGTTCGTCGGGTGTCTTCTGCTTGACCTCGCCGTGATTTCTCTCGCCACCAGAGGTACTGCCGACACACTGCCCAGAGGCAATGTGTAGCTCGCCTTTTCTTGCTGTATAGAATGCGCAGATGAAGAAGAAGCCGTGTGAGCTGGGGGATCCGCAAAACCCACCCAACGACTGCTGTTTCCTCCAGCGGGACGTTGCCGAAGCCCTCCACGCTGCTCTTCGCCACCGTCACCTCTTGCCGGCGCGTTGAAAGGTAGCGTTTGGAGGCGTCGAATATGGCGGCGGCTGTTCGCCGTCTTCTCCGATAAGGGAGAGTGACGGTCAGAGATGGCCTGAACGCATGCAGACCAAATTGGAGCTGCAGACCGCGGGTCAAAACAGTTCTCACGGCTTCTGTTCTCGTCAAGTCTTCTACGGGTAGGTGTACCTTTGCTGAAACCGCACGAAGAACCATCATAGGGGTTTCGAACGACCTCCTCACGAGAAGGAGCAGCGTTACAGCGTTGGCGCTCCCGATAATGATGGTCACCGTCGTTTTCCTCCTTCGATGTGCTATGCGCGCCCTGTCCGCGAGCGGAGATCTCCGCGGTGTGCGGCGAAGACTGAACATCGTAGTGGCGGTGCGCTGGCTGTTTCACGAATGCCGTACTCTGGGGAGAACAGGCCGCATGTGGATCGGCGAGATAAGACAGCTGACCGAAGGACGCCGACGGAGACGGCACAGACAGATGCGATTTGAAAGTTGAGGCAGCAGAGAAGACTGACCCGAGAGACGTTGATGGAGACTGTGTCGATACTGCCTGAACGGAGGTAGCCGGCGCCACCATGAAAGCGGTAGTTTGCGTGTGGGAGACGACGCGCGGGTAAAGACTTGCGTTTTTGTGGCCTTCATGCGCTGGTGTGATGATGGCGTTGTGCGCTGGCATTGTTGTCTGGCATGCACTCTAAACTTGTGTTTACTTCGCCGCAGAGAAGCCGTTCTCTGTGTACGTGTGTGGGGGGTAGGACTGTTTGGTTCAACGATCCGCGTGCATCGTTAGATAGCACTGCAAAAACTTAAAACAGCTGCTCAGAACAGGTCGACTGAAATGGGCAGCACGCTGAGAAGCGGAACGGTGGACCAACGTCAGCAAGGAGCGCAAAGAACGAAAGGGGAAAAAAAAAGAGGTAAATCCCAATTGCATGAAGAGAGAACACAAAGCCATGTCATTTGGAGATATCAGCAAGTACATATGCAACGTACACATATACATACTCTCTACACGCAGTGAGTCCTTTGAGAAAAAAAAATGACTTTCCTCTCCTCTATATATGTTTGCCTTTTTGAGAGGTCGATCAAACTTAACATTCAAACACCTGTTGAGGCGGCGATGCGGTCCAGCACACATCAAGCCCCGTTTTAGCTCTTTGTAATACACAGCTCTCGTATAAGGTAAACTCGCTGCTTATCGCCCAACCGCCCAACACCTGACGACCCTTTTTGATGAAGTTATTTGTTTTTTAATCCCATGGTATTGCCACCACGTCGATACACGAAGCTCTGTACAACAACGGAGAAAAGCACCGTCAAAGGCCCTTTACAATCAAAAAAAAAATGAGAGCCTAGTGGCAAAAGCAGCCTTAATGAGCACCCAAAAATAAATGTATAGGTCAGGGCCAAAAAGCGTTGCAGGAAAAGGAAAGAAAAAGATATTATTATTGTATTAGCCGAGGCGACAGAAATGAAGCTTGAACTCTATCTTCCTCGATGTGCTTTGCAATGAACGTTCTTCGGTCTCCATTTATCTGTGTTATTACTGTTGTATTTCGTTTGTATGAAATACGTCTTCAATCCAGTTCGACAGAGGCAACACTTTCTCGTCACGTCAATCCGTTTGATTCGACCCTTTTCAAAGTTACATGAGAGCGTATTCAGGGCCCTACCTTGATTACACCTTCCACTCCAAAGGAGAGGAGCTCGTAATTTGACTCGGTTGGTAAGCGAGCTGATGACTCTAAACGCTGCAACATATAAAGGCAAAGTCAAACACGAAAAACTTATTGATACTTTTCTTTCGTTGAGGAGCAGCTTGAAGCGTCGAAGAACACGCTCCGCGTGCGGAAACAAAAGCGGACGTCACAAAGCAAAAACAAGAATTGAAAAGAGGTAACTATTTTTTATGAGCGCACGGTGTGGTGAGGATGTGGGCTCAGTGCGCGAGGGCACCAAACAGCATCACATAAGGCTTGAATACTGAATCGTGTATAGTAATCAGTATATATACAATTGAAAGGGGGAGGGAGCGGTAGTCTGCGCAGGTGTATACACCTCCGGCATCGATGCCTTTGTACACTCCGCGGTAGTAGACGGCAGAGACACGTGCGTCACCCCGAGAGATTGAAAAAGGGAGCTATTATTATTACTACTACTACTATTATTATTATTATTATTAAGCGAGCTGCTACGCTAGCTGGAATATCAATTGTAAAAAACAAAAATACAAAACAAACCGAGACGAGTCTGTTCAACATCAACGAGAAAAAAGAGACTTCTACAGAGCTGCATGACGTGAAGGTACCAACTGCGACGAAGACCGCGTCGAATGTGTCGCGCAACGCGCATTCAACAGCAACCCAAAAAAAAAAAGACTGCAACAAACAAGAAAGAAGAGAAGAGAAGAGAAGCGATGTCATAAGCTGGGAGAACTCGCCGTCAACGGTTGGTTCGTTTGGTGTTAATGAGGTGTTGCAACGAGCAGAGCAAAAAATAAAATACAAAGGACGGAATATAAGAAGAAAGTACGGGTACAGAGGACTTTAAATACAAAAAGAAAATGCACTTGATGCTCTCCGGAGCAGTCATCCCAATGTGTGAAAAGAAATATATATATTAAGAAGAATGATATTGACACCATGAAGAGGAAATTGCCCGCTCAGCGAAGGCTCTCCACCGTTGGGGCCACGGAACCGAACGTCGCTGCTTGAGTCGTCGACACGCGTCGAGCAGAAGACACGGAGGAACCATCAGCGAAACACGGTGCCAGTCCCCATACCTTTACCTTCACCGACATCGCGTAGGGACCGCCGGTACGACGGGCACTGCTCCTTGCCGGCTGCACGAGCACGGCCACCTGATCTTGTGTGGGACTCAAATATCCGCTGACAGCGCTCTCGCCCTCGCCCACCACGATCTCACCCCTTGACCGAAGACACACGCACCCATCGCTGTCGGCCGAGGCGGCGTCATCTGCCGCACAGGGACACACCTCAAACTTAAACAAAAAGCCGTGTTGGCTGTGATCCTCCGCTCGCCGCGCACGGGGCTGCCTCGATGCGCCGCCTGTGTCGGGTGTTGTGGTAAAGCGTCCAGCCCCGCTGCTTGGCCACATGGCGGTGGTGCCGCTGCGCGTAGGGGGGCGCGATGACGACGATGACGCAGATGGTAGCGGAGTGCGCCACAGCCCCGGCGAAGGTCGCGATTCGCCACTCGTCAGCGTACGCAGGGCAGCCATCGCTGCTGCCGCCGCTGGTGTAGAGCGGCATCGCAGACTGGCCGGCACCGGTGAGCGCGTAAACGTCGGCGAGAGCGAGGCGTTGGGGGTTATGGGGGTCGCTGACTGAGAGCGCGTATACACGAGGTGATGCAGCGGACTTCGAGTCGGTGTCATGAACCGCGTCTGGGGGTTGTTGCTCTGCGCAGTCGCACCTGGTGGCAGCGCGGTGGGCAACGAAGGCGAAGAGGAGGAGGGGGAGGGTTCGTGTTGCCACTCCGTTGTGCTGCCGGTGCCGGCGATGATCTGCGTCGTGCCGGCCACCACCTTCAAGACGCGGACGGGGTAGTCGAGCACGCAAGAGGCGACCACCGATTTCGTCACGAGGCGGTAGAGCTGAATGTCAGTCTTCCACCGCTGCGGCGCTGAACCGGTCTCCTCGCGGGCCGCCGCAGCGGCGTCGGTGGATTCGTAGCACGCAGACGCGAAAACAAGCGTGGGGGTGGGGGTGTGGGAGAGCAACGAAAAGGAGCAAGCGGCGCTCATCTGTACACTCGCACCTGCCGCAGCATCGCCAAAGACGTCGTACTCGTACGCGTCGCCCTCCATCATCGAATACGCCGCCGGAGAGTCGTCTCCGCGAGTGCGGCTCGAATGGGCACCGATCAACGCATCGTAGTCGCACAGCATCCACGCAAAGCAACGAACCGGCTGCAGCGCGTTGCTGACCACGACGAGCGGAGCGGTCGGTTCTATCGATGTCTCCAGCATAGCACGGCATTCCTCAGAAATGTCCGACGGAGGGGTGCTCGTCAGAGCATCGGCTACAGTGAAGCGATTTTTCTGCTTTTGCCATTGTCGTGCGGCGGGGAGAGAGATCGCATCCGCCACCCGCGGCATCTCCGCTACGCGGTACACCAACAAGCGGGTCTGCGTGCCCACCGCCAGGTAGCTGTGGTTGTCCGTGACCTCAAGGTTGTAGACCGGCTCACCTGCGTGTACCGCAGAATGGAAGCACGGCGACGTTTCCCGCAATGCAGTATCCGCTGGGCTGGACACGAGAGCTTTGGAAGCAGCGGCTTGGGTGGGCGGGGTGGCACTCGGACGGGTAAACTGGTGTACCGGCATGCGCAGGTTGAGTGGCACGGGCTTGCGAGCGGGCGTGCTTCCCCCTTCCACCGCCGACCGCGTGTCGGCGTGTGGGGGCTGCCGCCGGGCACCTTCGAGCTGCACAGAGGGCAGCGTTGACGCCGCCGCCTCGTGCAGCGCGCGCAGGAAAAATGTGCAGCGAAGGTCGTAGCGGGAGACGTGCCCGGACTGGTCACCGATGTACAGCCATGGCCCCACCACACGCAGGACGGAGATGGCGTGTCGCTGGGCTTCTTCATCGCCGACGGTGGATGCGGGAGGGGTGAGGGAGCGGAGGCGGCCCCCGCTACCGTGCGTCTCGCCTGTGTTGGGCGGTGGCCTGTCTCCTCCTACCCGATCCGCACACCGCAGCGTCCCGTATTGCCGCAGCTTGACGGTGTACGTGGACGCTTGGTGCGGCGGTGGCGACACATCATGGGAGGAGCTGAGCGAGACGGTCACCGCGCCAGGGGAAGACGCACTGCACTTTCCATAGGTGTACACATTGACGTCGCCCACACAGGTGCCAACGACAAGGTAGACGAGGTCGCTCGCAGAAGACGCCATGCCGTGAGTGATCGGGGACGCCGTAGCCACGGTCACGGACGCCTCGTCCTCCGTTGTCAACGCCGCCGCCTCCCACGTTGCGGCCGACAACAGCGTCGTAGAGGTGACCACCGTAATGGTGGTGCTTCGATCACGTGTTCGCGCTGCCTGGTCGGCGTCTTGCGGATAAATACGAAACGGTTGCGCCTTGCCCACACACCACACCTCGTCCCGCTGCGCCACGAGAAAGCCGAAGCATCCCCAATAGAAAGGGTTGTGCAGCAGGTCCGTCGACGTTTCATTAGCTGTCATGGCACGCAGGAAGTGGAAGGCATCACGGCGCGATGTGCTGCCGCGGCGGAGAGCAACGCCGTGCGCTGTAGCGATGGAGCGCGGGATGCCGAGGAGTGCGTCGCGGTACGTTAGCCGATGCTCCAGCCCAGCGACACCACCGTCCACCGCAGCAGCGGACATGGTTGTCACCGCCGCAGTCGCAGCAACGGCAACAGAAGGGGCGGAGCGCGTGGTCTGGCGGGCAGGGGTAAGAGAGACGGGTGTCATCGCTCCAGCGGGCGAGGTGCACAGACGTGTGGTCGGAGACACGGAAAGGAACGACACCGGCAACGCGCCGCCGCCAACACGCAGACTGCTGCTGCTGCTGTGGAAATCGCGAATAGAGTTGTCGTAGTGCCGCACCGGGGTGGTCAGTATGTGCGACGGCGTCATCGAACGCCCATGAGAGGCCGACGACGAGCGCACCGAGCACCGCGCCGTACCGCTCTCCACCCCAGACGAGCGCTCCGCAGCACCAACGGCGCTGTGGATCTGGCCGGGTTCTACAAAGAGGGCACGCGCCGTAGTGCTCAGCAGGCCACGCACATCACCCTGCCCCACGTCTTCCCCTCTCCCAAACGATCGTACGGGCGTAGGAGAGTCCTCGGTGTAGCAGGAAAGGGGCGGCGTGGCACAGCTGTCACCGCCGCTGCGTCTCTGCGCGCCAAGAACGTTGTCCTCGTCGTCGTCGTGTAAATCACCTTTGGCGCCGGTGCCTCTCCTTTTCCCGGAGGCGGCCGCGGCGCGTGTGGTGGAGGGAGGTAGCACGAAGGTCGGTCGCGGGGTAAGAGGGGTGCAGCATCCAGTGTGCCGCACCGCGCTGCTGGGCAAACATAACGGTGAAGTTGGTTCCGCATGGCTCTCCGCGCTCAACTCGTGCGGCGAAGATGCGATGCAGGCGTCGTGCACCATTCGCGGTAGCAGGTGCACACGGTCATGGGGAGCGCACAGCAACGCGTCGCCCTGCACCGATGTGGCATCCAGATCCAACGAGAAAGTAGACCCCACGTGCCCCGGCGGGCATGCCGCCATCACAGGAGAAAGAGAAGCGTGTCGCACGACGCCCGCGGTGCGCATCGGCTGCGTGTGACGTGTGCGGGAGCGCTGGCGTGCGTTGGCGGGGTGGGTGGTGTCCCCCACACCGTCGAAGATGGCAGCACTGTCGACGCCTTCTTGGAAACGGAGGCGCGACGCCGACGAGTTCGCCGCGGTCGACATGGAGGGCGCGCCTTGAAAATATATGACCGGTGAGGTGACGGACGGTGTCTGACCGTTGAGTGACGTCGCCGAGCGCCGTTGTCCGCCCGCGCCGCTAGGACGCGGCGGTGGCTGATGCTCACTGACGCGAAGGAGCCGTGCGCGAGTCGGTGCACCTTCTGCCGTGTCCTCGTCTTCGACCTCCTCTTTGCTGTCGCCTAAGGTGAAGGGGTGCGGCGTTGAGCACAGCGAGACAATCGAGCTGTCAGCCTCATCAATGCACTTTGTGTACGTTAACTGCTTCACGTGAACTGCAAAAGCATCGACTGTGCCGCTCTGTATGGATTCCTTCGTGAACTCATCTTGTATCGCCTGCGCTACCGGCACTGCTGCGAAGGCCCTCTCGTCAGTCCCATGATGATCATCAGCGGCGGCCGCTGCTTCGCCGGTCTCACTCCGTGACCTCGCGCGTTGCACCCGCGCTGGTGGTGTGCTGAAAGCGGCGGGAAACGAGTACACGTTCGTGCGCCCCTCCGCTCCACCGAGCAAGGCGTTGGACAGTATGCGGTTGTAGTAGTTGCTGCCGTACGAAGTGCTGTGGAGGGGGGTATGCACGTGCGGTGGCGTCGGAGTACTCGAGAGGGACGTACGCACCGGTGTCAGCGTGGCAGCGGTGGCGTTGTCTCGTCGGGTGTGCTGCTGTTGCAGCAGTGGCTGATACGGTGCGAGCAGCGGGGAGTTAAGCTCCGATCTCGGCTGCTCAAAAAAGGTGCGGCCTTCGTTTGCGCCTCGACTGTGAATTTGAAGCGCGGAGAAGGCTCGTTCATTTGCCACCTCGATGTATCGCGCATCTGCACCGTTGCACGGTGGCAAGTATTCCACGCTATCCGCCTCCGCCTCCTCTATGGCAGTGGCAGTGGCAGCAGCAGCAGCTCCGTGAAATAGCTGCTGCTCCGATACGCGACTAGATTGGGGCACTGCCATTGAGAGAGAAGAGAGAACTCCGCCGTGCAGTGAGAGATAGGATTCACACTGCGCTACGTCTTGCCGCCACGTCCCGGCTGCCTCAGCATGTGGCCGCATCGCAGGCAGCTCCGCAGCGGCCGCACCTTCATTGTCGTTGTTTGTTGGTAGACTCTCCTGCACATCGAGCTCTGCTGAGTGTCGTTGTTGTGCCTGCATGTGTTGGGTGAGACGGCCGCTTGCTGTGTGTGTGTGTCCGCTTTTTCTCTTGCTGTTTTGCCTCCGCCCCTTGCGGCAAACGGAATCGAAGAAAGATGAAGAGTGGAATAACGGTTCAATGAGGTCTCGTTAACAATGCTACGGATAGATATGTATGAGCTCAGCCCCGCTCCGCTTTAGCGCTAGCGCGTTTTTCGACTTTAAGAAAAAAACATTCAAAAAAATATATAGAGAGAAAAAAAAAGTGGTGGAAGCACCAAACTAAAGAAAAGAACAACAGAAAGGCTCTATGAGAACAAGAAGAGAACCAGTACAAAATGTATATATATATATATATATATATATATATATTAGTAG